CGATTGCTTCCGTACTCTTATATATCATGGATATACTTATATTATATACTTACACTCGAAATTTGAGATTGTTTTATACCATACAGGATATATATAATAATAGTAATATATCTATGGGTACTGGGTTAAAGTGTCGGCGAGATGATCGAGAGACAGGGAACAGAATAGATGGGTTCAATCTCTAAAAGCCTCTCGTAGAAGCGATGGGCGTCGTTGCCGTCGTCGTCGTCGTTGTCGTCGTCGTTGTCGCAGCAGTCGTATAGTCGTTTTCGTCCCAGCAACTCTTCTCTTTTACACGCCAATATTCCGACATTCTGGCGGGGTTAGTAAATGGACATACTCATTGTCACATGCATGTATACACCACGACTACTATACCAGTGCCATCAAAGAGCTACTCTTTCTCTATGTACGAGTCATACACCAATAATCGCAATAAAGTCATTTTCTCGACGACCATTTACGATGGATCGTTTTACAACTGCCGCTCGGTGATTATGCCCGGGAGCTCAGTAGTTCAACGATGGTTATACATTGTCTACGTTGTAAAAGGACCTGTGAAAACTAGTTAGCCAAACTGCCTCACTTTAAATAACGGCAAACATTTATTTTAGCACAATCGCCGTTAATCTCGAACTCGAACGATAGCTATATGCTTTCTTTTGAACTATTTTTTTTTTTTATTATTTCAAACTTGCTCATCTCAAGCTCTCCAACAAAACTCCAGCTACATAATAAATATAAATATATATCTATATATATATACATAGAATATGTATATCCTTCGCGTGGACGCCTGGGGGCCGCATTGAAACCGCCTCATTATACGATAGGGTCGCAAACTCAGAGCTAGTTCAACAATTTGTTTTCTCAAAATTTCATTTAACCGATAAATGTCTTGGCAAGTTGACTTTTACCGTGTTTAAGTGTCTATGAAAAGCAAAGTTGAAAGAAAGAGATAAAGAGTACACTGTTATATAATATAGAGTGCTTAGCCAAAGCAGATGACACGTTCACGTTCACATGACGATAAGAAAGCACTGTATATTATTATACCCTATATAAATTTGGATACAGATATATATACATACAGTATAAGAGCGTAAGATTGAAGCAGAACAAGAAGAAGAACAAGAAACAAGAAGCAGGAATATACAAAGATGCAACACGCTTCGTAGATGGTGTATTATATACACTTATATACGAAACACGGAGAAACTGGTACGGCAATCAGGCTTTACGATCCTGCGCGTGATAGGAGACCAAGTAAAAGCACACTCTCTACGCCAGACGCATAACAAGATTGTGAGTGTATCTCACTTGCGCTTGTATCCTGGGAAATACAAGTTACAAGTTTAATTAAACAGGCTGGGTTGTAAAATTAAAGGAACGCTCAAGAAACACCGAAACCACTTGTTCAGAGAGAAGGCTAAGCCAACGACCGGGCCTCTTAATTATTCTTCATCGAGTTCTCAAATCTTAAGTTGTTTTTTTTCTCCTGTTATCAATTTTCATTTACTTTATCTCTTTTAACTTGCGTAATGTTACTGATAAAAACTTGACCTGTAATTATTATTAGTAGTAGTACTGCCATAATTATTATTTATCAGAATAGTAGACTTTGTCTCACTCTTTCTTTCTATTGATGCATCTACACATCCATTAGCATGCAAAGTTTTCGCCTCTGGTGTAACCGAGCATTTACTTTACCTTTTGATTTATCTATCGAATATGCCTCTGCAACGTTCAGCTTTTGCCTGAGGCTACCCTCTTTCCAACACTTGTTATATAGAATCATGAAGAAGCCCTTCATTCCTTTTACGCCTGTTAAAATGAGAAAAAAAATGAAATTGCTACCTTTATTTTTTAGTAATGGTTTGAAAACAAAAATATACATACCGCATAGCTGGCGTTTAGTTGATGATTTTATACCCTTGTCCGTGGTAAATACAGAGTTATATACATATCGTTTTATATGTATACGTAATAGGCAATTTTCTTGCGGTTACGCCCGTGTTAAAATATGTATAGTGATTTTGAGTTAAACCAGCGCCAACATTGTTAATACGGCGGAAGAGTGGATGCCCAGGAGGGGAAGCTGTTACTGAATCATTTGCATCGCATCGCGACAATTTAGTTAAACCCTGTTGTGACTTCCAAAACTTTTATCCTTGTTTCTGTAAACATTTTTTATCATTATATTTTTAATAATCTTGTCATCATCAACTTACTTATTCACCAACTTTGACTACAACAATACTCACTGATACTTGTGAACATTTTCCTAGAGCCTAAAACATATAAAAATAAAAATATATTAATACCTCAAAAATTAGGCCCGAAAAATTTATAAATTTTTTATAAATCCACATTGAAAATTTTGATGTATCTAAATCAAATTTTATATACTTTAAAAATTGAACTCGGCAAATTTTTCAGTTTTTTAAGTATTGAAAAAAAATCTTTATATATCCTGATCAATTAACACTCTCCACCGAGCAAGTTTATTATTTACACTAAATTTCACAACTTTTTATAAAACACTCAATAAACTCTCAGCCTTACAAAAAAAAACAAGCTTTAATTTCTTGAATATATCGATTAAGAGGTTTTGATCAAGTAAAGTTTATTTAAACCAAAAAGAATTTCTTAATTCGAGAACTTTTCAGCTTGATTCAAGATGATGAAATTTGAAAATGATTGTTTTTTTCTTTTCAGTGTTAGTATTGAATTTGATCGGTACTCAATATGAAGTATATTCATAAATGTAAATAATTTATATGATAAATCTATTGTTTAAATTATATAATTTTAAACGAAAAATTTAATAAATATTGAATAATAAAAAAATGCAGGTTGAGAAAATTTTAAAATCTACAGATGCATATTTTTGGAGCAATAATTTTTAATTATTTGTTTATTTTTTTTTTAATTCTAAAAAATAAACAAATATATGTCTACTAGATTTACAGTCATTCATCACTTATCTATTCACAATATATAATTAAACGACGATGATGTTTAAAAACTCAAAACAACTCCAAAACTAAACTAAATAAACGTATCGTACATCATCAACTATCTTATTCTATTCTAAGAAACTAATTTATGTAGTAGTTATATTATTAATTTAAATTTTTTAAATAATTTATAACAACTAATATTATTGAGGTAATAAAAAAATTTAATTAAGACAAAAAAAATTTGGCATTGCAACACATAAAAACCAAAAATATCAACTAACAACTCAAAGCGCCGACCGTGTTGTGTTTATTCCCGGATTTTTGAGCAGTGTGAAAAGAATGTGACGTCACTAATTCTTTAGCGTGCAATAATTCGAACTTAATAATAATAACAATAACAATAATAAATATGAATTAATATTGTTAAATTAAAAAAAAAAAAATTAATAACAATAATAAAATTAAAAAACCAACAATAAATTTTCGTTTCAATAACAATCACTGCTCCAAAAAAAAATTAGTTTATTTTTAGTATATTTATAAATAATTGCTTGTAGGAGTCTTAAAACTTTTATTCATTCTTCGATTTGAAATTTTTAGTAACAACAAAACAACGCCAACCGCGCCTATTAGGTAAGTTATGTACAGTAATTTTCAATCTTCTTTACCGGCCACAAACACTTTCTGTTCCGTTCTTACAGACACTCGGTTAAATTTACTTTATCATCAGAGCGGGATAAAAATTAAATTATTGCTTGATCAGCAGCTTATATCTCGCCCACATCGCGTGAACGCCCTTCTGACGAGAACGAAGAGTTCATTTCTGTTGCTTGATATTTGACATTTTAACATTTCTAGTAAAAGTACTACAAAATTATTCAAACAACCTTTTCTCGGAGGATCCAGTCATCAATTATATATATCAGAGGTAAGTTCAAAGTAATTATATATACTTAACAAATAATTATAGCATTTAGTAAGTAGTTAGTAATATAGTCAACCGTATAACTGTATATACTTACCGCTGTGCAAGCTACATCAAAAATTCAAAGAAAAAGAAATTGACAAAATACTTCATCTATATATTTAGGACACTGCCTAAGGACTAAAGACAGCAGTAACGAGGTTGGTGATTATTAATTACTCAATTCTATAAAAAGAATCTGACATAACAATTGTCGTCACGAGGTTTGGTGTCACCGTAAAAATCGATTAATGATATAATATACTTTTAGATGTATAGACAATGTATTGATATGAAAAACTTTATAAATTTTTCGGACCTGTTAGACCATTTATTTTTATATCTACATACTAAGTAAGTTATCAATAAATGATAGATCAATTGTTGCATTGATACGAAAAATGCAAGCTAATGACGGTATATATTGTGATATATATATATATGTTGTGATTGGTGAATCAAAACAAATCCTACTCCTGCAGTTGTCAGCCTTGAAAATGTCAGTTATTTATATTAATATATAGATATATAAGTAGATCGTTCAACGAGAATTATTTGGTGGTAGCTGCGCATGATATCTTCCGCGGCGCAGCAACGTAATGACCCATGCTCGCTTATATTGATTTTACTGTTGGCGGTCGACGGGAAAAACCAGACCAGTCCCTGTCTGATGTTCAATCGTGTTGAGTCGTGGTGACATTGACATTTTTTTCATCCCGTTAAACTATTGGTAAAATTTTTTTTTATTCACTGATTGAATTTGGTTTTGTTGTTTTGATCAAAACCGTTCATTAACTCACGGTTGCGATTTTATAAGAGAAATATTTACGCGGAGATATTTTTTAAAAATTTATCTCAATTGTGCAATAATTTGAAACTTTACATACATATATGTATACACAATATATATAAATATCTCACGTATGATATTGACAAAAGTATCTTGATGTTTTCAGTTTCTCAAGGACAATATTCAACCCAGAGCTATTGGCTCCAGAAACAGTGAGCTGACAGTCGGAGAAAACTAAGAATCCTTTGGTAAAAAACTCAGGCAGGAAGAAAACCAGGAAAAAATGCCAGCTCCAACAGCAGATGCAGCTGGACCAGCAGAAGGAGCTGGTCCACCTCGTACCGAACTCCAGGAATTACAGCTAAAAGCTGATCAGACAACTGATGAGGTAAGTCATTAAGTCATCACGATCGTTTTCAAACATGTCAATTAACTTTTTCCTCACAAATAACTATTAATCATTACATTTATATATATTTATAAGAATGACTTAATAAATTTACTAATGTCTAGATTAATCAATGACAGAAATTAGAGAGAGATCTGTTTCTAAATAATGATTTTTTTATGTTACAGTCCTTGGAGAGTACTAGGCGTATGTTGGCGCTATGCGAGGAGGTAAGTGGTTATCCATATCTGTTAAAATCGTTTGCGTGACTACTCCTACCCTCTTTAATCTCTTATCCATATATATTCTTTATTTTCTCTCTCTCCCCTTGTAACGGTCTGTCATTGCGTTGGTTATATTAATAAAATAGCTCTACGCTCCCTCGATCGTAATCGACTTCTGTACATATATATTCATCAAGATATAATGTTAATAGTAATGTTATTGATAATAATAAAAAGGTATTATTGCATTTTTTCTTCAAAGTCGATTCTCGACTTCTAAACCTTTGCAACGACGTTGAGGCAGCAAGGATGGAAATCTGTGTACTAATTGCACTAATTACTTTTTGGTCTATTTATTTATTTATTTATTATTTTTTTTTTCTCTTGATGACCCAGTTATCCTTGTGACTCCCGTTTAATTTAAATATGTGAATTTTCAAGCCCCATGCACTTAACTTGTAGTCGAGGTAAATAAAACAACGCACGTAGCTGATAAATTATTTTATTTTTTTGGTCAAGCTACCGAGCGTTTTATTATATAATTTTATAGTTATCTTGCTATGACATTCATTCCAATGGTTATGATGATAAAAAAAAGTTATAAAAAATTTCGTTGTATCCTTGCACTAACCACTTTTTTATTTGCCTTTAATAAAACGGAAAAAAAAATAATAAAATAAAATAAATATGTATGATAAAAAAAGTTTGAGCTAATCCGTGAATATTACTTTTTGTTGTACATATATATATATATATCTATATACTAACATATATATATATATATATATATATATATATATGTACTTACTGTCTATATAGTTTAAGTATCGACTACGCTGCACAGCAAATTCTTGATTGTAAAATGCTTACTTCCTGATGCATCGCGAATATTAACGAAATAGTTTGAATGTTGTCAATTAATATACATATATTTTTATTTAAAATAAATATTCTATTATGATTATTATTATCGTTTGCCCGTCCTTTAAATGTTGTTAATATTTTGTATTATCTGTCTGTCAGTCTCTGTCAGCTTGCTTTATATTACTGTCTTTGCGCGTGTCAAATACGTGGTCCATGTAATTCGTATATGTGATATGTCTGTCTATTTTCTGTCTGTTTGTCTGTCTGTCTACCTATACTACGATTTGTCTCTATACATATAATTTGTCTATTAACTTTGCCTGTCTGGCTGCCCGAGAGCTTGCACATCGCCGACACTCTGTAATCTATACATAAATGTATATGGCTGCTCTTGTATTACATGGAATAATAAATTTTCATCTATATATTTAATCTATATTGAACTTTAGAATTATCAACTAATTGCGAGTCACGACCTTATAAAATTAATTATGTGTAAAAGAATTTAATATATTCACTTTAAAATATTAAATGTGGGTAATGTGCATGGAATAATAATTCACTTAAAAAAAAAAAAACCTCTAAGCAACATCTTTTGCAAATTCCATACACCGTTTTTAAATACTTTTAAACTTACATTATACCCCCTTACTGCCTCTCTACTAAAAACTCCTGCAGTGTCTATATTCTATACTACTTTTTTCCAATCATTTAACATTCATCTGATTTTTCATTTCTACTCGCTTACCATATTACTATTAATAACATATAAATACATGCAATAATATAACTAAGCAATAAAACGAAAAATAAAAAATTTAAGTAAATTAAATTATATTCAATTTAACGATGATATATGATAAATAAAATACATTTAATTAATAATATCACTTAAATTTTTTCTGAAAAAAAAAATTCCTCTGGAACTGTAATTGGATTGATATTGCGTCTGTTGATTGATTAAGTTAATTAAAGAAACTACCATTACATTAAAAATCCATTTATTTATCATATATCATGTACAATATATACTATATATACTTAATACTAAATATACTGTTATACTAAACCATTTAATACTCCGACTCTTTAACACTCGTGGTGGTTGTGTGTGTTGTGCTGCCTCTGTCTGTCGATTAGAGCAAGGAGGCCGGCATCCGCACTCTGGTCGCTCTCGACGACCAGGGAGGTGAGTTAACTGCTCTACTACTAAGTCATTAATTTCGCGTTCACACTTTTTTATAATATATAATATATTTCGTATACGTTAATATCAATTTTTATATGATTAATATATTACATTACATTATTATTATTTTTTTTATCTATCAATTAATTAATTAATTAATTAATGCTTAATTGCCGTATTATTCAGTCGACAAACGTCATGAGACCATACATTTTAATGCTTTATTAAATATAACATTGTAATCATAAATATGATTGTTCCCCGATTGTTTCATATTTTGTTTTAATCAAGATTTTTTTGTATTTAAAAAAAAAAATATGTCATTTTTTTCGACATAAACATTATCAAAGCATCCATTCACAATTATTTAAATATTATTATTATTACTATTATTGTATACTCAAGCTATTGTCATAACGGTCAGGTAAGATTTTATTATAAAGAAAGAATGTGGTATATAAAAAAAAAAAAGATACATATCAACGCGTTCTAGTTTCTTTTAATAAAAAATAAAAATGCTCTTGTTGTCATCCTGGTCCATAGGTTGGTTGGTGGGTTAAATTTTAAGAAAAAAAAAATAGTTTATAATAATAATAATGATAGAAAAAAAAATGTAACTATTAAATAACAAGTAAAGAGAAGTAGGATTTTTAATATTATTATTATTTTTGTTTTATTAAAATAATAATGGGTAGTAAAAACATAGTTTACAACATACATATTATTTAGAGACGATTTAAACTGATTGCGCTTTTGTATTGTTGTGTGACAGTTTCATTAATTAAACCTTTATGACTATATAAACTGGTTTTACCATGACCTCCAAGTTCCTTAAACCATCCTTATTGCCACCACAACCACCACCACCACACCACTATCAACGCCACGTTCCACTGTCACCCTAACTTGATAAAAATATATATATTTATTTGTTTATTTATTTATTTATAAATAATTATTGATAAGAAAAAAAATATATATATATAAATTGATGATCTATTAGACAGGATAATTAAACGATAAAATATTAATATATATATTCAACAATACAAGTATCACACAGCTCTCTGATGGATGCATAGGATAAATCGGGCTGAATACAAGTAATTACTTATCTATTTATAATTTATTATTTGTTGTGGTTATTATTATTATTACTATTATTATTATTACTATCTTAGTTAACAGATGAATCTATAGATAGAGATTGTTAACCCGACATTACCCTATGCAAATAAATTTCATAATAAATGCTCAGCATATACATTATTATAAATTCAAATTACAAACATGAACGAGATAATAAATTTAAATATAGAATTAGATTTATTGTTAAGTAATCAAACAAGTCAAATTAATTATAAATAATACATAAATCATCTCTGTGCTCTCTATATTCTAATATCGCCACTATATCTCTCAATTCTTTTAATTATATATACTTTTATTTCTTTTTTTCTATTATATATACACGGGCATTATATCAACAGATAACTATATATACTCACTTTTTTATAACATTAACATAATGTATACAGTCGACAATTATTTATATGCTCACTATAAATAAAGCTTACAAAAACGAGCTTTTTTTTTTAACTGTCTCGCTTTTTATATTAATAAAACTCATTCACGAGTCGTGCAATTCGTAATATAAGTAGTATTGTAGTTGAATGTTGCTATGTATACCTTAAATATATACATATTATATATATTTTTAACAAAATATCGGGTTCATTTATAAAATAAAAACTATTTTCAAAAAATCCATATTTTTTTTTTTCTTCTTTTTTTTTAGTTTCGACAAGTACCATCTTTTTTTTTTTTTTCAATATTCTATTCACTATTATATGCATATTTATATACAACAAAAGTGTCGTCTTGCATCATAAAATGGGGCCAGGATGCTTGCTGATAAAAAAACCTTGACTGTGAGTCATAAAACTTTATCCTCAGAATTCTTTATCACTCTTTCATAAAAAATTTTTCTTTTATTATTATTACAAGAGGGAAATTCCGGAGGAAACTCATTAATAAAATAGCGCGAACAATAAATGTTAAAGATGATGGCAGTATTGTAGTCTTAACTCTGTGCTAGCACCCTGGTACCTTAAATCATTATCAAAATTATACTAACGAGCAGTACCACACGCGAGAATTTAATTTGTCGCAAATTCTCGTGATAAATACAATGGACGGGCTTTTCTTACTTGTATTGTGCTTGTCAGAATAATGCCTGCCTGTCTACGTATCTATAAATTAAATAGGTGCCCTTCCTTACTCTTGTTTGCATCACTAGTTTCCTAAAAATATATTCTCTATCCACTATATATATATATATATACCTCTAATTATCATTCTACGACTTACATACTTACTATTAAATCACTACTACTATAACTACTACTACTGCTACTACTACCACTACTATATACTATTATATTACTATAACTGCTATAATAACTATACTACTTATTACTGTTAATAATTTATATATAAATTATTATTATTATAAATATTTATTTTTTTTTGTTTTAATAAATCGATGTAATCCGGAATAAGCGCTTTATGTCTTCTTTTATCTCATACATAACTGGTTTAATCGTATCGTCATTGCATAAAGTAATTGTTGTCCTTAACTAAATGTCTTCGAAATCGTGTTGATGTTAATAATACTAATGTCTAATAATTAAAAAAAAAAAAAAATTTAATTAATAAATAAACTATTTCGTCTATAAAACTATAAAACTATCTATGGGAATGCATAATCGGTGATGGATAAATGTTTTATTTACGTGATATAATTAGCACCCAAGTATTAACTATTCGTGTTTTATTTATTATATATTTATTGAAACTTAATAATTTGTCTTGATGGCTGATTATTTGACCACTGTGCTTGCTGCCATGAGGGACGCAATTAAACGAATGAGTTATTATAAAACTGTGTATATACATAATTAAATATATTTATAGATGGGCTTAGATCATGTCTGTGCACAATGTATACACTGCAATGATATAAATTTTATGTATAGATTAATTAATCATTCGCAATTAACCTTTTACTTTATTTTCATTTATTTTATTTATTTAAAAATTTTCTGGTATGAATACTTGTGCCTATGAGATATATAACTCAATTTCGGGTCCTTTACTACTTACATTGGCCTATTTATTGGGCGGGTTATTGGCCAAAACATATCCCTCAGGGCATACAGCACGGTGGGCGTTTCTTTTTTCATTCATTTCGCAGTATAATCTCACACTGAATGATGTTTCGTTCCGGTTGCATCGTTGGCGTCTTAGAGCGAGGACGTTGGAGCAAATACTCTGATGATGTTAGATCATCAAGGCGGTAAGCTCTTTCTCAACCGATTAAGATTTTTTTTTTAACTCTCGTTTTAATAATTAAATTTTACTTGACGTTATCTACTTCAAAGACCGATGGACTGATACTGAAGTATTAATTAATACACAATTTATGAATTTAATTATACACCCGTGATTTATTGAATATTTTGATAAATTTACGCGCGCTGTTCTATTGAATAGAATGAAACCAGTGCAGCGTATTGATTGAAATTTTCACATAAATAAATGGTGTGAAACTTGAGTAGCACACTCAACTTATGTCTAACAAGAACAAAACAACACAAACATACAATAAACTCGTATAAATAATAAGTATATAAGCAGAAGTTTAAATAAAATAAGAAAATACTTGAAATAAAAGTTTTAGGAGCAGACACTTGTATAGTTCAACAACAGAGATATAGTTTTCCCAACTTTACCTACAAATACCATATTCAGCAATCCTTTTAGGCACTAATGCGTTAGTTTATAGTTGTATGGTATAAATTAATTAATAGATTAGTTGATGTATGTCCGTGTTAATTATGCGCATATGTTTTGCACATTCGGCAAAAAAAAAAAAAAAAAAAAAAAAAAAGACGTCGTGCCGCTTGTTATTGAATTTAATTGTAGAAAGTAATATTTTATATACCGCAATAAAATACACGATGGCTTTGTCATTGCTGTTATATATATATATATTTTTTCGTACTAGCCTTCGCACGTAGCGTCCTCGCGCTGATCATCTGTTGTAAATTAATAAATAAAAATGTTGATCGATCGTTTATTAATTAAAGATGAAACTAAGTAAAAAGAAATTTAGTAATGTGAGATTAATTGAACCGTTTGATTAATTATGTTAATATGATAATGATAAAATGAGCATATAGATATATGTATATTATTTTATTTAAAACATACGTGCAGCTGACCGTCCGCCCGCTCGCCAAGATACTGAACATCAACGACGCTTAGCTTCTTCACTTCACTTCTTCAATCAAGGATTTGAATGGAAGTGCTTTTTGCCCGTTTGTTATTGTTGTTGTTATTTTTATTTTTTTAAATATTATTATTACCATTATTTTTATAGTAATTAATTCTTAGATAGATGAGGGAGAGACGTATGCAAGACAGCGGCGGTGTTTGGGCGGCAGCAACGGTTTATCGTCATATAAATACAATATGTTGTTAATAAAATTTGTTTTATATTGAACGGTTGCCTGTTTAGAGCCACGAGGTCGGGATGAAATCTCTTGTTATGCTGGACGAACAAGGCGGTAAGCCATTTAACTAGATCATAACTTAAACTTAAACAATAAATTATAAATTAAATTCGAAACTTTATAGTTACAATCGACACGAGTTTTATATTCAACAACTTCCAAGATATAATAACGATCTATATTTATTATATATACCAGCATTACTTAAATGTGAAATGAAACAACACCATACAGTATTATTTAATGAAATATTTTAATATTTTCATCGCACACTGACCATCTGATACAGGAATTATTATTATTATTATTATTATTAATAATGTATAAAACTGTATGACTAAGACAATTATGACGAAGAGACTATTCTTTGAACGTTTATTAATAAAACCTATTATAACAACATTATGTAGATAAAATATATATGTTAAACTAACAAATTACATTTAAAAACACTAGTAATTAATAATTAATTAATTTATTAATTAATTAAGAGCAGTAAGTAATAACAACAAATGCCCACTAATAACCAATCATCTAGTCCGCCAACCAACCGCCCAATAAACAGTGTAACACAGTCGCATTTATAACAGCGAACTGTTACTCTAACTACAATAAAATATTCGTTAAAACAATTATTAAATATTCAAATTAACATATATGCTAATAATTTTTTATTTATATTCATTAAATAACGATACACTTGTTTCGAAAGTAAATTAATATATATATATATATCCTTGACAATAACTATGAGCACCAAATAAAATTGGAATAATATATTTAACAGCTTTCATTTAACATGCTGTCCTAATTATGACTAAACGTAAAAATATATATTTTGTACGTATTAAAAAATAAAACCCAATCATCAATCATTTTTTTTACAACGTTTTTTGTCATAACTCAGTCATGTAATATAATATATTTATCAATTAGTAATAATAACAATCATTACATTATCATTTTTTTATTTTTTGCTAGTATTTTTATCATTAATTGTTTTGTGTTTTATTACAATAAAAAGTTTTTAATAATTTTTTGTTAGTAAAATTTGTTTTTCTAATTAAATTAATAAATTAAAATAACATTTTTTATGTTTTAAAATTCAATTAAACAAAATCATTTGAACAATCGGATGTAGACTTGTATAAAGTATAAAGTAGTGTAAAAACGCCATGAATTTTCATTAATACTTCAATAATAGTGGCAATTAATTTAAACTAAAGACCTATAAATTAAGGATCATTTATTTACTTTTGTTTTATTCTTTTTTTGCCAATTAACAGAGCAATTGGACCGAATCGAGGAGGGGATGGATCAGATAAATGCAGACATGCGAGAAGCAGAGAAGAATCTCACGGGAATGGAAAAATGTTGTGGCATTTGCGTGCTGCCTTGCAACAAGTATACTTTTATCTAATACTTTTTTTAATACACCGTAGACATATATCTATATATAAATGGAACAATATCGATTATCCTTGTTTTATTTTTTTTTTTGTACAACGGATAGTGAAACGACAGCAAAAAATATAATAAAACGAAAGTGATGTCTATATATATGAAATATTGGATATTTTAAGGGGAGCAAGTTTCAAAGAGGATGAAGGAACGTGGAAGGGCAATGACGATGGAAAAGTTGTCAATAATCAACCACAGCGGGTAATGGATGACCGTAACGGGCTTGGACCTCAGGGTGGCTACATTGCAAAAATTAATAACGACGCACGTGAAAATGAAATGGAAGATAATATGGGTCAAGTTTCAACGATGATTGGTAATCTGAGAAATATGGCTATTGATATGGGAAGTGAACTCGAAAATCAGAATCGCCAAATTGATAGGATTAATCGAAAGGTAAAATTAATTTTATCATTTTAATACAATAATTTATTATTATTATTATTATTATTATCATTATTATACATTTATTAATTGTTCTTTTATTAAAAAAAATTTTTTTTATTTCTTCACAGGGTGAATCTAATGAAACCCGAATACAAGTGGCGAATGAACGAGCACATCAGCTACTTAAATAAGCTGACTAAGAAGAAAATAAATAATTATAATATTTCCGGCATATATAAAATTTATTTTATTCCCCAATCCCGCCTTTTGCTAAATTAATCTGTGCGAATAAATTGGATTTATTCAAAGCGCTGTCTGCATCATCAATCATATCCTCAATGTGCAATTCGAGATTGTTAATTAGCTTAGAAGTATCCAAAAACAAAAATCCATATTTATAATTAGATATTTTTGTCTTAATAATTACTCAGTAGCTAGACTAAAAAATCTTTAATAATTCCAGTATTACTTTACTTAATTAAACCGTAAACTTAAAAAAAAAAAAAAATGGAATAATATCCAAACGAATTATCGATAATGTGTATTTAATACAATTAAATATTTTTTAAATCTCGATTGCATTTATTGTAAAACAAATTTATCGCCAATAGTATTGCGATATATGTTGTGATTATTATTGAAAACTTAGATTTTTGTCAAACAAATACGATTAATTTCTTAATTAATATTATATATAAATTTGCAAATAATACAGTTGCTTACTTGTAATACGTATAGTGAATAATTGATTAAAATCTGCACAAATTAAATTTTTGGATGTTGCGCACGGTTGATTGATTATTACGGGAGGGAATGTGAGGAATGTTGTTTCGATAACAAATTTTGTTATCTCATGTATAGAATGGTCGATTGATCATTAAATTAAAAAAAAAAAAAAATACATCATATACTTATGTTGTTAATCATAAATGTTGTTAAACAAACAATTGTTATTTTTCACTTTCATTATTATAATTATAAAGTGATTTTTTTCCATTTTCAAACATGTATACATACACCTCACAATACAAAGTAAATCATTTTAAAATTGCGATGCATATTTCATAAAAAACAAATAATATTTTTCGTGATGAAAATTGATTGCAATAATTATTAACTAAAAAGATTAATATATTATAAACAATATAGGATTAAAAAAAATAAAAGATAAAAGATAGGCAAATTGAACAAACGGCGCTACCGTAGAGATTCACGTATTTTATCTTCCTCGAGTAATTAAGCATCCGCTCTTTTTTGCGTACTGATCAATAAAGCAATTTAACTAATTAATATTAACAATTAATTGATAATAAAATAGTTAATTGAAAGTAAAAAATTAATTAAGTGGAAAAAAACATTATATAGAATTATCAGCTGTCTTAATCAATGAATTGTAAGATTATTTGCTTTGACAGAAACATATCGATTGCGGTACTGTATATTGTGACGATAAACTCGATTTTGTACAACACGTGAATGTCTACGATTTATCAGGTGTACTTAAAAAAAAAAAAAATTAATATATGTATACATATACAATATATATTTATATTAATATACAAATTCCATGCATTCCAGTAGATTTCGTTTTTATTAAAACAAAACAGATTGTGAATAATTGTAGATATTGAACAAAAAAAAATTAATTAATCGGATTAAAATTTAATTGATTTCGTAGCGACGTAGACAAATAAATTGATAATAAATTAAACTAAATAAAGAATTAAAGGGTGTTAAGAGAGAGGAATTTGTTCCACTGGATGCGGGCAAATATGAACTAAAGTGCTGAGCACGGTTCTTAAAAATAAAAATAAAAAATAAATTTTGATTAATAGTCTTATTTATAGACTATACAAATATATATATTGTAACCTGAATTTTTTCTCTGATCTTACATAAAATGTATAATAATAATAATAATATTAATAATAACAAGAGTAACACAATGAATCAAGATTAAAAAAAATTATGAAATAAATAAAGAATGAACTACAAATGCCTATGTACTCTAAACCTTTAAAAAAATGAAAATAAACTGCTATAACAATTACAAATGTATTTACTATTATTAATTGTTATAAACTCATTTATTTGTAAAAACTATATTTATTATTACTTTTAGTTATAATAATATATATAAAAAATCAATTCATTTATCAATATTATAAATATTCATTAAGGTGATCATTCGTGAGATCATTTTAATTCATAATAATAAAACGGATTAAAAGCACAATGCTATAGAGTGTAAAAAAGGATAATCGATTAGTTAACGTGTCGAGATAATTGTCGTGTCTTTAAAGTATATCGTGGACTCTGACGTTTTGGTGTTCCGGAAGACGGTGGTACGGCTTTCAGCGGCGTCCTTCGAGAATCTATAGCAGGTCTTCGTACCAGGGACCGTGCGCTTTTTGGTGTTTTTGTTGATAATGGTTTCTTTATGAGTGGAGTATTAATAGTATTCACATCTACGAACTGAGCCGCGTGATTAACTAAATCGTTTTCACTTTTTGCAATTGCTGCATTCGTTGATGAAACGTGATTGTGGCTTGATGAACTTAAACGTCTACCACTTTCTCTCCGAGTACTTGGAGATATAAATTGATGATCGTCTACAACCCGCTGTCTATTTTCTTGATCAGATAATAAACTATGACGACGAGTTGAACGTTTATCTAAAGACTGACGACTACTGTTTGGTGTGACAGTTATTTCACTTGGAGATTTAGATAATTTTGGTCGAGAACCAACACTCTTTGGGCTTTTGCTTTTTTTCTTACGTATATTATTATCTACTGGCAATGATTGAGAATTTTTTAATTCATGCTGTCTATTATTATTCCGTTTTTGTCGCTCTATTAAAGATTCCTGGGAATTTTTATTTTCATTGAGATCGAATAACCTTGCTTTGGCTAACACCATTCCCGCATTCTGAGTACGTAATTTTGCTATAGACGCTCGCGCAGTTTGAACCGCTGAAGTAGTAGTCCTCGCCGGAGTTTCACATTCAAAATAAACGCTCGCATTTTTCCAAGATATTTTTTTCTCTGTAACTATTTCGAGCACTCTTGAATCACCGCAATGGGTAATTTGCTCTTGATCGTTTGTCATATTTCGCTGGCTATTAATTTTTTTTAATTTATCGATCCGACTGTTGAACTGAAGAGTCTCATTGACAAGTTCATTGCCGTGAAATGAGGAAGCACGACGTACACCATTTATAGATGACTTTGGCATATTGATGATATTTAATGCTGCCTCATCGTCACTGAGAGTAGCACCAGTATGCTCTGCTGTGTGACTAATCAGTGTGCTTAATTGTTGTTGCAGATACATCAACCGCGCATTTGTTTCATCATTGCAAAATGAAGTAGCATCATCATTATCGTTCTCAGATGTTTCAGTAGTTAAATTTTTTGTTTGATTTTTTTCAGAAACTTGCCAAGATGGTGAATTATGACTTTGTCGCCGGCGTCCAGAGACGGGCTTTTCTTGAGAACGTCTTCGTAAGCTACTTATTCTTCGAGCACTTGGTGACCTTATGACTTTATGTTCTGAACTTCTTCTTATTTTCAATTCCTTGGACAAACGTCTTGCTAAATGATCAGCTGATACAATATTTTCAATACTCGCCTCTTCAAGTGTTTTTTCATATTCATTCTGGACATCATTTACAGAATTTTTATTTATTTGTTTACTTACACTGTGGTCAATAATACCGTCCATACCAAATTCTTGGGAAATGCGCGATTCAATAGCCGATACTCGATTTTTAATTTCTTCGTATTCTCTTTTCGGTATTTTAACATACTCCTCAGATGATTCGTCACCTTTATCATTAGATAATTGATTACCCTTGTTTATTCTTGATAAACGTTGTGATCTACGACGTTGACTAGTTAAATTAATGTCATCACGTTCTTCATTGTCATCTGATAAGTTAACATCTGCGTTTCTAAATACATCCTCGTATTGATCACCCATTGTAGCTTTTACAAAACGTTCTCTTTGCTTCGACGCGACTGACGGTGAGTTCATTAATGACGAAGCACTCCAATTCTGGATTCGTTGTTTTTTGAGACTCTTTTTTGAAGAGGCCTCACTGGATGTACTCCAACGCCGTTCAACTGAAGAATCAGGATAATCTTCTTCTTTTGTTGCTTCAAGTTCATTTATTTTTTGCTTACTGCGTGAAACAAGACGATCCAAACTTATTCCCAATTTTCTTGACTTTTCTGGTTTCTGATTGTGTCCAGCATGCACAGTGTGAGACAAATATTTACGAACTTTAGATGATTTGTGGGCTGAATATTTATCGGATGATTTTCCATCCCTTGGTGAAGTAACAACCACTTGCGGAATTGAAGCTGTGGCTCTTAAATCACTGTCTAATGAATTCCGTTTCTTTTTAGAACTCACTGCTTGCGCAGATACTCCATCGCCATTCCGTCGTTTTTTGGCAGCTTTACTAGGTGAAACTTGAGATGAATCATAAGTCAAAAGTTTTGAATGACTACCATTCAATGGAACAGGCTCAGGTGATCCATTTTTGCCAACAATTTTTTTAAGCCCATTAAACATTCCTATAGAATAAAAGAAAAAATATTATTAATATTCTAATAAACTATATATATATATATATATATATATATGACTTAATTAAAAAATCTTACGAGTGAGACTTCCGCTCCGATGTTTCTTCTTTTTTTCCTTTAAACGATCTTCAATACCACGATCAATGTCAATATCCATACAGTAAGCTTCTTTTTGCTCATCAATTAAATTTTTTGGTAGAACTCCTATGCAACGGGCATTCTCGATCAGAACCTAAAAACATTAATGATAAATAATAATAATTATTAATTAACAGCCCCTAAAAAATATGTAATTATATAAATAAATAAATAAAAATATTATAAACCTTGACGATAAAAAGATGTGCTTCCAATCTCGTTTGCATAGCAGCGATCGTTGTTTCGCGTAATGGCATAACGTTAGGTCCAATAACTTTAGCTAAATTATCACTAGACATTTTGTTATCACCCTCATGCTGGGATACGTTCTTCAAAAAATCCATAAAAAATGCCAGTGTATTTAAATGAAGTGCCGGTAATAATAAACAAGCCATGAGTATTGCTTCAACTTTGGAGCATTTGAGCATAAAACAACGTAAAAATATTTCATGGTAGTCATATGGTATTATTGGCTCCGGAAGATCGCGAAAATATTTTTTCAAACAATTAGCAACGTCAAGTGGATGATATTTTTCTCCTAATTCATTGCCATTATCTAGCCGATTTATTAGCTCTTTTTGTCGCGCTTGAGACCCGGCTTTTCTGAATAAACCTTCCTGACTAATATGTTTTTCAATAAAAACAATAGCATGTTTTACAAATATCGGTACTTGTACAATTGCTCCAGACGACAATTGTACAACATCCAACGGTTGATTTAGCAACGGCACATTGAAAACTTTTTTTGATTTTTCACACTGTTTATCATCGCTATCAACTTTTTTCACGTGTCTTTTAATACGTGATTTTATTCCTAAATTACGTAATTGATTTGTAACTGAGTTTATCACTTTTTCTTTATCCGAAACATCGTATATCAACATTTTGTAATAATATAAATAAACTTTTTAAAAGTTCGGCTTTGCGCCTGTAAATTTGTGCTGCTTGATGTTTTTTCACAACAGTTAAAACGAGAACAGGTCCATCTAGTGAGTGTTTTGATTATAATTATTTCACATAAATTTCTTTCTTATCAACCGGACAGCTCACACAGTGACACCTAACATTATCTCATAAATCAATTTATGTAGTTTAAGTTGGGAGTGTGTGAATATCCTCAAGTCATTCAGTTTAACCAAAAAGTATTTTGGCTAGACATTAATAAAAGTTTATTTCAGATAGAACAATGGAAGAACTTGGAATTATTTTACCTGATAAAGTAAGTAATCAATAAATTAAATAATTATTTTTACTTTAAATGATTTATTTAATCAGGACTGGACTTGTGGTTTATTTAAATGAAATAATGACAGCATTGACACAATCTAGGCTCCATTGTCATTAGCTACTCGATAACTATTCTCATTAATAAAATTCACTTATATTTATTTATTTGTTTGTTTCAACAGGATGTCTCTGAAATTGACGTTAAGCCTGTAATAGGCCACTACTCAGGCGTTGGAGATGATTTAGATGTTGAAGATCTTTACACAAGATATAAGGTATATTACTTTTATTGATGATATAGAAAATAGCAAACATCCGACTTATTTGTTTAAAAAAAAAAAAAAAAACTAAATGCTTGTTAATAAAATGATTTGGAAACAATGCATTAAAAAAAAATTTTTAAAAGTCAAATTCAGAATATTTTTTTACAATGTAATTTCTTATTGTTAATTTTTAAATATGTTATGTGAATAAACATATTTTTACATTATTAATAATGAATATTCAAACTGTTGCTAGAAATTACAACGGATGCTCGAATTTCTCCAAGTTCAAGAGGAATACATTAAAGATGAGCAGCGCAATTTGAAAAAAGAATATTTACACGCCCAAGAAGAAGTTAAGCGTATCCAGAGTGTGCCGCTTGTAATTGGACAATTTTTGGAGGCTGTCGATCAGAATACTGGTATCGTTGGTTCAACAACAGGCTCTAATTATTATGTGCGCATTTTGTCAACTATTGACCGCGAGTTGTTGAAGCCTTCAGCTAGTGTTGCTCTTCATAAGCACAGCAATGCTCTCGTTGATGTCTTGCCACCCGAAGCTGACTCTAGTATTTCCATGCTTCAAGCTGGTAAATTTAAATAGATAATATTATTTTATTTTCACTCCATTTTCTCAAATTAACAAAATTTGATTTTATAATTTTTTTAGATGAAAAGCCTGACATTCAGTACAGCGATATTGGAGGTATGGATATGCAGAAGCAAGAAATTCGCGAAGCAGTTGAATTACCGCTGACTCACTTTGAATTATACAAGCAAATTGGTATTGACCCACCACGTGGTGTCTTGATGTACGGACCACCCGGTTGTGGTAAAACTATGCTTGCTAAGGCTGTAGCTAGACACACAACAGCTGCTTTCATCCGTGTTGTCGGCTCTGAATTTGTCCAAAAGTATCTTGGTGAAGGTCCAAGAATGGTAAGAGATGTCTTCCGTCTTGCTAAAGAAAATTCTCCAGCTATTATCTTCGTTGATGAAATTGATGCTATCGCTACAAAACGTTTTGACGCTCAAACTGGTGCTGACCGTGAAGTTCAGCGTATTCTATTGGAATTGCTTAACCAGATGGACGGTTTTGATCAAACAACTAATGTTAAAGTTATCATGGCAACTAACCGTGCTGATACATTGGATCCGGCTCTCTTGCGTCCTGGTAGATTAGATCGTAAGATTGAATTTCCACTTCCCGATCGTCGTCAGAAACGTCTTATCTTTTCAACAATTACTACTAAAATGAATCTAAGTGAGGAAGTCGATCTTGAAGACTACGTTGCACGACCTGACAGAATTTCAGGTGCTGACATTAACGCTATTTGTCAAGAAGCCGGTATGCACGCTGTACGTGAAAATCGTTACATTGTTCTTGCTAAAGATTTCGAGAAAGGGTACAAGAATAATATTAAGAAAGACGAATCTGAACATGAATTTTACAAATAATTTATTAATATTATTATTAATGTAGACGCTTATGTATTCTCTTTTTTCTTGCTTAATATTTTTTTTTTGAATTTTTATATCACTTATAATATCCCTCTGTACTGTGGAAAATTTCATTTGTCATAACTAATTATATAAAAATAAATATTCGCTTTAAATTTGACGTCTAGTTATTTCTAAGATTTTTTTACAATTTATTTCAATACGCAATATTTCCTCTCCCTTATTAATTTTATGTTATATAGTATATATATACGTATTTAGTAAATAAAGCGCTAGTGTCACTTTGTATTGATGCGCTATTTTTTTTGACAATTACTTTCAATATTTTACTATCACTTGTATATAAAATAGTAATAAATACTATAATAGAAACAAAAACTTGTTTTTATAAAAATGGACTTACCAAGAGTTCTAATTGTGAGCACAGAAAATGGTAATAAAGCGTGTGCGATAGCTAAAGGTAATTATCAAAATATTATAGGTTAAAAAGTGAGTATTCTATTCGATTATTTTAATAAATATATAATTAATAAAATTATTTATTTATTTATTGTTGCATAGATTTAGATTCACAGCTAATGGGTGGTGATAACGATACTAAATATTTTTCTTGGAATATTGACAATAAATATTATTCAGCAAAAGTAGTATTATGTGCTACAGAGAAATTACCATTAGGAATGCCAGTTGATGGAGTCGAAGCAGTGATACTTCATTATGAACCAAAGGCAATTTTATTATTTAAAAATCCTAAGGGACTTAGTAATAATTATTTTTATCACTGAAATGTTATCATATAAATTAATTGACTCAGGGAGAAGAGCCATTACATTTGGAAGAGTACGTTTCACTGATTCAGTCTCTCAGTGAGGCTGATATTTTTTTGCTGGCCTGTGAAGCTTTTCCTAATGCACATAGTAAAGATCAAGGTATAACAAATAAACATAATTTTTTTAAGCTTAAAACTAAATAAATTATTTTTTATTAGTTATTGAATGGTGCCATATTCATAAGTTTGAGTTAGTTGAAATGACAAATTTTGATGCAACGTCGGATTCAATGGATAATGACTTGGAACCGGAAAAATTTGGTATTGAAAGACTTATCGAAGCATTGCATACTCATACTTGGCCTAATCGAATATTGAAAGGTAAATTATATTTTTCACACATATATTGATTATTAAAAACCAACTAATAATGTCTCTTATTATTGTACATAGGTATTCCTAATGGTAGAATTTCAACATCAACTGAGCCAGATGTAAATGAAATAAAAGATCAGCTAGAAAATATTCAACTAAATGCTTCACGTGATGGTACAGATAATTTATTGATGAACAGTGTACTAGGTATTGTAAAAATAGATCAATTAAAATTGATTAAATGCTAAGTTATGATGAATATATCTGAATTATTAATTGCTATGTTTTAGATGGTATTATGGGAGAAGAAAATACAGATTTTGGTGAATTATTTGGCCAACTAATGGCTATGAAAGAACATGCAGCTGCGTTATCTCCAAGTAATCGTCGAGCAGCGGCGGAACAACTTGTAACAACGTTTTGGAAGGCAATGGGTGGAGATGCTTCCGAAATTGAAGATTTAGATGATTAAATTTTCATTTTATTGTTATTAAGTCGATAAATTATCAAGTATTAATTGTACAAGTATAAAAATAAAAATAAAATGGAATTTTGACATAAATTTATGTTAATTTTATTTTAAAAAGCTGTTTTCAGATAAATATTTCACATTAATCTTATTTAATTTTTTTTATAAATATGATCAATAACTTAGAAATATTAATTAAGAAATAATTCTATGGCAACTTTCAAAAGATATTAAGACATTAATTTTTTTTTTATTATTATTTAATTTATTTGATTGAATAAATGATGTACTGAATTTTAAATTTCATTTTATCGAATTTCAAATTTCCCGGTTCGAATTTATAGCAGTTTTGCCGTGCTGCCGCCATTGATAAAAAAAATTGTAGTCATTATATTGGCAACAGTTAGTTTAACCAAGATGACCGTCGTATTTATATGTATTGCCAAATTTTATATTCATAATTTACAATAATTTGTAGTGTGATTGCTGTAAACAATAGATTCATTTTTAAAGTTTATAAAAATTAATATTTAACATGAAGCGCAATACATTCAGTTGACTGTATGTATATATTTTTGTAAATATATAATATACAACTACAAAGGTATACCCGGTAAATAGATTTAATAATAACACATTTATTTATATAAGGCCTGCGTTAATTTAATCTTAATTTTTTATGTTATTACTGAAATATTTTTTAATTATTAGGTATTGAAGCAGAGTACAGTCCAAGTATTGAAAAATAATTACAATGGAATCACCCGGACTAAGTGATCCACAACAACCTCGAGACGACATGTCTCAGAGTTCAAGCAGCGTTGCTAATGTTGATAGATCAGAGACCCCAGATAGCAATCGTGGTCCTGTTGATGATGAATCTGCAGCTGACAGTCCTAAAATAACAAAACCAGTTCTTGGCAAAGTTCAAGCTAAGAAAAGATTAATGGCATTTGCTAGTAAGTTTACTGCACCATTAATACAAAAGAGTTCTGATAAAGGTTTTAGTTTTAAAAGTCGTAACCTAAATTCATTTCAAGTAAATAAGAAAAAATTAAGTAGCAGTTCGAAAGATTCAATGGAAGGAGAAAATATAGCGAGAAATAAAACAAGTATTGAGCTTGAACTATCCGAAAAAATTCAACCTGATATAACAGTAACACTAAAATCAAAATCATCAAGTAAAAAAACTAAAAAAAGAGCTGAACCGAAAATAGCTGCTATCGAGGAAATCATTCGTGAAGCCGCTAAAGAAAAAGAATTACTAGCCATGCAATTGAGTGAGCAAAAAGCAAGACAACAACAAGAAGAAAATAATCTTGATGATTTACCCCGTAATAATGGTAGAAGTGATCGTAATAAAAGTTTTGGAAGGCATCAGCAGTGGGGTAATCGTCGTAGTCAAAACTTTCACAATGACAATTTTCGACGGGGTAATTTCAATCAAAATTATGGTGACAGAAAATTTAATGATAGACGAAGAACATTTAACAATGAATATTTTCGTGATCGTTCTAAAAGTAGAGAGAGAAGAGAAAGAGAGGACCGAGAAAGAAGAGAAAAAGAAGACAGAGTAGGAAGGGAAAGAGAAGATAGAGAAAAACCTCGACGGAATTTATTCGATATGGATCAGCAGTTTAAAATGAAAGAATACAAACACGACAATAAGCATTTCAACAAAAATCGGAATTATAATGATCATAAGAGAGAGAAAAAAGAGGAAATCATTGAGCGGAAAATAAAAACTCCTTGGAAAAATTTTAAAGGGCAAAATGGTCGAATACGAGAAAGATCTTTATCGTTAGAAATAAATGAAGATTCGAATTTTCTTGCGAATAGAGAAGTTAAGTTTAAAACAGCACAAGATTATAATGCACAACTGGAACATATGTTATTGATTGGAGATCATCATGTAAAACGAAATTGTGTCACTGTCGATGGAATAAATGATGTTAAAAAACAGTACCCACCAGAATCAATTCGTGTTACAAAGAAATTTAATGTTCCGAGTTTATTTTACAGTGAAAATCCAAAACTGTCTCTTCTACTTCCTTGTCAGCAACTTTATCAAATACTTCCCCCAGATCGCTGTAATACCATGCGAAAAATAGCCGATGGAACTGTCGAGCCTTCAAAGGAAGTTGAATACGATCAAGGTCCTCGGACATGGTACAAACATATGCACAGGTCTAGATCGAGAGACGCAACTCATGAAGTTAAAGATACTGAAAAATCTAAGTTTTCAGTGCGTAAGTCGAAAAAATCAAAATCTAGATGGGACAGCGGGGATGAGACGATGGCAAAAGTTGAAGTTCCTTCGTGTAGTTCTTCTCAGGTTCAATCAGAACATTCAGATGAAGAAAATGAAGTTACAAAAGTGCAACAAAAAGACGATGCAGAAAATGTAAAATCTGTAACAAAAGAATGTTTGGAAACCAGAGAAGAAGTAGAAGAAGAAGAAGAAGAAGAAGAAGAAGAAGAAGAAGAAGAAGAAGAAGAAGAAGATGGTGAGTTACCAAAAGAAGAAGAAGAAGAAGAAGAAGTACAAGATGAAGATCTAGAGGAAAATGATGAGGATGAAGAAATGGAGAAAGAGGACGGAGAAGCTGAAGATGAAAAAATTATTTTGCTGGAAAAACTAGACTCACCTTCTGAATCTTCTTGTTCAAATAAAATGATACCCGAGGAAGATTTATCTAACAAAATTGAATCAGATTTACTAGTATCTAATGAAGAGATACAAACAATAGAGACACCTATTGAAGAATCATCAAGTGAAATAAATGCTAAAACATTACAATTAGTTACAGATAACAATAATGATAACTTAATTAAGAAAGTTGAAGTTGGAAAAAAGTTGGTATCGGAATATGAAGAATTTCTGAAGATGGTTGGTCATGATGAAGAGGAAGAAGATTCTATAGCCATTGATCTGAATTTTGAAAATCCTTCAGTGATAAAAAAGGCCGATGTTGAGCCAGAGGTTATTAATCAACTAATAACTAATGAATTTATTGAAGAAAATACCGATCAAGACATTAAGATTACTCCAGTAATGATAGATTCTGTTGAGGAAAATAAATCTCTTAGTCGCTCTGAGAATACTTCAGATATTATTGATGCTAAAATTGAAAAGATTGATGAAACAATTGTAATAGACTCTGAAATAGGAGGTGGTTGGGAAAATATTAAAGAAAAAATAAAACATAAAAAATCATTGAGATCCCGAAAACGAAGAGAACGTAAAAAGAAGAAAAATAGAAAAAAAGTATCATCTAGTGAGAGTAGTGATTCTTCATTTAGTTCATCGGAGTCTGAAGCTGAGAAACGTAAAAGAAAACGCAAAAGAAAGAGAAGGAAGAAACGTACACGAGATTCAAGTTCTGATAGTTCCAGTAGTGACAGTGATGCTTCTTCTAGTGATGAGAGTATTAAATTGTCGAAGAAAAAGAAAAGAAGAAGAAAAATTAAAAAGAAGCTGCGAATTAAAAATAAGAAAAAACGTTTAAGAAAAGAAAGTACAGTTTCAAATTCAAGTTATGAATTTGATGAATTAACGCGTAAGCGTAAAAAAAGAAGAGATTCAAAACATCGTAAGACATCTAAACAAAGACGATCTAAGTCTACTGAGAAGAAAAAAATAAAAGTTACTGATGAGCGTAAAAATGAGAAGATAGAAAACGAAAATCTCGAAGTAATCATTAAAAAAGATGTGCCACAATTACCACACTGGGAAACTGAAGTTAAAAAATCTAATGTTAGTAGCATTGAAGTAAGTCCTGAAGTTACTCAAATTAAAGAATCTTCAGAAGATAAAACGATTCCACAGGTAATCATAGAAGCAGCGATAGCTGAAAAGCTTTATGAAGTATGGGACAACAGCTCAAATTACACACAGATTACACAGCCGCTTGATGATCAACAGCCAGAAGAATCCAAAATTGAAGAAACGCAGAGTGAAAAAAGTGAAGTTGTGAATGAAAACCCTACTGCCGTAGAAGATGAAGAAAAATCTATTGAAAACACTGAACCTGTGCATCATTCACCAACTGAGAAAGCTACCGATGTTATTGAAATAACTACTGATACAGTAAGTGATAATCAAAGTGATAAAAAGAGTCAAAGAGATAGTTCAAGAAATAAAAAGGTTAAAAAAACTAAAAAGAAGCGTCGCAGTATTAGTACTTCTAGCACATCAAGTGATACTAGCAGTGAATCATCGGACGATGTCAGCAGTAAAAAGAAATCTCGTGAAAAGCGGAAAAAGAAAAGTCGCTCAAAGCGACGCTCGCCTAGTCAGTCGGAGTTGATTAAAAAACTTAAAAAATATCGTGCTAAATTAACAGAATCATTGGATTTTGACGCATTACATTTTCCATCTTTAACACAACTTGAAGAGAATACTGAAACTTTACCTATTATCAATGATTGGGAAGTTGACAGTATGGATGCTGTAGAGAAATTCATTACAAATGCAACAAAAGAAATATCTGCAGAAAAATCTGATAAGAAAGTTGAGAAAGCATTATTATATGACAGCAAAACTGATATGTATATTCCTGTTGAAAAGAATAAAACTCCACGAGAAAATAAAAAGAAACCGGCTAATAGAGTTTGTTCATTAAGAATTTGGGAAGATGAGGAGGAAGAAGGTGAACGGGAAGCGAAAATGTTGATGGAAGAAAAAATTAAAATTGAGAATGAATTACAAGTTCCGGATGATCAACTGAAAATTGAAACTATTACATCACCTACTTCAACAATTATCGAGGAGAAAAAAGAAGAAGAGAAAAAGGTTGATGATATTTCAGAGAACATTGTTAAAAAAGAAGACGAAGAAGCAAAAACTTCAATAGAAGAAAAATCTTTAGAATGGGTAAAAAATGTTCCTGAGTGTGAAAATAATGCTGTAGAAATTTTACCTGAACAACAAGTGCCGATGACGACGCGATGGACTGAACCTAGTCCAGTTTTATTAAAAGAAGAAGAAGAAGAAGAAGAGTTGGAAGATGATAATCTTGTGCCTGTAAACTGGGAAGAAGAAGAAATTGATTGGGAAAACCAGTCATCATTAATTACTGGTGTTAAATCAGTACAGACATCAAAGAATAAAAAAGAATCTAGTGAGAGTAGTAGTGATAGTAGTGACACTAGTAGTAGCAGCGAAAGTAGCGATAGCGATACTGAAAATGTTAAAAGAAGTCAACATAATTCTTTGGATAAATCTAAAAATGTAAGTCCAGCTGTAGAAACTGATGCAATGAAGAAATTGCGTATGAATATGTTTGCCGAGTTTGCGACACTCGAGTCTACAGACAATTTTTCTCAACTTTCAGACCAGAAAATCAATTCAAACGTATCACCATTTAAATTAAGTCCTCAACAATTGCAATTAGCAAAATCTGAAGTCAAATCGGGTGAATCTGCGGATATCTCCGTACCAATATTCGATGATACTCGTTTTGTTACCCAAACACGTGAGTCAGATACTGTTGTAGAAAAAGGAAAATTCCGTGCAAGTTTCCAAGAAGTACGACTTAGATCATATTCAAGATCTCCAGAACAAGATTCAAAGAGAAGTTTGAATTCCCGAAACGACAAATCTAAAACTCGCAGTAGTGAAGACAGAGCAAGTAGTTCAAGCTATCGCAGCAGTAGTCGTGGTTCAGTCAAAGACTCTTCTAGAGATCGTAAAAAAGTTGATGACAAAGACTTGAAAAGATCTTCCCTCAGTGCTGATCAAAAGAAGATCAGTCCTCTCAGTGATCGCGGCTTGAAAGAAAAACGCCATTCTCCACTTTCATGGAATAGAAGTCGCAGTAGAAGCCGTAGTTGGAGCCGGAGTCGTAGTAGGACTCCTTCTAAAAGAGATGACAAGTTATCATGGGACCGTCAAAAACGTATGGGGCGTGTTGATGATAGACGAGAAAGATTTTCAAGAAGTCCAGATCGTCGAGGACGATTGCATAGAAGCAATGAAAGCGAAAGAGGTCGTGAACGTGATCGTAGTCGTGACAGAGATTGGAGTCGTGAAAAAATTACCGAGAAGGCTTATGATCCTATGGAAATTTTAAGAGGTGTTGCTCATGGTGGTGATAAACAACGACAAGCTGCTTTGGAACGACCTCTCGATTCTTTGGATGTTAACATCTCATTTTCAAGTGATTTAAATAAATCTCGCTACAGAAGTAGAAGCCGAAGCCGAAGCCGAAGCCGAAGTAGAAGTAGGGAACGACGGAATCGTGATATCGATTGGGATCGATCTCGTGAATCACCTGACTCATCTCGTAGCAGATCTTTAGACACTCGAAAATCATCACGACTGTCTCCAAGATCAAGAGGTTCTCCGCTGAGATCTGGACGTAGTAGATACTCAAGTCGCTCTCGATCTCGGTCATGGACCAGGTCCAGATCAAGAAGTCGCTCACGTTCAAGATCACGGTCTACACAAAGATTTAGATCACGATCTCGATCATCTTCAAGATCAAGGTCAAGATTAGGATTGAGAAATTCGGATCGTGGTCAAAGATCATTAGACAGGTCCCGACGTTCAAGATCATTTTCTCCAGAACAACGAAAATTAAACACAGTTGGTGGTATGGGTTACCGAAAAAGTCCTAGTAAAGAACAAATTCAACAAATAGAAACAATCATTCATCCACCGGGAATAAGTTCATTGTCCCATCAAAAACCTCAAAGTATTTCACAAGTTAATGATTCGAATAATATACCAGTGCCTACTCAACAGTTTGAATACTCGTATTACCCTGGAAATAACTTGACTTATCCACCACGTTTAGAGACCACCACTATAACTACACCGACTATGGCAGCTGCGACTATAAATCCACCTGCAGGATCACCAAAACGTCTTTCACTGGATGAAAGGCTAGAATTGGAGTTAGGAATTAAGAAAAGTCAAGAGTCTTTACCACCACCTCTACCAACATCACTGCCACCACCACCACCGCCACCTCACACTTACCATCTTCCCAAGTATAACCCACCAACCATGCAATATCCACCAACATCGGTAGTGCCAGTTCTTCAACCACGTATTCCAACATCTCTTCATGGTCCATATGCACGCCCACAACAGCCTACAGTGCTCCAAGTCGGCAATGTTCTACAAGTTGTACCAGCTGAATATACTAGTCCAGTTCCTCCTGTGGGAATCAGAAATGATATGCCAACACCACCATCGTCAACTAGTAATAATCCAAACCGTTTGGTACGTGTAGGTAATGTCGTGCAAGTTGTACCATCTACGACATTAGATTGGAGTGGACCTGTACCTCCACCAGCACCAATACCGTCAACATCATCATTACCAATGAGCAGCGTGCCAATGGCAATTCCTGTTCCTATGCCAACTCCTGTTCCAATGCCAATAATTTCAAGTGTACCACCAGTTTCGCATGCAATTATTGTTCCAGTCCCTCCAGCCACCCACGTTCAACCGATTTCAAGACCAGCTCAGATGGCAGCACTTCCTAAACTTGAACCTCCAAAAGCACCACCGGTTCTTCAGCCAATTTACAATTATGAAGCTATCATGGAAGTTAGGAAGAAAGAAAAAGAAGAGCGAAAACAATTGCGTGATGAAAAACGTCGTGAAAAAGAACGTAAAAAATTGGAAAAAATGCATCGTCGTGCTAAACGTGCTCTGGGACAGTCCAGTAGTCATATAGCTACTGAATCACCCGTTGAACCTGATACTACTGTTGAAGTTGAAATAGAAGAGGCATCAGTTAGTATACAGCCTGGACATTCAGCTGATGAAGATATTGATGAACAAATCCCTCCGACGCTTGGGCAATCAGATGAAAATCTTCCGGAAGACGAAGATGAAGAAGAAGAATATGACGAAGGAGATGTTGAAGAAGACGATGAAGAGGAAGATGAGGAAGAAATAGAACCTGAGCCAGAAATTGAAGATGAATCACGCGTCGTGAATTTAAGTGACCAACAACTTGATATTGATGTACCTAGTGTTAATGAAAATATTGATGAAGATTCAGCTCCTAATGTTAATGTTGATGTTACGGCATCATTGCCTCCACCACCTAGAAAAGGAATCCTCGTTCCTCCTGGTCTATGGGATGAAAGAATAGCAAACGGTGTATTGGATGATGATTCTAATACTGCTTCCAGTACTGCTGATGTGGTACAAGCTGATAGTGGAGAACTATCAACAGCAAATGTAAGTGAAGAAAAATCAACTGAAGTAGATCCAGAGGAAAAAAAATTACGAATACCAAGACAACGTAGATCACGCAAATCAGTGCAGTTTGCTGATGGTATAAAACCAGGCGAAGGTACGAGTCCAAGTGGCGGTGAGGGTGACATGCCATCTCCACCACCACCGACCCCTATGTCTTTACATGATCCTCTAAATGAACATATCAGAAGGTCAAGGTCTCGGAAGAATCGTAAGAAGGCTAAACGTGCCAAACCTTTGAAAATAAAGAAGAAGGTCAAGGTAAATAATTTTTATTACTTTTTATTATTCATTATTAGTATAAATAAATGAAAATGTTATTTAAAATTTATTTATTTTCAGGTAAAAATAATAAAATTAAAGAAGCCAAAAGTAACACCATTGACATCAATGTTGATGGATGATTCGGACGACATGGATGATCGTTCACCTCCGCCGCCACCACCAGGATCTCCACCGCCTCCGCATCTATGGCCAAGTTATTTAGCTGCTTACAGCGCAATTTTACGTCCTGTTGAAGGAACATTATCGCCGAATAACATCCAGGCTCCACCGCCTCCCACTCCATTACCGCTACTAGTTCCTCCTCCTCCACTCAATTGTCCTATCTTACCTTGTAACAAAGCTTAATTTGATTTTTGTTATTTTACTGACGTAATAGATATTTTAAAATCTATTAAAACGTAAAGATTATTTACGAAAACCTTGTACATACAACTTTTCGTTCTAGTTATTTAAACTTCAATATATTACTTTTCTTTTATTACTAATAATCCTCGATGCTAAATATGGTTGTAATATTATTATAGATGATAATATTACTAAGTAATATGACTAAGTAATTATTACTTACCTGTGTAGATATTTTAGTATCGACATTATATTTAAGAAGAAAAAAAAAGAGTATTTTCACTGATTTTCTTCACGTTAAGTGTAAATACATTTTCATTCTTCATTTCAGTTAATCTATTTTATAGATATGTTATATTACCAATAGATAAATAAAATATTAACTTCAGTTTGATATAACTTCATGTTTAATTTTTTCCCCTTACCTAATTATTAATATTATTTTATTTTTTAAATATTAAAAAACAATTCACCTTGAAAATAAATTCAATAAAAATTAATAAGGTCATTAATCTTAATATATTAACATTGAACAGATGTATATTTTAATTAACTAAATATAAGCAATAATTTTAATTCTAATGTTAAAAATTTAAAAGATTCAATAAATTCAATTAATAAATATTTATTGACGTCTGATTTTTTTAATGAGTTTGATTAACGATTTTTGTTTAAAAATTAAATATAAAAAATTTAACATAAGAAATGTTATTAATGTGTGAAAGAATTCAATATTTCGCGCCATTTAGATCTACGCACAGGTAGAGGAGGTATTTAAAAAAATGGACTACAACTTCGTGTAGTTGTTTTATTTGGTTTTCTTGGATCTCTGCTTGGATCAGTTGTTTGATTCACGCGCGACAATAAACCATATGTGAATGTATACATACAATCGGTGATCGAATAAAAAGGTAATCCAAGCTCACGTGGATTTTTATAAATTGTCAGTGTAAATTTAAAAAAATTCAATAATTGTTATGATAAAAAAAAAAGAAAGAAATTGAACGAGATTGACGTATGGATTATTGGATTATTTATTTAATAATAATATACGATGAACTGAAACAAGGCCATATTACACTGTTCAATACATATTATATCAAAAACCAGTTTATTATTCACTCTGAATTCATTGCGTAATGTTCAAAAGACAGATAACAACATTAAAATTATCATACGTAGGATGAAACTCACAGGAAGCGGTCAAAGTACGAAAAAGATTATTACTTTTTTTCACGGTACTTAGTTTTCATTTTTTAATTCTTATACAGGTGCAATTGATTGGTTGTAATTATTAATTAAAATAACTGCACAATAACTAATGAATTAACATTCCATGTCATGATATTACGTTTTTAAATCATTCAAGAAATATATTTAATACTTTGTGAGAGGTGATTCAGTAATTATCAAAGATGCCTTCCAGACTGAGTAAATTTGCTATTAACACAAATAATTGTAAAGATTTTACACATCCGTGGACAGATTCATGTATGTCAGCACAAGTTGGACTTGGGCTTCATGCACTCCAAGAATCCCTTAAAATATATTCAACTGTTTACTTGGTATGTTACTTTTTAATTATAAAATTAAATTTTCTGAAACTTGTTTTTTATTAATATTATTAATATTATTCACATTCAATTATAGGGAGCATTATTAATGAGAGGAAAAGTACCTTCAAAAAACGATGTATTAAAAGCGATCTTTGGTATTTTACAATCAACAGCATTTTTATCATGGAGCGCTTATACATATCCAATATTTATCTGTACTTTCAGGTACATTATTATATATTTTATTAAACATATATATTATTTAACTTTATGATTAATTTTACAGAAAACTATTAGGAAATTTCAATATTATAACAGTATCTTTTCTTCCATCCTTTCTTTCGAGTCTAGCTGCGATAGTTATTGAAAGGCCGTCAAGAAGAACACTTTTGTGTTTGTATGTCGCCAATATCGTATGTATCCGTTAATAAGACATAAAAAAAATAACTATAAATAATTAACGGTGTCTTAAGTAGTTTTTTTTTTTTTTTTTTGTAATAGGCAACAGAGACAGTTTTTCGGATGGCTCAATGGCGAGGCATTGTTAAGCCAATACCGTACGGAAATGTTTATATATTTGCAGCTAGTATGACCACGCTGATTTATTTTTATCGAAGCAAAAGTTTAAAGACAGATTCGATATTTAAATTACTACGAATTGTTATTAGTCCTTATGATGACCCGGAATATGCAAAGCACCGAGTTTTGATATCTGAGCCATCAACTAGCAAAAATATAAATACTCAAAAAAAAAATTCAGTTGATAAAAGTAAAAAAAAGTCTTCTTACAATTTTATACAAGAATCAATACGAGTTTATCAGAATTTTATAAACTGGATTAAAAATACTGCTAAACACAATTCGTGTCCCCATCCGTACAGTTGTTTGCATTTTATTCTAGGAGGTAGTTTTAAAATGTTCAGTTTTGGATTATCTATTCAACTAGGATTGAATTTGATATTTAAATTTAGAAAATTTATGACAAAGCCTAGTTTGTTAAAAGAAGAGTTTCTTAAGAAAAGTACTTTTAATTTGGCACTATTTGTTGGAGGATTTTCTGGAATTTATCGGGTAATTTTTTTTATTTAATATAATAATTAAAAAAGTATATGAAATTAATTTATTTATTTTTCCAACAGTTAGTATCATGTTTATTGAGAAATTTAAGTAATAAAAATTCGAAATATCACGCTATACCTGCAAGTTTATTAGCAAGTGTATCATTTACGATGTATCCAAGTAATACAATAGCGTTGTACGTTATGTGGAAATCTTTGCAGGTATGTGAAAATATAATATAGCACTTTTTATTTTTGTGTTTATTAACTTATTTTTAATTTCAGCTTCTGTGGAACAGCGGAGTCGAAGATGAAATATTACCAGAAGTAAAGTGGTTTAATATTTTCTTATATTGCTTCTGTACAGCTATACTTTTTCACGTGGCAATTATTGAACCACAAAATTTACGTGGATCTTATTGGAAATTTTTGTGTTCTATATCTGGCGGAAGGTAACAATATAAATTATTTATATCTGTTTTAAAATTCAACTAATTAAAATAAATTCATTGTTATAGAGTGGCTGCAATGTCACGTACACCTCTCGATCAATTTGGATTGGAAACTTCTAAACATCTCCAAGAAGTCATGAAAAAAACGAATACCACAGATTACTTTCCATACTCATACTAGGATATACATTTATTTAAATTTAATCTGGTATTGTTTTTTTGCATTAATTAATAATATCTATTATCATGAAAAGCGTTAAGTGATCTCGTAAAAAAATGCAGATGAAAAAAATTAAAAAATATTGGTGTTCACCGGGTAATTATAATTAAAAACAATTTGATAGCCTTAACAATATATTAGGGTATGAATTTTTATAGTAAATATATGAGGGTCCAACTCAATCTTACACATTTGAAGATTGAAACCAAAGAATTGAAGTCAAGATATAAATATTACGAAATGCATTTTAAAATTGAAAAATTTGTTCACTAAAAAAAAAAAAACTGTTAAATATTTAAAAAAATAGAACTTATATATACATACTAACGTTCACAACGAATAACCGTCCAATCTAGATTAAATAAATTAATGAATAAAATAATTATATTCATTAAATTGAAATGTTTTTTAAACTTATAGACGAATATAATAAAAATATCTATTAATAAAAATGTTAAATTTAATTTGTGGTGCGTATAGAACAATATTGTGATAGTTAATATTTTTTATGCCATTATTAGCTAATCTTTAGTAACAATATATTACAGTATTTAGTTTAGAAATATTTCTTGGGTGCAATTATTAGTTTATAATTATTAAAATAAAAACAAATATATATTATAAATGTTTAAAAGATTTGTATTAAATTATTAAAATATTTTTTTATTTTTTATTTAAAAAAAATTTAATTATTATTTTTTGTTTTTACAATTTCAATAGCTTTATTTATCATATCATCTGCGTCATTATTCTTACGTTTACGTTTCACTCGTTGTTTCTTCTTTAGTAAAACTGTATCCCAATCAATTTGACTGCATGACATTATCGTTTTACTGTCAATTATTCCAGGAATAATATCAGACTCTCTTGAAGGATAGAGTAATTTTGGAGTAACATCTTTGGATTCAATTCTTTCTAAATTATCAATTTGCCATGGCAGAATACCGAAATCACTGCTTTTCCAATTATACTTATCTGAAGCCAATTCCCAATTTGTATTACGAATTTTCATGTCAGCTAAATCTATCTTCTCACAAGTAGCATTATTTTTACTGCTGTGGCCAATATGATTAAATTCATTCCCAGTAATTTTTTTAACATCTTCAATTGTGTAAATTTTATTAAAATTATGCTGAGAACTTATTCTATCACTGTCCATATTATTTTTATCGTCAGTATTGGTATGACGATGAATACGAATTATAGATAATAATTGAGTCTTTTTCTCAGCATCAATACGTGGTTCAACCAAGTCTAAAATTGGTTCAATAAATTTAATAGTAAATTCATTGACATTAATTGCTAAATCAGAAGCAAAATTAATATTGATAAACATCGGTGGTATATCAGACATAAAGTTCAACCACAAAGCATGCTCCAATTCTGGATGTGACTTATTGAGTTCTTCTTTCAATTTCATTTCCAACAATTTTGGATTAACTTTTTTATTATTCTTCAGCATGGAATGCTCAAATACTTGTATCTTATCTTGAGCTATTTTTATTTTAATCAATCCTTGAGCAACGGCATTGATCCACAATGCTGCACACAATCTCCTATGGTTATCAACTGATGATTTTGTAAAGTCAATTAATTTCAATGTCAAAGCTTCAAGCATTTTTCTTTCATGTAGCATAGCAATAAAGGGTTGCCAAAGTTTTATCATCACCTCTGGTAAACATGAATAGTCAGTAGTTTCTGTGGATTCTGATTTGCTAATAAGCAAGTTAAGAAAATCAGAAGTTGGTAAAAAAGCTTCATTTTTGAATAAAATATTCAGCACGACCTGTGTTTTGTCATATGAAGTTTTATAACGACTGAGAATTGTGAAAATATCAGTCAATAAATATAAACGTGCTATAGACAAAGGATAATCGCTATCACTATTATCTTTTTTCTCATTTAAACTATTCCGTGATTTTTTGGAGTAATTTTTTAAATCATTCAATGTATCTCGAAGATGTTCATCAGGCAAATCTGATACCGAATGATAATCTACCGCCATGTAGAGACCGACTGCAATCCACAACTCAATAAGATCAACAAGTACTCGAGCTTCTGCTGTTTCTTCACTGTCAGGAATTTCAAAATCTCTGGAACATTGCTGGTCAATACTTTTTTTCCCTTGAGCTGTCCAGTATTCATCGTGAACCCAACTTAATAACACGTTAGCTGCTGTCCTCAGTAACTCTATTGACGCAAGTTCATGACCGTGAGCAGCATTATGTCGTAAATGAACAATCCACTTGGGAATATTTAATTGTCTTGCAATTTTAAACAACGAAGTATGTCTTGTATTTCCAATATTAGCAATGTGATTTAAAAATTTCATTATTGTCGTTGAGTACAACAAACACAAGTCATTTTCATAAGACAGTGGCAATTCTCCATTGTTTATTTTGGGACTCCAATCTCTGTCTCGAAGACACACTTGCATTAATGAAAGCGTGCAATCTACTCCTACGGGCAGCTTTGGCATTCTAACACATTAAATAATTTTTTATTACTATATGCTTATTATTATTTTATTTTAATTCATAAAATAACTTACCGAGCTTTCCATACAAGTAAGGTCTCATAACCTTTTGTCTGTGCCTGGGTATCGTTCGAGTAAATTTGTTTGTAAACTTGATGCCATTCCGCACTAAAATTATAAAAATACAGTAATTAAAAAATTTTAATAATCAAATTATTCTTAAAATATTTTTTTAACTTACAGAGAAAACCATGGTACAAGTTTTAAATTTTCATTTTTAGCTAAAAGAGCCATAGTACACGTGTTTACAATAAATAACAACCACCACAACTATATAAACTTTCTATCTTTCTCTCTCTCTCTCTCTCTCTCTCTTTTACTCTACAGTTAAAATTCACCGGAAGTCATATATTTTTGCACTTCATTACTATTGTTGTCATCTTATAAGTTTATAAAAAATCTCAGCGACAGTATTTTTTTTTTGTATTGAAATAATTATCATGGCTAATAAAATTAAAGCGGTATTTATAGATTTAAGTGGTACAATCCACATTGACAATACTATTATTCCCGGTGCTATTGAAGCGTTAAAAAAGTAAGTTAATATAACATAATAAAAAAAACTTCAGCTATTATTTTTATGTTTCAGAATACGCATGAACGGATATTTATATTTAATTTAAATTTTATTTAAAGATTGAGAAGTACTAATGCAAAAATTAAGTTTGTTACAAATACAACAAAAGAATCAAAATCGTCTTTACATAATCGTTTAATTAATCTGGGTTTTGATATAAAGAAAGATGAAATATTCAGCTCTCTCGCTGCTGCAAGAGAACTTGTTATTGCTAAAAAATTCAACCCATTTTTAATAATTGATCCCGCGGCAATGGAAGATTTTGAAGATTTAATTAAAACTAATGAAGAATCTAATGCCGTAGTGGTTGGACTAGCGCCGGATAAATTCAACTATGAAAAACTAAACGAAGCTTTTCGGTAAATTTTTATTTTTAAATACGTATAAAATATTAGAATTTGTTGATATATAATTTATTGATGTTCTAGACTATTAATGAAAGGAGCTTCTTTAATTGCAATTCATGAGGGCCGCTATTATAAACGCCCAGATGGTTTAGCTCTTGGACCTGGTGGATTTATTAAGCTTCTTGAATACTCAGCTAATGTCAAGGCCGAAGTAGTTGGTAAACCGACAGAAAAATTTTTCACAACTGCTTTAGATGGAATTAGTCCAAGCGAAGCAGTAATGATTGGTGATGTTAGTTGATTTTATTTTCTACCAGTTTAATATTATATTAGATTCTATAATCAAATAAAAAATTCTTTAGGATGTCAGAGATGACGTAGGTGGAGCACAAGCTGTTGGAATTAGAGGTATCCTTGTAAAAACTGGAAAATATCGTCCTGACGATGAAAAATTAATAACTCCACCACCAACAAAAGTTGTTTCATCGTTTGTTCAAGCTGTCGACGAAATTATGAATAATATGAGTTAGAAATCTATTTAAGATCAATTAAATGTAATTATAACTTTATCTAAGTCAATTATTGAAGATAAGATTTACTTAATAAATTAAATATTTTATTTAAATGTTAATAGGTCGAACATTATTTTACAATAATAGGTCATTTTACGATAGTGTTATTACATACTTATTTTAATTATTACTTACATATAGAGTGACAACTGACTTTAAACTTGTCAATCAAATTCAATGATTATTGTTCATAAGAATAATTTGCTCCAACGAATTAATCGGTTTTTTTTTACTAAGTACTTGGGAATTAAATAATAATGAATATGTATGTATTTTATGTTTAAAACAAATTAATTTTTTTAGAGTTCAAATTGACTAAAAAAGTAATTTAATTTAATTCACATTAATTTATTAAAATAATAATTCATCTTTATTAATACACTTATATTTTACGTATGCATTATTAATTTATTTATTAATGATTGTTTAGTTATTTTATAGTTGACAAAAAATATAATTACTGTATTACTATACTAATGCCTTTAGTTTTTTTTATCTAGTTTATTGTAGTTATTAAAAAAATTTTTGGCACCTTCCTAATAAGTCTTATTAAAGCCGAAACGATAAATTTTATACATACGCAAATAATATAAAGAGTATAAGAAACTACAGCATGTAAAAAGAATTTAGGAATTAATTATTTTAACTTAATTTATAACAAAGCTGGTATTTTATATTTTTCTTTAATTTATTAGTGTAGAAAAAAAATAATAAAATGAAAAAATAAGATAGAATATTTAAAATTTATTTATACAGCTTTGAAATAGTTTTATATTTATAATAACTGCACACATTTCTAACAATTAAATAATTGTCATACGGTTGGTATTTACTTATTTATACATTTTGATTTATTAATGAAGTTTTAAGTTAATCCCTTGTACTGGGGTTATAAATAAAAATGATTTTGATCGATAATAATCCAATAATCGTTAAGTGAATATATGACAACGCTTATTATTATTATTATATGAGTGGATTACAAGACGACAGATATATTTGAAGGGATTTTTACTTTTTATGTATATACATTTTTATTTATTTGTAATTATAATTAATATTAGATGGATGAACATGATGTATAAAGTTAGTGTAATTAATATTTAAATAGTACACCAAAATATTTAATTAACGGCAAATCGATATTCCTACTTAAAGCAATTTTTTTTTTTTATAACAAAGTCATTACCATTAAAATAAAATTTTAGGCCAAGTGTAAGTTGATAATAAATTACACTCAAGAGTATCAAAATTCATTTATATATTATCGCATATTTTTTTACCTACGGAAAAATTATTTTTTGAAAAGTAACCAAGTAATATAGAATAAAATTAATAAGAGAAATAAGTTTAACATAAGCACATAAGATTAGACAACAATCAAAATTATTTTCAACTAAATTTTACAATCAAGAGTTATAAAGAAATTCAATAAATATACATATACAATCAATTGATGTATCTACAAATTAAAACTCTTGATTATTTTTATGAACAGTATGGTGTCGTGACGTATTTACTGATGTCCTCTTTACATAGGAAGACAAAGAATGAACTAATTAAAATAAAAATAGTTATCATCGACGTACGAATGGTTTTTTTTTTTTATAGGTATGAAATGAGTCGGTAAAACATCTTTATTTATAAATATATACGATGAAATTTGGCGATGAGAATATTATTACTATGCCATTATCAAATATCACCTAATATCATTTCTAATATTCATACATTTACACTAAATGCATTATTTTATTTTATTATTTTCTTATCTTTTATCTTGTAGCCTCATCAAAACATTCATGAAAAATAAATCAATACTCTGTGAATTAAACCCGTTTCACCGACTCTTGTTACTTTTCATTTTATCAATTATATGTTATTATAATTCAATCCACATTTTACAATCATTCTTAATGGTGTTTTTTTTTTTTTTTTTTTTTTTTTTTGGCAACGTAGCATTGAGGCGCAATAAAATTGAATTTTTATCAATAACAGTTTTTCGTGAGGACGATTTTATTTAGCCGCGGCACAAAACCAGGCACATTTGAGAGGTCCATTACTTGTTAATCGAAACCCTAACTATTTAACAGGTCGATAATAAAGTGTCAAATCCGCTGAGTTCTTCCAAATAAAGTGTTTTACCTAAAATAATTTTTATTTTATAATATTAGTAACAATAACTTTAAAATAATAATAAATTAATATTTAATCAATTAATAATTCTTACTGTTCTTAAATCCATTGAAGGGTCTAATACTTGATCATTACAAAGAAGTTCAACTTTTTCCTCAGCTAGAGATGAATTATCAGCATTTGAATCCGTATTAGCACGATCACCTGCTGGTGACCCACTTGATACTGTATTTCCACCACCAGCTACTGATCCCGAGTCACTTCCAGCACCCAAAACTTTATCATATACATGCTCGATAACTTTGCGAACTTGAATAAAATCATTAGCAATCAATCGATCTCTGAAAATTAAAACAATTGAGTAAGCATTATAAATATTTAATTTGTGAGAATTATAATAATAATAAAAATGAAAGTATACTTTTTAAAATTTTTAAAACCTGATGATGGGTGTGGTGATAAATGGAATGGAATTTTTATAAATTTAGGTAGATTTTTATCAACAACAATATCCACAACCCACGAAGGTACTGTTTCGTTTAAAAGAGCTCGTTCAGTTTCACCAGCTGCGTCTCGTACTAAAAGTCTGTACAGCGTTTTTCCACCAACTTCACTATAAAAATAAATTAAGCGAATGATTACATTATTAATAAAACAACAACAATCATCTATATTTACCTGAATATAACTGGTGTGTGACCAGGTACTGGGAAATAAAGATTTCCATCCCTGACATGTGCTTGACCACTTCCATCATTACTGTTACCTTCATTTTCATCGTCAGCATGCATTGGTTTCCACCAATGCTCAAGTAACGCTTGCAACAATAAATTACCGTAGTTAACTTTTTGATCAACATTATCATTATCAGTAATCCCAGTATCTCTTGCGGAGACCCATGCCGAGAAACAGTCGTTTTCATCTTGTCCTAGATGAATAGTCAGCATACCAGTTTTAAGATCTACATTAAACCAACTTGGAATATAAACCATTTTATTTCTTTTTTTAACTTCTTGATCGAAATCAACACGTCCAAGATCTTCTACTTTACAGGCTTTAAGTACATCATAAAGCGCGATATTTTCTTCAGTATCTTTAGTAAGAACGTAACGTCTATCATTTAAAATAACGTGATGCCTGATTGCTGGACCACCGAGTATTTTTTGAGCAGGCTCTGTATGTTTAGGTACCATTCCACTATTACCACTACCCGCTGTTTCAACACTATAATCACCACATTGCCAATCTCTTTGATTGATACACCAATTATTAATTGTCGATTCACTAGTAGCTACCCAAATACTCGATTGATCTGGTGTCATTGCCATTTTTAATATCGGCGCACTCTCATTACAAATCACAGTATATCTTTCTGGATTCCTCAATTCTGTCATAATAACCCTCTTATCACGTCCACCCGATATTACATGACTAAATGTGTCTGTTGCTAAAAGCGCCCAAACACCCTCAGTGTGTACTCTGAATGTTTGTATACACAATTGTTGAGCAAGGGACCATAATTTTATCGTACCGTCAGAACTTGCTGATAAACACTGAGTGCCATCACGATTTAATACTAATGCTTTAATATTATCCGCGTGACCACGTAATTTCATTAATTTATTACAAGTTCTTGGATCCCATACTCGCAATACTTTTTCAGTACTGCCACTGACTATTACTGTACCTGGAGGATTCATCGCTAAACTGTAAATTGAGTCCTTATTGCCAGCTAAAGATGATGCTGTAGAAAAATAATTTTTTGTTTATACCCCAATGTTCAAAATTTAATAATTATAAAAAAATACATACTTGTTACTGTATTATTACTCGCTGTTAAAGCTGTCAGTGTATTAACATCCCATAAGAAAATTTGTCTATCTAATCCAGCACTCGCTACTTGTTCTCTGTCTTTGGCATACGCAAGTGCCTTTACATAATCTTTATGAGTTCTCAATGTTGACATGCAAAAACCTTTGTGAGCATTCCAAACTTTTACTGTAGTGTCTGAGCTTGCCGAAATTACTAAAATATAAGACATTATATTAATATATTGATGTCAATAGTATTTAAAAATATAATTACAATTTTTTCCTCCACAGCATAGTACAATATCATTAACCCAGTCCGTATGATGTTCCATCGACTGAATGAAAGGTTCGTTCATATTTTTACAGTTCCATATCCTAATAATACTATCTCTACCGGCAGAATAAAGCCTGTGTAATGCTGGGTCATATTGAAGAGAATTAACACCCGCTCTGTGTTTTTTTTCTACCTCATCACGAATAACCATTGATACCTGAAAATAACAAACAAATAAATTATATTATTAAAGTAATAGAGTTACTTGTATGAAATTATGATAGAGTAATAATATAATTATATTTATTCGTTTGATAGAAATGCAAACATGAAAATAAAATACATAAATACCTGAACTTTTTTCCGAGCATTTTGCCCACCTGTCTTGTGAGCAGCCATTGTCCTAAAGTACACTTATTACTTAAAATGCATATATCACTATCAGTGAACACTGACAACTAAAAAATTCAATGCAAGGTAAGGCTATACAATGTGTTTTTTAATTTTTAACATAACGAAGTTGCGTCCAAGTCTCATGGCAGCTCAGCAAATACAAATGACTATCAACTATTGTACTTTGATTTTTTTCCTTATTTTCTTCAGCAATTTATCTTTGTACAGTGTCGTACTGCTAATGACAATCTCTCCACCAGTGTTTCACTTTTTTATTCTCAATGCTTTTATTTTTGCAGATGTGTATCGGATTTGCAACAAAAAGCCGAAACTATCCAGCCTAAATGACGGTACCGTGTGTAGTAGTTGTACTATCAAATTTATCCGTGATAAGATCTACGACTGCGCTCGCTCACACACCAACAAGTCATTCACATTATTTATTTTACTACTCCAAAATTATTTTATAATTCCAAAATAATTATTTTATGTACCATGAGATCATCAAAGTACAAGTACATACATACAAACACATGTAGGTACTGGTATTATCATTAGCAATATATTTTATCCGGCTCTATTGTTTGATCAGAATTTTTATTAATATTGGTTGTATTTTCAGTTTGTTGGTGCACTTAGAAAGCTAAATTGCACACACTAACAATGATAACAGTGGGGGATTTTTATATGTAGTTCCTTTTATTTACTGTTCCATATTATGAGGTATTTTTTTATTATTATTATATACCTATAGTAAGATTTTTGTTTAAAGTATGTACATTCAACACTATGAATACTGCTCTGACGCTGATGTGTGGTGGCAACAATTGGTGACTATCCACCACCACAAAAAGGAACGATAACGACAGCGACGGCGGCGGCAAAGGGGCAAAGGGGGGAAAAAGGAAATGCTTGATTGTCGAGAAACACATCTGTCATGAAGTGGGGCTACGTTCATTTCGTTCTTGAAAACTGTGATCAAACCATCATGGCGATGGGACTGAACTAACTCTTGCGTGAATTTTTTTTTATATAAATTTTTAATTAAAAATAACATTAAATAAATCATCGCCAATGCGCAAACATTTAGATTCTATTCGATAATATAATTATTGATAACGTTACAATCCAACGATTACTCTTTAAATATTATTTACTATCAGTGTACTTGAAGCAATTGTTCTATTTATTGGGTGTAAATTATTGGAGTACTGTATAGGCTATATTCCAACGTCGCGATTGAGTGTTGTACTCTAATTTTCTCTAACCTAAATGTAAGTGGGCTTAATTAATTAATTCGTTTATTAGAGTGATTCATTTTTTCACCAACTGTTTCGACATTTCTTAAAATTTTTCCAACAATTTAAATGCTCTTTTTTATTAAATTATTCAAATTAAAATAATCCCGGTATATAAATACTTTAACGTTAAATTTATCAGCTTTTCTTTATAAATAATTTATTTTTTATTTTTAAATATCATTGTCAATTGAGAACTGGTTTTTAAACAATTGTTTACTCGGTTTTTATGTAAATAATTAAATGGCAATATTTTTAAATATATAAATAATAAATAGATTTAATTAAATCATTATTGATTCTATTTTTATTCATTTTAGAAAGAGCACTATGAGTTCAGGTAGGCCAATCAAGTGTGTCGTGGTTGGAGATGGGACAGTTGGAAAAACCTGTATGTTGATATCTTATACAACAGATAGTTTTCCTGGTGAATATGTGCCTACTGTGTAAGTAACAATCATTGGCCATTAACAATATCAATAATTATCTTTAGTTTTTTATCTACATTAAAAAAAATAATACTAATAACTGTAAGTACAACTTTGATATAAATAGATATAGTAAACTTCTTTTTGTGTCTCATAATTCTTCTTAAGAACAGTAAACTAGGGTGGCTAATAATAGTTCTACAGACTAAGAGCATCTTACTACTCACAGGAAATTGTTTTTTTCAATATCCCTTTTTTATTTTTTTTAATAAATAGTTATTTTGCTACAGTATTGCTGACACTTTAATGCTCTTCATTCTAATATAATAATTTATATTCAAGTAAACTTAAATTTGTATAAGTATAATAAAAATCCATGACAATAAAATTTATGATAATATTTTTATCATAATGTATTGTTTAATTGTTTCAGATTTGATAATTACTCAGCACCAATGGTAGTCGATGGAATTCCTATCAGCTTAGGTCTGTGGGATACTGCTGGACAAGAAGATTATGATAGATTAAGACCATTGTCATATCCACAAACAGACGTATTTTTAATTTGTTTCTCGGTAACAAGTCCATCGTCATTTGAAAATGTTACTAGCAAGTGGTATCCGGAAATAAAGCACCACTGTCCTGATGCACCTATGATCCTTGTTGGTACAAAGATTGATTTACGTGATGATCGTGAAACGTTGACTTTACTTGCTGAACAAGGATTAAGTGCCATCAAGCGTGAACAAGGACAAAAATTAGCTAATAAGGTATAAAATTAATTTTTACTATTATTATAAGCTTATTTCATCACTATATATTATAACCATATATATCATCAATGTATAATGATTAGATACGAGCAGTCAAGTACATGGAGTGTTCAGCGTTGACGCAAAGGGGTTTAAAACAAGTTTTTGATGAAGCAATACGTGCCGTACTGCGACCTGAACCTCAAAAACGTCGTCAAAGAAGATGTACCCTACTGTAAGGTACACAAGGAGTAAGCACACAAAAAACAAGTTAGCATATTTTATATCAAAAAGAGAACAATGGTATTAAAATTTTTTAATAATTTGATCGATATTAGAAACAACAAAGAATAATTATACAATTTTTTTAAGAGCTTAAGGCATGATTTAATTTGAATTAAATTCGGCAGCTATTTCTAATTGATTCATCTTAGTTTAATAAACAGTTGATAATTCAATATTATTAATATTTTATAAAAATGATATTAATATACGATTTTAAATCGTTCAGGTATATATCTTATTAATTTAGTTTAGGCATTAAAGCACATATAGAACTGGATAAAAGTTTATTATAGTCAATTTTTTACTATACTTTACACAATGATATTCAGAATCTCGCGTTATTTATTTAATGAACTATTAAATATGAGTTTCGTATACAACGAAACTAATATATTAAATATATTTATACGACGCTTGAAATCGATCGATAGTTCACTAGAATTTGTTTGATATTACTTTTTTTTTTTCAATGCGACCATAAGTTGAAGTTTTTTATATATACAGACGACGAACTCAAATCTTATCCTTATTACTAGGTGCCATAACAATGAAAAAAAAAAAATCAAACATTAAATGTCTTGGATTTATATTCAACGATATTATTTATTACTTACATATAAAGTGAATTGAAAGAGAAAATTCTACTTAAAACATTGATTTTGTATAAAAAAAAAAAAAAAAACACAAAAAGAAAAAAAAAGACTGTATTTGGATGAGCATAACTGCCATGTAATGTATATTAGAAAATCATACAAATCAAATGACTACTACAACGTAAATAATTTTTGTCAATAAGATATCTTGACACTTCTCAAACCATTTAAAAATTTATATTATTAATTATTACTTAAGCACCATAAAAAATACCTCGAACAATTTGAGATTATGACTATTATAAATAACTAACTTTAAAGATATTAATTTCAAAATATTATGTCGTGAGACAATCTCTCGTTGGGTTTTGTATCTAACATTTAACTAAACAACGATTAAATTCTAAATTATAAGTAAATTATTTGCATTTTTTCAACAGTACTAATTTACGTTTAGATACAACGATTTGGAGAAAATTCTCGTTTAATAGTTCACCTGATTTAATAATCTTTCAATGGTCTTTGCTAGAACCCGAGCTCAGACATTATATTATTGTTACAAAAAAACATAAAAATGAAAAAAAGAAAAAACAATAACTTAAATACAAAGTGTATTGACGAAGAAAGCTCGAGATAGTTTTTCAGGTACCTTATAATTAATAGTAATCTAATACACCTGTAATGCGAACATACTATTTTTTATATTTAAAACAAAAAAATAGAAGTAAATCAAGTGAAAAAACTTATAGAAGCAAACATTTAAATGACTACTGTGTCCTAAATGTTTGTCTTGATCAAATATAAAATGAAATCTTATGCTGCTTATGTATAAACATAAAATCAAATTAAAAATCGAAAATTTCATTATAAAGATGAAAAAAAGAGTTAAAAAAAATTAAATAACAAAAATAATATAAAGACAACTCATTAAGGCACAATGATGCTTTCTAAATGTATATAATGTAGCATAGAAAATGTGTATACTGAATTCCAATATGTTTAATCAATATTTCATCGGCTGTTACTAATGTTTCAATTGAAAAATAACATTTCAGAAAATTAATTACTACCAACTCTTAAATTATAACAAAAAAAAACATGCTATTGGAATTTTGGCTTTTGTAGCCACTTACATAATTTTTTCTCTTTAAATTATAATTAATTTTAATTCTCATATTGATAGTAAGCAATGAGTTAGTTATTCAAAGTATGGATATCTCTTTTGTATCAGTGTCTATTAAATAGCATTTGAACATTAATTGATAGAGAATATCAGCCATTAAAAATCGAATTTTGGTGCTCTTCCCAAAACCTTTAGAATTATATGAAATAGTGCCGAAGAGATATAAATCTAAAATAAATAAATTAGATCAAATACTTATTAAAATATAGATTTATCGAGTCATCTATTTAAAATTTCTCATAAGCCATATATGACTGATTAAAATCAAGCTATTGACACACATCACTTAACACTTGATTGTGTATCATCATTATTATTTTTTTTATAAGTAAAAGTAGTGCATTTATTCACAGATGTTAATTTGTATTTTACAACTATAGAATAAGATATATATATATAGATATATGTAAAATTAACTTTGATTTTTAATTGAATTATTAGCAGTCATCGGGTTTTTAATTTTAATTCAGAGTTTAGTTTTTATCAAATTTTGAAGTATAATTTGTAATTATAACAAAAAATGAATTATAAATTAATAATTAATATTAGTAGTTATTGCTGCCATAAAAATCGAAATTTAATACGGGTCATTGGAGTAGCTATGAACAATTTGTGTGTAAAAATAGAGAACAAAAACAACAACAGCAAAAAAATGTATTCTGAATTTTAAAAACAAAAACGCTGTAAACCAAAGCTTACTCGTTATTACACGTTATTTTTATTATTTGTATTATTGTAATATTATAAGTAATACCCCAGTATAAAAGTGAATTGTGATTCATTCTAGTCACGATAGTCACTGCTCCTGATTTTTGTTTTTATTTCTTATTATTTTTTTTTTTTTTTTTTTTTTATTTTTTTAAATTATTATTTAAATTTTGAGTTTATTCATTTTGAAATTTTATTTGAATTAAATGGCTGCATTTTTATAATCTGTGACCATTCTGATGATACTGACTCAAAAATAAACATACACGTACTGCGAAAAAATGTGTATTATTATCAATATAAATATATTATTGATGATAATATCGTGGCACAAATAAAACAAGAAAAAATGTTTACCTAGTGTTGTATAAATTTTAGACAGTCGTTTAATGGTCAGTTTCTTTTTTTGTATATTATTAAGACTTTGTAATACTTTATTATAATGTAATACAATTATCATTGTGTATTTTATATATATATAATTCAGGCAATATTCAAGCGCTCTTTTTTATAATAAATAATTTTTTTTTATAACGAATTTTAGTATAAATATTGAATGTAAAACTCTGTTGTGCATTAAAGAGACAATGGTTATATTACTGAAAGCGCTATCACGCTTAATACTTGTATTTAATATATATATATATATATATAAAAAAGAAAATTGTCAGAGGCCTCAGAGTTGATTTGAGTTGTCATATTTTCCTAGCAAATAAAATCTAAACAGAAAAAACGATTTATTATTTTTAATTACCAGTTAACTAGTGATAATTTCAACTTCCTAATTATACACTATTTGGATTTTTATGACCTTTAAAAAAAAAATTGTCACACACTCTTAATTAATTTTTATACCTTACATTTTATTTATAAATCCTTGAATTATTACATACATATTTTTCATTATTTATTTATTCATATTATTTTTTTACTTTGTCACTAGAATACTTACTTGGCGGCATCCCACGGACACTAGCTGCTATCGAGCGATATACCTATGTAATCGTAAAGATAATTGACCTTGACAACATCAAACCACGTGTTTATAATATATTTTTGTTTATCTCATTCATTGGTACGATGACACTAAAAAAAATAAAAATCTTAAACCGTACAATAGTGATGATAAAAAAATATATTTTGACTTTCAGGCGCGGCGACAAAAACAAGAAATAAATAGCTGTTATTTATTATGTAAATAATTAGCAACAATTCATAAATAATGATTATAAAAATATTACGTAATTCAACAAGTTGGTAACACTGTATGCCTCTTGATGGATTCTTTTTTATGCCATCGCCGACAAGGATGACTGCTTAGCAGTAAGATTGAGGGTCTTTTCATGATCCATGATTTGCTATTGTTTCAAGAGCTGGAAAAGATAATGGCAACAACTATTATCTTTTTCTTTAAATGCTGCTTTTTTATTTTGACAATTACTCGACCTTTTTTTTTCATCTGTTGAAGTCGCTCCGGTAATTAGCGTTTGCCTAGCTACATTACAAAGTAGTTTTTTCATTTATCGACTTATTACTCCAAATCATTCTTTGTTACATAATATGTAATTATTAAAATAATCGTTTTTCAATAGAATATCAACAACAAAGTCATACCCTATCAAAGTAAAAAATTTTGTTATTTTACAAAAATTTAATTAATAATCATATTCCTTGATAACATACTTACCATATTGATTTCTTACTTTCTACAATAAGTACAGTCAAATAATCAATTTCCCTTAAATGTACATTTATTAAAATTATCTTTACATATCATACAGTAGAAATTTTCTTCTACCATTTTGTATGCCTGTGTATATATGGATCTACATATGTAAACGGACACTTATGTATATATAAATTATGAAACAGCATAAAAATTAGAGTCAATGGCTGATAGTAATATTTGATGAGTAAAATAAATATATTTCCGTGGCTTTAATACAGCGGAAGTAGAATTAATAGACTCAGATTATAAAAGTATTAAATTTAACAGCCAGTTATTGTAACATTTTCTTTTTTTTTTTTTTTCCTTTTCTAGTAAGTATAGGCATAAACCTCGAGGATGACAATTAAAAGCATAAATATCATTTGAAGCATCGTATTACAAGAGAAAAAGCGTGTCTTTTACACGGACATTAGCGTTACTCATAAAGAGCAGACTTGGACGCACGCGTCAACTCTATATAACTACAAGGTCTTCGGATCTATTGACTGTGTCCTAGATTGACATACAGACGTAGATGCGTTAGTCTTTATTAGGAATAACATCTCAAGACTTATTGGAAATATTTATACACTCATCAACTGTATACATATGTAGATATATTTATAAAATTAATAATTATGAATTTTATTCGTATGTATGGAGTACACCATGCCAAGGAATAAAAAAACATATTTACTCTTACTCAACGACTACGTAAACCCCTGTGGCTGTTTAGTTGGTTTTAATTTTTTACGATTACTCATATCTTAATCTGCCGGAAGTACAAACATAAAATATCACCTCTGACTTGTTGCAAAATAAAACCATTAACTAGATCGGATTTCTAGTTATTAGAGTCGTTCATTTATTTTCTTCAAATATTATTTTACCTGAAAAATATAGAGCATATATATATTATATGTAAGAATAACACAGCACAAGAAAGCAGTTGATGCGCACATGCAAGAAGTAACGGAGTAGGAGAGCTCGACCCCAGAGCAGAGCAGTAGGTAGGTAGCTTCAAAATCAATACGAATCTCTTTGAAAATCATCAAGTGAAGTTAGAAGCCTAGTCTCTTGCAGATGAAACTGAATCACCAGACATCTGAAAATTTTTTTAATTTTTATTACAAATCCATTATAAAAAAAATATATATTTTTAAAAACTGTACACTTGTTATTTTTTTTTTTTATTCCTAGACCTGGAATTTATAATTAAAATTTTTTCATAATAATTTAAATAAAAATTAACTTCAAAGAATTGACAGAAGTTAATTTCAGTATCATTCTTGCAGATCTAAAGAGAAAGGAGCTGCTCTGCAATTATTTGCAGTTACTATTACCAAAGAAGACAATTTACCTCAATACGAAGAATATAAACAATAAAAAAAGGTTATAAAACCTAGACATCATCGACAGGAACAAAAGTTTGGTTTTCCGTTAGGAGGGGTACACTCAAGGAAGTGTCGAGAAGTGTGCAGCGGCAGAGTAAGAGCTAGGCTTGGAGAGGGATGTATGATACGTTTGCCACGTTTGTGACTTCGAAGTAGGGGAAGTGGTTCACGGATTTTGCGGCAGTGCGGAAAGACGGGAGGTAGAACCTAGAGGTCAGAATCAGAATTGGAATTGCAGATGGCGCTTAACTGCGCTACATCGACATCATGGGGCCACCAATCGAGTCATATCATCCGGTCGGAGGGAGAGGCTGTTTTCTGTTTCCTCTACCTCTGTCTTGGCCTCTTGCCTCCTGGTTGACCGGATATTATATCTGTTGTTATTTTTTTCATTTTTAAATCTTCTCTGCTTCAATCTGCTTTATTCCATTAGTCATCGCCATCATCATCGGTGCTTCGTACGCTCTACGCTCTTATCTCTATATTTTGAAGTATATTATTTCAATTATTTTGCTTTTAATTAAAACAGTTAACGCTTATCTTATTTCTGCACTTTATCAGCAGTGCAGGTAAATATCTTAAGCACACTTACAAGATACTAAAAATAGCAGACATTCGACAATTTTAGTATTTCTAAAAAAAAAAAAATTCAATTTTAATAGGTAAGAAATAAATGTGTAAAATTTTTTCTTTACAATCTCTCAAATTTTTCTGCAATATTACAATTATTATTATTTTTTTTTAATAAATAATTTTTAGGGTATGCCATCAGTGCGCAGACCAAGATACAAAAAATATATGGATATAGAAATATTATAAGATAATAAGAAAACTGAAGAGAAAATCTTGGACATATATCGTCATCGTCATCGTCATCGTGGAGGAGACTTCTTCGTCGCCCCCAAACAGTACACCGCCTGTAGTGGTTCAGAATTACTCCGCTTGCTTCGCTGTATCCACCACCATCGCCACACACCACTCTCTATTCCGATATTATACAAGAGGAGGTGACTGTGCGCCCGTAGCCGTAGCCCGTTCGTCTTTAATACTTTATACTTATACTTATATACCAATATCAACTCTGAACGCCGGTTCTCTACTCTACTCTACTCTACTCGTGCAGTTGTCGCAATAGCTGGTTGTATATTACTGCTGCTGCTGCTGCTGCTGCTGCTACTACTACTGTTGTTGCCTATATTTTACTTTTGCTTATATTATTCCCTGCTGACTAGTCTGCACACTTTATTGTGCCGTGTGTGTTGTTTCACAGCAGGCCAGCCCCGGCATTAACAAAAAAATACGTCATCGTGTTGTTATTACTCTTGTATACCTATACTTCAAATATACCTATTGACTACTAGTTACATATTACAGAGTAATAAGCACAGTAGTTGCGACGGACATCAGTTGTACAGAGAATAGAAGAAGTTAAGGAGCATAATATATACTTAGAAGATTTTTAGTGTGTACGTCGCCATTGCTGCTGGTGTGTGATGACCATCCGGCTGTTGTCGCTCTAGATGATAAGAAGAAGTGAAACGAGGATAACACACAATTGAGGTTTGATAATTTTATTCTTTAATATCAATATTGTTGTTTTAATTACTGTATCTACGTGTCTCTTTATTTTTAAGATTTATATTTATAATATTATTGAAACCGTGAGTTCCAATGTTATCTGTAATTTTTTTTTATCTTTTCACGGCCTTGTAGACCGGAAGTCTGGGGGATTATTCTAGTACTTTGGAAAAGAAATAATTCATCAAAAATTTACCCCTACAATATTGATATTTAATTATCGATTTTATAACTGTTAGTTTATTTTTTTTCTTCTTTGATATTTTAGTGGTAGTTGTAAGATAAGAATTTATGGGTAAATAGAAAAATTATCACGGAAGTAAAGAAATTGAAAGTCGTCACGCAGATGATGAAGAAATGATTCATAGTTATTTTATCAATCAACCTCTTTAATTGTTGGATTAGCTGTTTAAGAAACGATACTTTAAAATTTGGTTTTTTTTTTTTTTTTTTTTGTTTTAAATAATTGTTTAATATTTATGTGATTTTATATTACCATTTGGAGTGAAAAATAAATCAAGTAAATAAAATTTACAGGAAATATATGCATATATTCAAGTGTATGTATATGTATATATGATTGGAGTATTTTAAAATTAACGAGACAAAATGTCTGAAGCTTCACCTATTCTACGGGCACTGAGGCCAAGGACTCAGCATAAAGTGAGATCAAGTAAAAAACAACAGGAAAATGAAGAGTCAGAAGGAGAAGAAGAAGACGGCGAAACAAGTCAAATAGGTGACGTTTCTGATTTAAGAGCTTTAAATGATTCGAAAGGTGAAGATGATAATGATAATAATAATGAAAATATCAACGAGGATGATTATAATAATAATGATGACGATGACGATGATGATGATTATGATGATGATGAACCTAGACTTACTATCAAGGAAGAACCCGAGGATGATATAACGGATGAAAAAGTTGTTTCCGAAAGCGGTTATGAATGTAAATCATGTGAACCACATATTGAGTTTCCTTCATTGGTTGAATATTTACAGCATTTAAAGGACGAACATCACCAAAAGGTTTACAATTGCATTAATAATAATAATTATTACTTCAAATTAATTTATTTATTTATAAATAAAAAAAAGAAGATATTAAAAAAAAAAAATATTTTTTCTAGCCCAAGTGCCACGAGTGTCCTCATTGCAATTTCATCTCTCAACATCCAAAGCGATTGGAACGTCATCTTTTATCAATTCACAAGGACATAGAAGGTAATATATTTACTTGTACAACTAATAAGGATAATTGATGGAAAATGATTATATGATTTGTTTAGTTTCCGATCAATCCGGCCTAGGCAGCCATCAAAAAATTTATCCCCTCAAACGACGATTCTTTCGATGTACCAAGTGCTCATACATGACGCACGTACGTGCACGTTACACTAAACACGTTAAGTATCATTCTATGCCAATGATCAAGTGTAACGATTGTGACTTTCGTACTCCATACAAAGTAAATATTGAAAAAAATAAAAATGAGTTAAATTTTTTTTTTATTTTTGTAATTAAAAAAAAAAAAATTGTTTATTTTTTTTTTTTTTTATTTTTTTTATTGTTTCCCAGTGGAATTTGGATCGACATACACGCAGTCACAATGGAGGCGGAGCATTTCAATGCAGAGCATGTAATTTTACTGCTGAGATACGCCAGAGTTTGACTGTACATGAAACTAATCATCATGAGCCTCCTGTTGGAGTTAGCAGTAAAAAAACAAATCCCCTTGATCGTAAACCTCGAAACGGTCCGAAACGTTACAATCAGGTAGTTATATTAAAATTATAAATGATTTTGCGATAAAAAAAAAATTAATTTAACGTTGTTGTTATCTTAAAGCTGATTTTTCATTGTCTAGGTTGGCGCAAGTGATTTCAGAGAAAATCCATCAAAATCTCCAGCAGCCGATACTATAGAAAATTTACTGGAAGAAACTCCAAATCCAGTTATAGCTGACGCGGAGTGTATAGCTCTTAAATGTGACGAGAAAGGCTGCCAATTTATTACTGCGTGGGATTCTGAAATGCAGCGGCACCTGATCGAGGCACATGGACCATCACAATTACCAAATAAAGCCCGAAAACCATTACCAATGCTCATTCCATTAAGTTCTGAAGGCAAGGTTAATAATAGCATGCCCAACGGTACTACTAACACACTCAAAGTTCCTCGGGTGAGAGTGCGCCCAGAGCTTGCAAAAATTGCACGAGATACTGAAATCGCGAAGTTAATTAATAATCGTGAGGTATATGTTATTTTAATACGTTTTTTCAAACTGAACTATTATTATTATTATTATTATTATTATTATTTGTCCGATTTAGTTTATTTGTTTTTGTTTCTTTTTTTTACTTTTTGTTTTGTTGAAAACAAAATAGACGACTGGAAAGAAGGAGGTGTCTGTAAAATCATTTGAAAAAAGGAACGCTTCATTCTTTGATCGACTAAAGGAGAGACTATTAGGGAGTACCAATACTGCTTCATCACAAGTAGCTGTAAGTAGTCGAGAGGATTTAAAATGTTGGTGTACGTTTGAAGCAACTAGCCTTGAAGAATTGGCTAAACATAAACAAACTCATCACACTGCACTCAGTGTAACTAGTAGTATAACGCGTTGTCCAAACTGTCAAAGAAATTGTAAAAGTTCGACAGATCTTGAATTGCACATGAAATTTTGTTCATCACCGAGCAATAATTTAACGATTAGCAATAACATTCAGGAGAACACTGTTATTAGTTCAAATTATACAGCCATCTCTAACTGTGATGATTTTGAGTTTCCTTTACAAGTGGACTGGGAAGGGAGTGTCGGTGGGCTGAATTCCTCCGGATCGTCGGTACGGGGTTTATTTATTATTTTATGATTTTATATTTTTTGCTTAATTTTTACTATTTATTTATCTATTTTTTTACATTCCTATTAATTTATCTCTTTATTTTTCTTTCAATTCAATTCAATTCTTCTGAAATTTCTTAGCTCGCGCGTAAAATATGATAACAATTAATCTTTTTAATGAAAAATTAAGAATAATCAAGTTATTATCTACAGGCCGATGGAGCTACGCAGCCGTCTACCCGTCGTGTATTTAAGTGTCCCCACTGTCCATTTTGGGCATCAACAGCTAGCCGTTTTCATGTCCACATTGTTGGTCACTTAAATCGCAAACCATTCGAATGCTCTTTTTGTGCATACCGATCAAACTGGCGATGGGACATCACCAAACATATTAAACTTAAATCAGCTAGAGATGCAGCTCATGCCAATGCCAGAGTTCTCATGACTGATGAAACTGGTAGAAGAAATTATTCCAAGTATAATAAGTATTTAGCACAAGTAAGTCATTGAATTAATCATTTAAAACCGTCTCTCATTATCATGACTAAATAATATTTAAATTAATTGATTTATTTTGTTTGTAATTTCAGATAGATCACCAAATTCCACATGATTTAAATGAAGATCATGGAGTTATTGATACTAGCTCAGGAGAGCCACCAAAGAAATTAATTATTATGAGTAAATCTAAAAATTATCCAGCACCTCAAAATTTAACACCAGCTCCCAGTAGTTATAACAACTATGGAAAATCCGATTCTGCAATTATCAGTAGTGTTCCACGTCCACCACCTCCACTTCAAGTAACTAGAAGTCAAGGGCAATCTTTATTAAAAGTAAATCCACAAGCTAATAATCCAAATCTTGCCGTTTCGGTATATGCTTCAAACTCCAACTCAGTAGCATCGACTTCTGGTTCGACAGTAGAAGAATCTAAAAGAACATTGTGGAAATGCAAAAGATGCAATTTTCGTGACAGTAGTAAGGATAAGGTTTTGCAACACGTTAAAACTCATTATGAATCTGCTGAACAATCAAGTAGTCAAAAAGTAAAACTAATTTTTTATATATTTTCTTCTTCCTCAATTTATTTAAATATGCTAAATTAATTGTAATCTTTTTTTAATTATAGAATGTCATTTCATGTGATGAATGTCCATTCAAAGCTGAAGATCCAGCTGTATTAGCAATACATCAAGTCAATCATCGTCCAGATCGAGATAAAATATTCAAATGTTATCATTGTCCGTATTATGTTCGGACAAAAGTGTAATTATTTTATTTTTTAATTTGCAATTCTAAAAATATGTACTTTTAAATTATTTAATTAATGATGAAATAATTTTCAGGGAACTTTTGGAGCACGGGCATTTACATGGCCAAGAGCTTGCTAATGAACATAAATTAAACTCAAATGTTGACATTTCACCAATTAAAATGAAACTTGAGAGTCAATCAACAAAATTAGACATTTCTGTGGAAGAAGTATCGCATGCTCCATCACCTATTTCAGGAACTAATGAAGATACTGCACCACCACCACTTCTATTAGACACACGTGCTTTACCAGATACACCGCTTGTCTGGGTTTCAAGACCAGACGGATCGTTTGCAAAAATGTTAAAATGTCGTCATTGTCCACACGTATCAACTCGTCGTGCTGAGGTTCGTGATCACGAAACAATGCACACGTTGAATTCAATAAATGATTGTAAAATGGCGTGTCCAGATTGCAGTTTTAGGTGCTTATTACAAGAAACAATGGATGCTCATTCAGATATGCATCGAGGATCATTGGGAACAATTCACTGTCTCGTAGATGATGGCCGTTCTGACGCACAACAACTTGATGATTTAACAACTCTTTTAGATTTACCTAGAACACCTTTGTTGGGTCCAGAGCCAGATTTGAATGACCCACGTTTAGTATATTGCTGTAATAAATGTCCAGCACGTTTTCTTTGTGATAAAGAATTACGAATCCATATGAAATATCACTCAAGCGATTTAGCGTATTCATGCGAATGGTGTTCTTATGGCTCAAGACAACAATCTCATTTATCAGCACATCAAAGAGCACATACTTCAGAATATCAAGATCGTACAAGATATTTATTATCTTTATACGGTCACTCGCAAAAGTTTCCACCACCTAGAACAGCATGTGTTGAAACAAACAGCCAAGTTGGAAATACTGAGAAAAACATCGCTTGGATTGTTGTTCAAATATCAGATTCTTTGGCAAGTTCTTCTAATCAAATAAAAGAAGAACAACGATTAACTAATCAAGTATTTACTTGTTCAAAGTGTCCAGCACGTTATTTTAAATTAGACGCACTTGAATACCATATGACTCTTCATGGTTCTAACAATCGATTTAAGTGTACAGAATGCGACTATTCATCGAAAACGGGTCAAAACTTAATGAAGCATCAAGTTGTTCACAGAAGACAAACTGAAATAAATGAACCATCTGCTTCTTTATTACAATTAAATGAAGATCCTTCGTACAGTCCGTTAATGGAGGGTAATCCCAATTTTATTTATCAGTCATACTATAAAAATGGAAAAATGAAAGAAAAGCGTTACAAGTGCCATAAATGTCCGTCAGGATTCGAAAAACGTGAACAGTATCGAGTACACTTGTCATTACATGGTGCTAAACAACGGTATCGATGTGATACTTGTGATTATTCAGTTAAGTATTATGCAAATTACGTACAACATTTGAAAAAACATCAAGCCAATGCTGAAGCTCAGGCGTCTCAACGTCAAGACGAAATATCAATGGATTATGATAATAATGCTATTGATGAAGATAATTTGAATATAAGTACCTCTAAGTCACGTAGAAAATCAACAATTTCTTCGAATACATTAGGAAATAATGCTTCTGGCGCTGGATATGCTGCTTCATGTGTTTCTAATCAAGATAAACAATCAATCATACTCATGCAAAAAAAAGGCAATACATTAACACCATTGACACTCATTCGTTGTACAGAATGCCCTTTTTCATCGGCTGATAAAGACATAGTTGATGCTCATAAACGTCGGCATGGTATTGATAGACTTACACCGCCTTGTCCACATTGCAATTATGTGCCACGTAAAGACGAAAATATAAGTGAACATATTAAAGTACATTTTACTAGACTTTACAAGCCAGAATCCTATTTAGTTATAGATTCATTATCATTAACAATGAAAAAAATACCTATTAGTAAAAAAGATGATAAACATAAAGAAAATGAACTTATATTTCGCGAATGTGATGATGGAAAATATTTACCGGTTGCTATTACTAATTCACTGCCTGTCACAAATGGTAATAATTTTGAAAAAATAATTGTCGACCCTAATACAGGCGAAGCAACCCGCTTAAGTATATAAAATTTAAAATTAAGATTATTTATAATTTGTTAAATATTTTTGAAAATTTTTAATGGTATGAGAATTATTTGTAATATTTTATAGTGAGAATTTTAATTAATAATTGAGCATGAAGTGTTGTCAAAGTCATTTTAGTGTACATTTTAATTAAATCATAAAATAAACAAGAGTTAATTGCTTATTGTTTAGATGCTTAATCTTATAATTATTATTGTAAAAATTTATTTTTGTTTTAATTTATTAAAAAAATTTTCATCATTACATTTAACATGGAGTTATTTATTTTTATTCTCGTTACAAGAAATCACGTTTGAGTAAATACTTATCAGAAACTATTTATTTTTAACTAATACTTATCACAAAATGAAGTGTCAATTTATGCAATGTTAATATTCAGTTATTTATTATTTACAGAAACTAATATAAATACCATGTTTTTTTTTTTACATTAATTAAAAAATGAATCCGTATTTTATTTTCATTATTATTTTATCATTTAATTCAATCTGTCTCTAACGTTAAATAACACACAATCACGTATTTTTACCAACTTTTTTTGGATTTTCTTAAACATTTTTTGCTTTTAATAATGTATTTTACTGCCTTATTCTAATTACTAACTAACTTTAATGCATATATAAAATTAATAATTAATAATTATATCGACTGAAAATATTTAAGCACAAGTAGTATTAAATGTTATAATTACGGAAAAAAAGTTCTTAAAAAATTTTTTTATATGCGTACAATACAAATATTTTAAAAAATAACAAAAAAAAAAAAACTTGCGCTAAAATAATTTTTATATTAACTTGCCTATGTTTTCTTTTTCAAACATCAATGGCCAATAATTTCATTAGCGCACATATTAATAATGGGTCTTAATTCTTGTTGTGCATAATCTTCAGGAAGTGGTAACATTGTAACTAAACGGACTAAGATCTCAGATGTCGATTTTTCTTCATTTGGTTGGAGTAAAAGTATACTTTTTGCGAGATTAAACGTCCGTTTGGCAATTTCAGCTTGACATAATCTAGAAAAAAAAGGATAGAAAATATTAATAATTAAATGAATAACTCGTTAAGTGACAAAGCATTTATAAATAAACTAAATAAAAAATAATTACCTGTGCTTTGCAGAAGGGCATGGGAATTGATTAATTTTAGCGCAAAGTGAACTTATTTGTGGTTGAAGAAGTTCAAGTTTATATCCGAGATTAGAGTAATCAGGATTCTTCAAGAATGACTCAATCTCAACAGCAATCTCCATATAATCCCAGAGTAACTGTCCTTGATATGACCACCCATTTACAAGACCATTACATTCTGGTGGAACGAATGGACTCAACAACGATCTCAAGTAATCATAGTTTTCATTAATTATAGCATCTGCTGCTAGATGCTCAATTATGACCTCATGAGCTCTATTCCATTGTTCCGCTTGAAGTAAATACCAAGCAGCTTCACCGTATCTCTTAAAAGCACAGCCCTTGATAGCCTTGGCCTCATTGATCCATCTGGAAGGAATGCCCAGCTCCTCCAATAAAAACTTTTCTCGCTGAGCATAATCCGGATCTTCGTCAATTTGAACGTGACGAGCAAGTAAATCCGTTACAGCTGTTCGTCGAATAGTTGTATTATTCAGATGCAAGTTTACAAATATAGACCAATGCCATAGATCGTGAGCTTCTAATTGTGCTGCAAAATTTGTATGAGTCATTGAAGATACATGTTCGGATAAATGAGAATATCCAAGACCAACGACAACTTGTTGCAGCAACCAGCTGAGTCGATAATCAAATGGATCTGCGGTGTGGGTCAGCGGGTTAAGAAGTTGTTCAAGAGAATGATTACCCAAACAATAAAGTTTTAATAGATGATAGCAGAGGTCATAAGTTTTCTTGTCTCCAAGTACTTCAGGTTCAAAATCTTCTTCTTTGTAATCCGGTAAAGGCGCAGCAGCGTAAATATCTGCTGGATCTCCATTGAATGAAGCTTCGTAGAGTTCTAAAACATCAGTGATAGATGTTGTAGGTTCTGATAAATACCACAAATGAACGGCAAGAGCTCTCTTCCAATCTAAATTTTCACAAACATTAACAATATCATCGTTACTTGTTAAGTTAATGAGCTCTTCTCCGGCAGCTAACATGTAAATCTTCAATCTAGACATTGACATATTTGTTACGACATCAGTTAATTGCCAGAGACCAATAGCTTGTTTGGCTAATTCTTTAACGCATGAGAAACCACCCAACTGTGATATGAATATTGCGAGTGTATAATCGCCGATTTTTCTTGCTAACTCACAAGCTTCTTCCAATTTATTTGCAGACAAAAGTGAAAACATAATTTTATCCTCGCTATCGATCTCTGATAATTCTCGTTGAACAATTTCTTCTACAACGGTTTTTAACCAATCACTAAACGCTTCTCTTCTTATCATTACGTGGCTGTGACTTTCTTTATCTGAATCAGATTGCAATGCAGGTAAGTTGCCCCAAAGAGCGACACATAGTTGCCATACATCAGCTGCGTAAGATGACAAGTGGTCATTAGTTAAATTATTTGCGATTTCTTGAGATAAACCGCAGTGATCATGAAGAGCGGAGATACCAGCTTCTCCTGCGCCAACACGAATCCAACGACAGTTATTTTCTTCTCCAATGACACAGTGATTTAATTGAATTCTTAAGTGTTCTTCAATACTTTCTTTGAATTCTAAAATGTAATCACGATCTGCTCGGTTACCTCCCAACATTTGTAATCGTTGAATGACATTTGATGGTGAAATTTCATCCTTACACCGTCCAGAGATATAAGTTTCTATGTGACTGAATCTATTTTGTAATGGCACTACAGATGCTTGCTCTTGAGTAGATAATGAAATTAAAGTTAAACCTGGTCCCCAAGTGGCTTTAAATTTTCTACCCATTTGAATACTTATGTCAGCAATTGTATTAAATTTTAAACGATTACAAATAGATTTTTTCAGTGGAATGATTTCACAACGATACTTCAAAACTCGAGTTGTTGGCTTAATAATTGGTGATGGAAAAAATTTGTTAATACTTGAAACTTTTTCAACTTTAGTTTGATGAGATTTTTTAATTTTATTTTCTTTTCCGCCAGAGAAAGATTCATTAGGTAACGTAAACATATCATTAACAGTAAAATTCGATCGCAACTTAGCAGAGTAAGTTAAATTATTCAGATTATTTTCACGAGCTTCAAAATTTTGTAGACGTTTTAGTGGTGCATCAGAATTTCCAAACATAGGCTGATCATTGTAATCATCACCACATTCATCAAAAAAACTAGCTTTCATCAATTGAAGTTTGTGACTGTCTGTTCCAACAAGACGAGCGTAAACAGAGGTTGGGCTCAGGGCTGTTTGTTTTTCACCCTCCGGCTCAAGTTGAACTTCATTACTACTCATACTATCTTCATCATCTTCCTCCATACGAAATAATACATTCCGTTCAGTATTTTTTTCAGCTTCGGTTGCTGGCCCATTAAATGTTCGCATTTTAGCCTTCAATTCATTCGCAGAGATTTGTTTTTGTTCCTTCCCCTTCTGTTCCAACTTATTCAAACGATCTGCAGTTTTTTTCAATCCCATTTTAACCTGTTGATCTTTTGGTACTTCATCGTCATCATCTGAATCACTCAACCCATACTTAGAAAAATGATCAACTTTAAAAACCCAAGAACCGGTTTCAGGACGATATTCGAGGAATCGTGTATCGTGTCTTGCTGAAACTCGTCGTAATTTGCCTTCATAATCCATAGCAATCAAACGCTCAGGATCAGTTATTGGCTCATGCTGAGTCTTATCATGTGGCCAAACGCGATCTAATGTAACTTGAGCTTTGCGATTCAATCCTTGACCAACCGGTGGTTTTTTCTCATCATCAGGATATATAATTACTTCTTTATGACGGAAATGCACAATTTCATCTAAATTCAATCCATAAATATCAAACGAATCTGCAAAGTAGACATTACCGTATCCAGTTCGGCCAACTGTAAAATTAGGCACAATACAAGTTTCACCACGGACATAATTATCCAATTGGTCCAGTGGAGGAATTGTAAAGTATCCGACACGTTTCAATGTTACATTAGCCAGGTTTGGCTCGACATCAGACTGCAAAACTGACATTGAACTTTCGTTTAATCCACGGCTAGAATCATTAAATGTCATTGAATCATTAGCGCTCCTGTTGTTGCGCCTCTGTCGCGAAGCGCTTTGATTAAATTCTGACTTGGCAATTGGACTGTTGTTTACTCCACCATGAGGAGGACGAAAATCATTTACAGTATTGTCTAAAGCTTCCTCTGGAATGTCCAAAGAATCAAATGGAGATTTTTGTCCATCGAATTCTTCCTCCGGCATTTTTGTTGTTCGAGGCATATGAGTCTTCAACCAAGAAGTCGATGATAATCTTCTATTATCAATGGACTGCCGATTACTTTGCTGTTTATTTTCTTTGTCAACTGCTTCAATGTTATTGTTACAGGAAGAAGAGGCTTCAATATTCTCTATAACTTCATTATTCTCCGTGGTTTTTCCATTTTCGGTTGGTCTTGGTGTAGGACTGAGAGATCGTCGTTTCGGGCGTAGAACTAAACGTTTTGCATTTGGACGAGGTTGGAATGCTTCTAGTAATATCGGATCTTCTTCTTCTAGACCATCGAATAGCGATTTTTTCGATAACTGTACAGGTGTTACTACTCGGGCTTTCACTTTTGGTGAGTTATTAGACGTGGATACTTTAAATTGTGATCCATTTAGATTTTTTGATGTTACATTTGCTGGTTTTATTAATTCTTCAGACTTTCCTGACGCCGGAAGTAAATTTTTGAGCAGTGGCGAATCACCAAATGGAGTTGACACTAATGCCAAAATTTGCTGATGAACGGGAACTGAATTTGAATTTTGCTGAGCTTGGTTTGTATTAACTCCACCGCCGAGTAAATTTAATCCCAGACCAGTATTTGTATTTGTGTTGGTACCAAAACCTCCAGTACCTCCAAAAGTTCCTGAGCTATTAAATGTCGTACCAGTAGCCGTATTACCAAAAAGTCCGCCAGGTTTAGGTGCTCCAAAAAGTGAATTTGTTCCTCCTAAATTCAAATTAGCGTTGGCACCGAGGGTTGATGTAGCAGTGGGTGTTGCACCGAATGAAAAAGTGTTTGTCTGGCCAGCGGGTTTAAATGAGGAATTAAATAATGAAGCGTTATTGTTTTGGGTATTACCAAAGCTAGTGTTAGTCCCAAAAGCAGGAGCTGGTGTGGCACCAAATGCTGACCCAGTTCCAAAACCTGTAGTAATTGGTTTGTTGAATAAGTTGGTAGTGGTATTTGCAGGCGCAGTCTGCCCAAAGCTACCAAAACCAGTATTAGATGTAGCTGGAGCCATATTAAATGTCGTTGGTTTTTGATTGAATAATCCAATACTTTGATTCGGTTGTGCAGTACCAAAACCTCCGAATCCTGGAGTCTGAGTGTTGTTCATAGTTCCAAATCCAGTTGCAGGTTGATTTGTAGCTGTGTTGGAGAATAAAGTTGTTGGAGCAGCCGTCCCAAATGGCTTCGGTTGAGTGTTTGCGCCAAATAAGCTTGACGATGTTGTGGGATTGAACGCAAAAGCACTAGTAGTGGTAGCTGGAGTACCGAAACCAGTTACTGGCTTACCAAAGAGACCTCCACCTGTATTTGACTGGGTGTTTGTGCCGAATCCCGATGTCATAGACCCAAAACCGCTGGAAACAGTGCTAGCAATGGTGTTAGTACTGCCAAAAGGTGACGGCTGAGCTGTAGCTCCAAAGAGACTGGTTGTCTGACCTGACTGACTCGGTCCTTTCATACCATTGGTATAATCTTCTAGACGCAACTCCTCCAATGATTTATTCTCGTACTCTTTCATCACCACTATACAATGATGTTTAGTTGAAATGGTTTGCGTAACTCCTTGTTTAACCATGGTGTCTGAACCTACAAGTGGATTAAATTTTATCGGAGTTCCAACGATAGCTGATCCAGTGTTAGTGCCTGTTCTAAATCCTCCCGGAGTACCAAATAGACTGGTATTAGCAGTAGTATTTGTTTGTCCAAATGGCGTAGTTTGCTGTATATTCTGTTGAGGTTGTCCGAAAAGACTTGTTCCACTAGTTGAAGCAAAACCAAAGCCTGCTGGTTTGTTTGCTTGACCAAATGCCGATGTAGTATTACTACTGCCGAATAAATTTGTATTAGCATTTTGTTGAGCTCCAAATAAATTAGTATTGGTTCCAGTAGTTCCAAAACCTCCAAAAGAAGACTGTGTTGTAGCTGGTTGTCCAAATGCTGGAGTAGCTGTTGTGTTTCCAAACAAACCTCCGGTAGTAGTACCCGCAGGCTTAGCGCTAAATAATGATGTGTTATTGCTCCCAAAGACAGAAGTTGATCCTGTGCCAAAACTTGTTGTGGCAATTGGCTTACCAAATGCTGATTGACCAAAAGGACTACTCTGGGTTGCAGAGTTAAATCCACCTGTTGACAAATATTATAATTATGATACATATAGGTTATTTTTTATCATAAAAATAAAAATAAAAATAATTACAATCATGATAATAATATAAATAATAATTTTATTAACTTATAATAATTTATAATAATACATACCAAAAGACGTGTTGCCTGATTGTCCAAACATCTCGAAAATCACTCAAAATTTATTTTTTGCACCTGAACAAAAATATACATAACAATTATATTAATATATTCGTGTCTTATATAGGTTGATGTATCTAGCAATACATAAACACAAGATGCATTGACATTTTAGATAATAATAAAGAAAAAAAAAAGGCGATTTCACAACCTCATGTAATATGCCTCGTCAACTTGTATTGGCGCGCGAGTAGTAAATAAAATTCTTACCTCTCGATAACTAAATTGGTATAAACAATGTACTTCAGAACAATTGCACTTTATTAAACAAGATCACAGTCAGTAGAAAAGTTAATAATCATTATCAGTTGATTGAATAGAAATAATTATTGTAAAAAATTATGATTTATTATGTGTAAGATGATTTTTCAATGGTTATTTACTAGAGGCGCAGTATACAAAGGCCAAGCCCACACACACACATTACTTACTTTGCCCCTCTTGGTTAGCCAATTCGCATGGCAGGTTATTGTGTGTGAAAGACGTTTTCCACGCCCGGAAGTAGAATCAGTGTAAAAGAGGGCGCTTAAGTGTCAAATGTCTCCATATCTCTTCAACTTTTTCTGACGTCACGTCCACTTTTAAATAAAAGATGTTCTTTGATTGGTTATTTTAAACGCATCTTGAGACTCGTTTGACCAATGAATTATTTTTATTCGCTCTCAAGAGTTAATTATAAAGTAAATTTTTTAAAAATATTTCATTAAATTCGAATAAAAAACATTATTTTTACCTACTAATTAGTCTTTAATTATTTTTTATAAAATATCAAAACAAAATTAACAAAATAGTATAGACGTCAGATTGATATAACTTTTTAAGTCTAACTACAACTGGCGACATAGTCGTGCATGAAAAACTAACCTGAAACTTGTAAATAAATTCAAAACATTTTAACGTTTATTTTCTCGAGCGGGCTCAAGCCGGATAAGAGGCGTCAGTTGATTATAAATAATAGAGTTAAGTTGTTTTATAAGTAAACGTATTGCAAAAAATATTTAATTATATAATTCAAGTAAAATGTCTAAAACAAACAATGTTATGGTTATGCCTAAAGATGTTCCCACTGATTTTATAAGTGGTGTTCAAGAGGCAACAAATATTATGGAGGAGCATGTTGGAAGTCATCCTAATGGGTAATAAATTGTTGCTGTTTTTTTTTAACAATCATTTGTCATGGGTCATTTTTTATTCATGTGTATTTTTATTTTTAAGGTACAAATGGTCTCTCAATGACTTCGATATTGGAGTTCCCTTGGGTCGTGGCAAATTCGGAAGGGTTTATTTAGCACGAGAAAAGAGAACCAAGTATATCGTTGCCTTGAAAACATTATATAAAATTGAATTGATTCAAGGGCGCGTGGAAAAACAAGTATTGAGAGAAATTGAAATTCAGTCCCATCTCCGTCATCCAAATATTCTACAATTGTTGACGTATTTTTCGGATGAAAAAAAAATTTATTTAGTTCTCGAATACGCAGCTCGGGGTGAATTGTACAATTATATGAAAAAACAGCCAGGTAGAAGATTTAATGAGCCTCTGTAAGTGACAATTTTATTTTAATTACCCTGAGCGTTGTTTATATAAATAATTTTTTTCTATTATAGGTCAGCTAAATTTATTTATCAAGTTGCTGATGCTCTGGAGTACTGTCACAAAAATAATGTAATTCACAGAGATCTGAAGCCTGAAAATTTACTGCTAGATTTCGATGGAAATGTTAAATTAGCCGACTTTGGATGGTCAGTACATGCACCAACATCAAAGTAAGTAGACCAGTTTAATTAAATTTCATCGTTATCTAATTGTATTGGGTTTAATCTTGGAGCATTTCTTTTTTAGGCGTAACACTATGTGTGGAACATTAGATTACTTACCACCAGAAATGATTAATGGACAATCTTACAACATTTTTGTTGATAATTGGTGCCTTGGAATTTTGTGTTATGAATTTTTGGTTGGTGAACCACCATTTTTGAGTGATAATCAACACGAGACTTATAAAAAAATTCGTACAGCTGATATAATATATCCTCTTCATATTTCACCAGAAGCCAGAGATCTTATATCTAAGGTAAACTATCAATAGCTAATTTTACAGGTTTTTTTTTTTTTTTTTTTAAACAAGTTTATTTATGACTGTTACAAGCTTTTTACAATTATACAAATCATCTTTATTTTTTCAGCTTGTAAAAAAACAAAGTTCTGAAAGAATACCATTGTCTGCTGTCAAGAAACATCTATGGGTAGTTAAAAATAAAGAGAAGGCGAAGTTAATTTAATTAGTATAAAATATGTGAAATTTCAACTATTTTTAATTTGTATTGTTAATTTAACGGCCATATATTACAATGATTTTTTAATAATTAACTTACCTTTGAAAAAAAATCATAAATTGTTCTTTGTCCACCCTTTCGACGATTTAATTGTTTTTCGGATTTTTGTGGACTTGGAGATTTATTAACTTGAGGATTATTTATAATGTTAGTTGACTCACTGCCAGTGTCTGTTTGTTTATTAACAAGTGACTCAGGAATTCGATTTACTTCTCTAATTGTTGTATGATTCTTTCGTTTATCAACAGGTTCTGGAGGTTCATAATCGGAATCAGACGTCAAAATGTCATTCCTTAACAACTCATTTTCACTTTCAAATACAATTCCAGATTGTTTGTCAAATTCTTCAAGACTAATTCGCCTTTTTCTTGCAGATTCAATTCGAGATCTATCGTCTTGAGTCTCTCTTTCAGCAGAAAAACTCCAAACTGATTTTTTATTACCACCAGTTTCTTTTTTCAATTTATCTCCCAATTGTTTAGAAGTTTCTTCTTCAGAGAAATATTCATCAATTAATTTATTACCATATTTAGAATTCTGTTTCTCAGTAGAATTATCATCCTGATCTTGTTCTAGTATATCTCGTATATCTTCTTCTTTCGTCAATTCATGTGATTTATTTTTTTGACTGCATATATTTTTTTTATTCATTATTGTGGGGTTTGTATCATATTTCTTGGGCGATACTTTTTTTGAATTTCTTTGAGGTTTAGTCGACGTTGGCGATCGTGCACAAAAGTATTTCAAAATAGGTTTTACTTGAGCACGCTTGTGCAAAAAATCATAAAGACTTTGATGTCTTTTAGCTTCACTGTCATACGATTGAAGTAAAGTAAATAGCTGACCTAAAAAAAATACATATGTATAAATTTATTTATAAAAAAAGTTATTAATTTTTACCAATGTTCACTTACCAACGTTGACTTGATACTCTATAAGATGCCAATACATTTTAGCGACATCATCCCGGAGTTTTTTATCACCAAAAGTAAAGTAAACAACTGGTCGTCGGTTAACTGCCGCAGCCATTAGTTGAATTAAACTTTTAAGATATGGATCACCTCGAAATGCTCCACATCCCCAATTACCCGTTGCTATTCCAGACGGTTGGGTATTAGGCATTTCACTCGAGATAAATCCAACATATGCCTATAAAAAAAAAAATCAAATTTAAAAATATTACTTAATTTGATCAGGACATATCGCTTTGTGTATAGTTACCTTATTCAATTCGCGGATAATACTCCTTCCTTGATATTGTCGATATTCATGAGTAAAATATAAAGCATCAATGGCAACAATAGAAGTTTTACGCCTTCCACTGCTATCACGAGGAGTATTGTCAACATAATCACCCGCCCATTCAAAAGTATCGCTGTAACCTGTGTAGTTACTGTATCTTTCAGCTCCAGTGACAATAACAGCTTCGGTATCATCAAGTACTTCTGTTACTAACATCGTTACCAGAAGCTCAGGACAGATTAGAAATCGAATTTCTTCTTGAACACAACCGCTATTTAATACTCCCCCACCTAGGAATCTATAAAATTTGGATAGAATAGTGGAGTTATTAAATTGAAAAAAATTTAATTATATAAAAAAGTAACTACTTACTTGTTGGCAAAGTCGACTTGAAGAAGTCCAGCACCTTGATCTTCAATGGTCCCTTCACTATTAATGTGCAACAGAGGCAATGGACACTTTACTTTATCCCATTTTGGGCAATTATTTCTTGAAACGGATCGTCGCTCAATAGTAATCGTTCCTACTGGATCTACTCTAGGCAAAAATCATCAACATCATTCATAACAAAATTATACAAGTACTTGAAATAATTGTTGAAAAATTTTTTTTACATACGAGAGGCTGTAACTCGGCGAAAATAATGGATTATGCACTTTAGTTTTTCAATCTTCACTGATAATTTACGGGGATATCTAGCGTTACCCGAAAATAATCTGAAAAAAAATAATCAATAGTCATCCATCCTTAGATACAAAAAAAATATGTTTATTTTATAGTATACCCGTTGAAATTGATGTAAGGATATGATGCATATTCTGAATTCGCTGTAACAGCATTTCGACGTGGGAACGTACATAAAAAGGCATTTGCGAGTAATGAGGCAACTTGAAGCTGACTAAGACTGATTGACTGATTTGAATGCTTTTTTAATAAAGGTATTGAGTCTGTTACAAGTGATGGTAATTGAAGAGCAAGATTTATTATATTAGGAAGTAATTTTTCAAAAAATTTTTTAGTTTCTTCTTCATCTATCTGAAAAATAAATGTTTGAATTATTATAAGTTCAATAGAAAAAAATAATTATTTGGTACATACTTCTTCAAAAAAAGAATGTAAAGCAGTGAAATTCCATTGAGAAACATATTTATTGTTGTACGATAAAATTGCTGCTTCTAAATGCATAGTGGATATAAAATTTTGTAGCAATGCTTGTTGAATTACTTCCCATCTAGTCTGGACCTCGCGATCGTCAGTATTCTAGTTTGAGGAACAATTAAAATTGAAATCAACATATTATAAGTATTTAAGTCGATACATATTAATATTTTAGAAAATTTTTGAGTGATTACATTTTGGGTAGTATAAAAACACTTTGGTGAGTGTGGCATTCGCACAAAATGCTCGGACCATCGATCAACTAATTGAGATGGGAACGGTTTTGGTGGCCTTCTAAGAGAAATTGTTAACTGAAAAAATAATAAAAAAAATTTATCTCAAATTTAACAACTAATTAATGAAAAATACAAATAATATTATCTATTTAATATTTACTTCAAATAATACTGCATGATTCTCGGATCGACGGATTGGTGGCTGCTCATTAAAAAAAATATCCAGGCCTCCGAAAATTTCATTCATACTTGTTCCCTGCCATCCTAGACTACCATGAATCAATTCTGGCTCTTCACCGTCTATAGACATCGCTAAAAAAAAAAAAAGTTACGTCATGTATTTTAAAACAAATTATTAACAAATATATTAGTTAATAAAACTTAATTTACATTCGTTCATATTTTGTGGTTCTACTTCTTTATCTTCGCAATCAGAGAATATCTCAGGAGACATTGGCTCAGTCATGTCCTCAAAAAATGTTGATGTCGATTCAGCCATTGTTTTATATCAATTATTTATTTACTAGAAAAATAAAACTTAAGGCACAATTTCTGATGAAATTTAATATTTTATAGTAATTATATAAAATAAATTAAAGTACAGTTTAAACATTTATAAATACTACAATAATTTATTTGTGGTCATATTTCTAAATAATAAAAAATATATATTTGTGTTTATACAGTCTGTGAATTTTTTGGTTAGAATCTTAGGATTAAGAAGTTTATTTAAATGACATCTTTATTCAATTGTTTTGCTGTTTATATATATATATAAGGAGACATCAAACGTAAACTTTTTGTTACAAGATGGCGCTAGTGTTTGTGAGGTATATATTTTTAAATATCTCTCTAAAAGAGAACTCGTGAAAATTTATTATTGTTAGCATAATAAATTTTAAATAAAAAAGGATAATTTATAGTTAAATAAAATATAATTTAAAAAAAAATCAAACAAAGTTGAAAATGTTATAAATTAATTTAATCCCACTAAATTTTCACATAAGTACCTCCTTGTAATAAACTTGTTATGTACTCTTTACTGTTTACTTGTGCTTTACCAAAGCATTGGTGAACTACACTAGTGTTTAGTAATTGATAAGTTATAAATAATTATAAATAAATAATGTAAGAAATTATTGTAATTTACTTGATGATTTAAGGTCAATAAATATTATTGTTATGATTTAGAAAAATATAATGCTTTATTCTGGAGAAATGATTTTTAAATAAAGAGAAAACAGAGATTACAATTTGATATTTGAATTAATTAAAAGTGTGCCCATTTGATTGGATGTTTTGAAAGTAAGTAAGTGTTGGTATGTAATAAATTATAGAATATAAAATAAAAATACAAGTGTTGAAATGAATCAATTTATTTTATAGGCTCATGTGAGAAGTGAAACATAGGTTAGGAGCTCTGGGGATATTAATTTCATAACATTGAAATAAAAATCAACTAATCACAGCTGTTGCAGTTTGTTTAAAGATTTCAAATAGATACTTACATATATTAACAACTTTCACCTGATGAAAATTCTTTGCATTCTGACATAGATCTGATGACCTTGAGGCTGTAAGTATTCAATGTTTATATGAGATATATCAAATTGTAACTTCATGTCATATCATTTAATGACAAGTTGTATTGTAATTTCTTATTATTGTTATTAATGTTATTATAATATTTAATGTAAATATTTATTATTTTTTATTGCGCGTAAATTTTTGTTCTGTTGGAAGTTATTTGACGTGGCTGAAAAATTATTGTTTCAGATTATGCATTCAAAAATGTTAGTATTGATATGGAGATTGAGGTGAACGCAAAGAATAATTTTGTAGTAAAAATAGTCTGCAGTTTTTTCTGTAACTGTCAAGTTTCAAGAGGCTAATAAAAGTGTTGGGGGAGAATTAGAATTTCTTTTGAACGTTATATTGCAAAAATATAAAAATGCTTAAAATTGGAGCAAGAATAAAAAATGCAGTGAGAACGCTGACGTCGTCATCAGGTCGAAATGCCAGTCCAAAATTGGCACCACTTCAAGAAGCTGCTTTAGAAGAGCGTTGTATTTTGGTAGACGAATTTGATAAACCAATCGGTGGTGCGTCCAAAAGAAATTGTCATAAAGTAAATGCTGATGGAGATGTACTACTCCACAGAGCGTTTAGTATATTTTTATTCAATAATTCTGGAGATTTATTGTTACAAAAACGATCTGCGAATAAGGTAAAAATATAAATATAAATATTAATTTTTAAATATTGTAAATTTATTCATTAAATAATTTAATATAAATTATTCTACAGATAACATTTCCCAGCTATTATACAAATACATGCTGCAGTCATCCACTGATGGAAATTCCTGGTGAAAATGAAGAGACCGATGCAATTGGAGTACGCAGAGCGGCTCGTCGTCGCTTGTTTTATGAGCTAGGAATTCCTACAAGTGAAATAGACTTGAATGAATTCTACTATTTAACGAGAATTCATTACCATGCATTAGGCGATGGTACGTGGGGTGAACATGAGATTGACTATGTCTTGTTTTTACAAAAAAACAAAGTAACACTAGATCCAAATCCCGACGAGATCAGCGAAATACGCTGGGTATCTAAATCAAATATTAATAATTTCCTTAACGATTGTCACGCACCTCTTACTCCTTGGTTCCAGCTAATTCTTACACACAGATTACCTTTGTGGTGGGACAATTTAAATAGTCTGCACAAGGTACAGGATCGTGATACCATTCAAAGATTCACTTAGACTTTTTTATTAATTGTGTACATCTTGTTTAACGATTGTAAAAATTAAAAGAATAAGTATTTTTTTATATATTTAAAAGTCCAAAAAAAAAAAAAATAGGGCATTTTGTTGGAGTAATGGTGATATTAATTAGGATTAAATATTGATTAATTAACAACTGGTAGTTTATAAATTTTTATTGTAAAAAAAAGATCCTGATTGATTGAATGAGTTGTGTTGCATTTTATAACCTATAAGTGTAATAAAGTGGTGAGGGATTTATTTTAGTAACAGTTAAAATTAACAATTTTGAGAAATTTTGAAGCTAATATTTATTTATAAATGTATTAATAAAATTTCTCAAGTCTTTATAATTCAATTGTTTTATTATTTCTTAAATAATATTTATAATGTATAAAGTAAATTATTTAATAAAATAATAAATAAATAATTGTAATGTTTTAATAAAATAATTAATCTCGGTAATGAAGAAGTAGAAGTAAATTTAAAAATGCCGCGTAAAATAAATATTCCTACAAAAAGTAACCAACCACAAAATCACTATAAAAAATGTAACTAAATTGCGGAGTATTTGGTTGGCTGAATTGAGCGATCTGCAGCCGGCTTTTGACGTGTCCTAGCCTAGCTGGTGCGGTAGACGGAGACTCGGTGGTGGTGGGTGTTGTGTGAGGTTGTGATAAAGTTTGCTACGTGTCTCCTCTTGCGGTGTGATATGCAGTAAGCAGTGATGAATAGTTCTGAAACGTACAGCAAATGATAAGTAATAAGGTTTATAATAAATTAACCTGATAATTTTGGCCGGTTTTACATAAAGTAAAACAATGCAGTCCAACAAGCCAAGTAACACGGGTGCAAAGAAAGTCATGTTTCCTGATAAAAAGTCTTCACCACCATCATCGTCATCATCTTCCTCAAAACAAATGAAATCTTCGACGATCACAAATGCTGCTGGTCTCAGCTCATTAATCACCTTCACTATATTATTGTTGGCATGGATATCCGGATTCGCATCCAGGCTTTTTGCGATTATACGATTTGAATCTATCATTCATGAATTTGATCCATGGTAAAGACAATAAACATTTCTCTATATGCTAACATATTTATATCTATACATTATATAATATAGTATCATCAAAGCACATGTGCTGTAGTAAAATAATTTTAATTTTTTTTTTTTTTTTCACAAATTATTTTATTAACAGGTTCAATTACCGAGCAACAGCGTACATGGTCCAGCATGGATTTTACAATTTTCTCAACTGGTTCGACGAGCGAGCCTGGTACCCACTTGGCCGAATCGTCGGTGGAACCGTATATCCAGGACTTATGATAACATCTGGCTCTATACATTACATTCTTCATTCATTAAACATTCCAGTACACATTCGGGACATTTGTGTATTTTTGGCACCAGTTTTCAGCGGTCTTACCGCAATATCAACATACTTCTTAACTAAAGAATTATGGAGCGCGGGTGCAGGGTTATTTGCAGCGTGCTTTATCGCCATCGTACCCGGATATATATCGAGATCAGTAGCTGGTAGTTATGATAACGAGGGGATAGCCATATTTGCGTTACAATTTACTTACTACTTATGGGTTAAGTCTGTAAAAAAAGGATCTATATTTTGGGCTGCATTGACGGCATTGTCGTACTTCTACATGGTCTCCGCCTGGGGTGGCTATGTATTTATTATAAACTTAATACCGTTGCACGTATTCCTGCTTCTCTTGATGAATCGATTCAGCAATCGGTTGTTCGTGAGTTATACGACGTTCTATATACTGGGATTGCTGCTGAGTATGCAGATTCCATTTGTAGGATTTCAACCAATAAGAACATCTGAACATATGGCAGCTGGTGGAGTTTTTGCATTACTCATTTTTGTAGGAACTTTGAGGTAAATAAAATTTTATTTACCTAAATTAATATACAGTATTAATATTAACTAATAACTATCTTTTATTTATTTGCTCTCTAGGTACCTACGAACGATACTCACAAAATCTGAGATGAAATACTTTGGAGGAATAGTCGTCATAATTGCGGGAGTTCTTCTTCTAGGACTTGTTCTTTTGACGTACATGGGTTTCGTAGCGCCTTGGAGTGGAAGATTTTACAGTCTTTGGGATACTGGGTACGCCAAAATTCACATTCCCATCATTGCATCAGTCTCTGAACATCAACCGACAACGTGGTTCAGTTTCTTCTTCGATCTTCATATTCTCGTATCGACTTTTCCAGTCGGTTTATGGTACTGCATCAAGCGAATTAACGATGAGCGCGTCTTCATAGTCCTTTACGCGTTGAGCGCTGTTTATTTCGCTGGTGTGATGGTTCGTCTGATGTTGACGCTGACTCCAGTAGTATGCATGCTGTCTGGTGTTGCATTCAGCGGGCTTTTAGAGATGTACCTGAAAGATGAAGACCGTGAGTCTGGTGACAGGGAAAATGTGGACAGTAGCGAGGCCGAAAGTGAAACTGACGGCGAACGTAGTCCAGGAAGAGGACTCTACGACAAAGCGGGAAAATTAAGGCGAATGAAACACGAAAAACCTAAAGGCAACGGAGATGGACTTGGCTCAAACCTTCGCAATGGTGTTGTAATTGGTGTTTTAATGCTATTAATGATGTTTACGGTTCACTGCACTTGGGTCACTAGCAATGCATACTCCAGTCCATCTATTGTTCTTGCTTCCTACACTCATGACGGTGGCCGCAGTATTCTTGATGACTTCCGCGAAGCTTATTATTGGCTTGCACAAAATACTCCAACTGACGCTAGAATAATGAGCTGGTGGGATTACGGATATCAAATAGCCGGAATGGCTAATAGGTAAATTAAAATATTATTTTTTATTTATTTATTTTTTAACCAATAATAAAAATCAAATATTTAAATGATATTTTATTGTTAACAGGACGACACTTGTAGACAATAATACTTGGAACAATTCTCATATTGCGTTGGTAGGAAAGGCTATGAGCTCAACAGAACCAAAGGCTTACGAAATAATGACGTCACTAGATGTCGATTATGTTCTAGTAATATTTGGAGGAATGATTGGTTATTCAGGCGATGATATAAACAAATTTTTATGGATGGTTCGTATTGCTGAAGGCGAGCATCCTCAAGATATTCGCGAGAGTGATTACTTTACTGAGCGTGGAGAGTTTCGTGTTGATGCCGAGGGTTCACCGACCCTTCTCAATTGTCTTATGTACAAATTGAGTTATTATCGTTTTGGCGAAGTAGTACTGGACTACCGCATGTCAGCTGGATTTGATCGTACGAGGCAAGCTGAAATAGGAAATAAAAATTTCAAGTTAACTTATCTTGATGAGGCCTACACTACTGAACATTGGCTCGTAAGAATTTACAGGTAATAATAATTGCTTATATTTCGTAAACAGAAGCTTGTTTGGTATGACATTATTGTACTATAAATGTCAATTAGATAACAAGTATTGGTGTTAGTGTGAAGTCGTATTATACAGTATATTATTTATTTTTATAGGGTGAAGAAGCCCAATGAGTTCAATCGACCCAGGATTCCATTATCGGAACGTAAGATTGCACGATCAACGAGCTCCTACCACAATAAAAAGGTTTAAATTTGATTAAATTTATTTATTTGTTTGTTTAGAAGAAAAGAAACCAAAAAAAAAAAAAAAAAAAATAACCAAAACAAACAAACAAAAATAATTATTGTTATTTTTTTGTTTTAACGTTATAATCGTATCGTTTCTAATCAAATATAAGTACAAAATATTATTTTCAAGCGTAGTTAAAATTTTGGGGGGGCCGGCATTGATGTTTCAGACGACACGTCGCAAGAAGGGAATAATCAAGAATAAACCGACAGTGGTGAAAGGACAAAAACCTCAAAGAAGAACGACCGTTTAAAATGTAAATAATTTTTGACAAGACTTGATCATTTTTCTCCTCTTTGGCACCTCGTTCACTCACCTCTGGCGTTTTTTATCAATAAGTCAAGTCACCGTCCCTTTTTAATTAAATAAAATTATTAATAATTAAAAAAAAAAATGGAAATTAATCTTTTTCAATTAAAAATTAAATAATTTTGAGTGTGCCTCGATGTACTATAGAATTATTACGGAAAAAAAATTTTTATTACAGTTGATTTATAATTTTTTATTTTTTAAAAATAAACGGTATATTTCCGAAAAAAAAAAAAAATTGATAAATAAATTAATAAAAAAAATTAAACTTTAATACGTTCAATTACATTTAGACCACTGAAATAAAACTTTGTATTTCGAAAATACGTATCATCGATGCAATAAAATGACGATGCAAACTGGTCGTCAACTTTCAAAATTATAATTAATTTAATAAGCTTAATAATTATAATTATAATAATACGGATATACTGATTATAAAATTCAATACTTTGCTGTGAGCAATATAATTTGGAAATTATAAAAGTATATCCTTTATGTGAGAATAAAAATTATTAAATCATTAATACAAACTACAAGTGATAGATAAAAATACTTGGTAAATACCTGGAGAGTTTTTTAAACATTTAATATAATAATAATAAAAAAAAAAAATAATAACAACAATATTATTAAGGATAAATATATGTATATTTGACGATTATGTTTGTGAGTAAGCAGCATTTATTGAAGTGATTATTGAAAATACTATTGTATTTTCTGTCAGATATACAATAGATATTCGATGTTAAAATATAAATTTAACAAATTACCCAATATCTATTTTCAATACGAGCTTCTCGAAAAAAAAATGTATTTCCATCATGATTAACGACTGAAATCTCACCAGATATATAAATAATAGTAATAATTATTATAATATTAATAATAATAATAATATAAATGATAATAATGAAAACATGTAATTGTCATTACATTAATTGTAAAAAAATTTTATAATAGTATTTCGGTAGTTTATTTTGTCATCTGTAATATCTGGTGTGTAAAAAAAAAATAACTAAAACAAAAAAGTAATTGATTACAATAATAAATAATTCAAAGGAAAAAATAAGAAATCGACAAGTTCGGGCGGTTCAATACTTGTAAATGCTCATAATATTGAGCCTGTAAGTGTCTTGTTTACACTGTTTGTTGTTTAGAGTCTTGTTAAAAGATAAATATTCACAGTAACATTCTCATGACTCTTTAATTAATGATAATTTACCTTTCCTCTTCGTTACTGGTTAGTTGATAAAGCAAAGTGTAAAGTAACAATAGGACTTATTTTATAAATATCGGAAGAAAAAAATGTTTTTAATCTGTGTACATACAGTTATAAGTTCATTTAATCAATATCAAAAGCTGTTGAGATGATAATAAGAGGTCATTGATTTTTGCATTCATTTAATTTATAACTTTTTAGGTTATGTTTGCTTACTTGTCAAAATCAGCTGATTGATTATTGCCTTTCATTGATATGTTTATATAAATTTATTTATTATCAAATTACATAAATATTTACAATTTTATTAATAACTTTTTAAAAATATCTGTTGAAATATATCCTCGACAATACTAGTTAGGTAAAAAAAAAACAAAAATTAAATAATTATTATTCTGTTGATTTATTTATTTATATAAATATCCAACAAAACATTGCAATTTTATTAATTATTTGTACTTAAAATATTAATCCATATTTATTTGTTTACAGCAATTATATGAAAAATTTCATTGGCTATTAAAAAATAATCAAATAAATAATTAATGAAATTAAAAAGATTTTTTTAATTAAATTTAAAAGAGCGGGAAAATAGTCCATTCAATAAGTGACACACAATAACAAGCTAAAATCTATCAGCAATAAAATAATTATTAGTTATAATGATAATTACACGGTGATGCTGAAAATGATGTATATTTTTTAACAAATATATGAATCATTCTTCATGATAAAAGTGGTACGTAAATTTTCTGACGAATCATAAATGCTTAGTGTACGTAATTCATAAAAAGATCTAAGTGGTTTAAATAATATATCAAGACCTGGAAGTGTTAGTTAGATAATAGTGTATAGTTATTTGAAAAATAATCATATAATATATAAATTGAAGCAAGACTGTTGAGCTCCAGGTATTTCGTGGGAGTTAATTCAAGCGTGGGAATCAAATACGTCGAAGGAAGTATCTTGGGCAAGACGTGTTTTAACCTCATGTAATAATTACATTTTTTTTGGCTGCTCATCCTCATAAAATTTTATAAATTAACTCAAATAATCGTGTGAGCAATAATATAAACACTCCAAGACTGCGAATAATAATAATAACAATAATTATTCATTACAATATTAATAATAATAATAAATTTTATGATTGTTGTTATTAATAATAATAATAACTGTAAATTAACGCCGTAACTTGCGTGATCATTCAATTTTTCTCGCCTCAAATGGTTCATCGGTTCGTGATATACAACTTTAATCCGATATATATATGTACATGAATTACATATATGTGTAAATAAAAGACTGTACACATAACTATAAGTGTGTATGTATTGAAGCACATGCATTGCAATTATATGAAGTTGTATTTGGCGTATATATAGTATATGTTGTTGTGTGTAGCAGCCGCCATCTTCTGCTATAAGCAACTGACATGTCTTTTTAATATTATTATCAATAATTTATTAACGGATTTAAATGTGATCCGACACAATAGTAGGACAATAATATTTATCAAAATTACAGTAACACATATTTATTATTTATTTGGACATTATTAACAATATTTAGTGGTACGTCAAAATAAAAGTAAAAAACGGAGCTGAAAAAAAATAACAATTAACCCAACCTCTGTGCTTGGTGCTTTTAGGGTTCAGAAAAATAGATGATGTGTAATTGAGTGATTTAAATAGTAAAACGCATTGATACGCTTATTGATTTATTTAAATTCCGTAAATATAACTCGAAGGTTTAAAGTGACATTATTTAGTTGATTATTTTGATATGAAACATGCTTGAATTGATACTATTTTAGAGGTTGGATGTCGATCAAACATAACCACAACGCTGATTTATATCTGGCTGGTGTTTGTCAACTTCGAGTGATAAATAAATAAACCAATGTTCACTACGTTACGTGTATCTGATTCAGATAAATTTTTTTAATTAGTTTATTATGAAAATTTGATTTTGTGATTATTTGGTTTTAATAATGAATGGATACACAAGGCAAGGATTAATATTTTCCTTGATTTAATAATATTCAGTCATGCTGATTGCCTTGATTGCCCAGATAGATTGTGTTTCATTATTTATTGAACTATCAATTGAGTAATTTAATCTATAAACCAGTATATCATATTGATTTATACGTTTTTTAATACTGATGAATAATTATTTAATAATATACTTGTGAATGACTGTAAATAGATATTTTAATACAAGTTATTAGGGTTCATATACAAAATTTGTTATAATTTAAATTATTATATAATTTTTTTTTATAATTAATTAAATAATTAAGTAAAATAAGTAAATAATGGGAATCCTGGTAATAAGTATGACTGTAGTAGAATGGTGTTTTGTAAAAAGTTGATTTGTAAGACTTTGAGAATGCAGGTGGAACAGTTGGGAGTCAAACCTGTCATCGATGAAGATCCCGGCCGAGGAGGCTTTTGAGATGGACAATAAATTGAAGTTTTCGGACCGTCTGAAAGCTCTGCTGAAAACAGACCCACGTCAAGACATCGATCCTTATATATTCAGTGAACCAGAGCCATTTCACGGTGCGGGTAAACATAACAATGCCGAGTCCATCAAGAATTCTCGAATGAGTGGAGGTAAGAGTAACGGTTCTAAAGGAAAGTGTTCAAGAAAAAGAATCAAAGCTGAACACAATGCTAGCTCTAGCGAAAACGTTGCATCTGTTATGGATAATGCGAGATTAGTTGGAGATAATAGCAGTCTGAGGAGTGTTGAACTTAGAATCGGTCATGGGTCACGTGTCAAGGAGGATCCTAGCAGAGAACCAGTGAGAAGATTAAGTAGAGATCACACTCTTCTCTACTACCCACGCGCTGGCGATGAAATTCCTGACAGCGATAGCAGTAGCGATGAACTAGGTGTTTATCAACGTCACTGGTTTTCCGGCGATACAAGTAACGTTCCAAGAGCCACCAGGTTGACTCTCCTGAGGTCACAGTTACGTCGGCGTTTAATTCAACTTCACAAAGATGGCAAAGAGTCTGAAACGCTTCTTTATAAGAGAACTCGACGGCTACTGGATGCAGCGTGTAGAAGTTCACGGCAGTTGAAAGGACACTTGACATCTTCAAGTATCCATAAAAAAGACAATACAGATCATCTCCTCGTTGGTAGTCGCTGTCTAGCTGAAGGCTGTCAGTATATGTCGCTACCCAGCACACGTCATTGTTCTCGTCATATAATGCTTAATGGTGATCAACTATTGTTTGAACATTGTACTGCCAAGTTTAGCGACAATACTCAGTGCTGTGTGCCTGTATTTGATGTAGCCCACGAGTTACCATTGTGCCCAGAGCACGCACGTAAACGTGATAATTATAATCGCAAAGCTCAGGAATCCAAACCAAAAAAATCACGTAAAAAGCCAACATCACCAACTAGCATTCCAAGACCCAAGAATACCAGTAGCAGTAGTAAATCACGTCCGAAAAAACGAAAACGACCACCTTCTGTAAAACCTATTGACATAAAGCCTAATGTAAATATACGACATTGTCAACAGCAAGAAGAGACTATTCATTTAGATAATCATCATTCGAGTCAAATAATCACTCCGACAATCATACCGGTTAATAATATCTGTAATAATAACAAGACATTGAATAATGTGGCGCAAAGTATGCCAACTAATCCAATAACTAATAACCTTAATCTTGGATCATTGGGACTTGGATCGTTGGGTCTTGGCCCCGGTTTAAATACAGGTTTAAGAGTTGAATTAGACCAAGAAGTATTTGCAGCTCTTGATCCCAATGAACATGACTTTAATAATGTTCTTAATACTCTACCTGTTGACCTTAACGAGCTTTTCTTAGGTAAGTATTTTATTTTACATAAATATATTTATTCATTATTATTTCCATGCTTATGTTATTGGAATTTTTTTTATAGAAAGCCGCAATGGTGAATATGAACAGCCCTCAAAAGAGGAAGCCGAGGAATTAGAACGGGCTTTGGAAGAAGTTGACAAAGATGTGCGAAGTCTTGAACAAATGGAGCAGACCCGTTCTTTGCTAGAGCGTAATTTGGAAAGAATGGAACAAACACACGGTCTCTTAGGACGTAATCTCGAACACTTAGAATCGAATCACGGTCTTCTAGAACGAAATTTAGAACCGACTCACGGCCTTTTAGAGCCAGCTCTTCTTGCCCAGTTGATGTCAGATATTGCATCGTAGCCTCCGTCCGCACAGAACTGAAGAAAATTTTCTATCAGTCAAAATTAGACAACTTTGCTAGTTGAACCAATTGGCTGAGTGTTTACCTCAATTTATTTTTGTTTAGAGTAAAAAAAAAAAAAGGTGTTTATCTGTCGAAAAAAGTAATTGTAATAATATACTAATTTAAGATTTATTAGGTCAAATGAAACATAAAAAAATACAAAATGATATTAAGTTAAAAGTCTCTGTCAAACAAAAAAAAACAAAAAAAAACTTTAGTTTTTCGCGTTAATAGGTAAATGTAAACAAATTAAGTTTATTATTTTAAAGATATACTGGGTTAATATTTTTGCCGTATAGTATGCGAGTTGCTTCGTATATTCAACGTAGATGTATAAAAACAGCACTTATTATTATTGATGATGATTATTATTATTTTCGCGATATTGTACATTGTTCTTTTAAATTTAAAATGAGAAAGCAAAATAAAAAATGCACTGTGATTACTTTTATAACTACAGCAAAAGTCTATTAAGGTTTCGAAGAAAAGTCATTGGATATGTTTTTTTTTTTTTTTTTTCCAATAGTGTATAATATAAATAATTAATAACAGTAATAGTCATTGAACCATTTAGTTGATTGATTTAACTGATGATAGTAGTTAAGATCGTTGAGATTTTGTATTGAATAATGAGTACATAGGAACTTCGTCAATTAATTTATAATTTAATGATGAGTTAAAAAAATAAAAAAAGTAAAAAAAATAATTGATTTGTAAATGTTAAATTAGATAAATTTTGGTATTTCAGTGGAAATTTTGTCGTCTGTATGTTCGAATGTTGCTTTGTAAATATTGCTGGTCGATAAAAAAAAAGGAAAACAAAAAAAAATACAAAACAAAATTTTACTGATTTAATACATGTAAATTATAGTTACGTAACGATGATAATATAATGAATGGGTAACAACTTTTTATTGTCGTTCATGGTAGAATTTTTTCGCGTTTGACTGTTCATAAAAAAATTATATTTAAATAATATATCTACAAAAAAGATTATATTAATAAATACGAACAAACTGTTACTAATAATAAAGAAGGAGCATTGAAAATATTGAAATAATCTTAAAAACATCACCTGCGTAGTTTACACCTGAATAGACATCGGGTATATTTTACACGAATAATAATAAGTTTATAGCCAAAAGTTGACTGATTGTATTCTTTAAACATAATAACAAAGCAAAAAAAAATATTTCATTCATAATAAGTGAATTTTTATTAAGAAATAAGTGCGAAATAAACAAATAATCTGCTAGTACAACTGTTTAATCGTGCTGGTTAATTATTTAAATTGTAGATTCAAAAAGCTAACAGCAAATTTGGTGATTTAAAATTAATATGTATAATAAAAACCAAAAAAGAAAAAAAACAAAAACAAATAAGTTCAATAAACAATAAACTCGCCTAGGAGTTTTGCGAAGTTCTAAATAATTAGTAATTTGGGCGTTTAACATTGCTGTTTTGTAAATGTCCAATTTGTGTAAGCTCTTGTAAAATATTGTCATTATTATTATTATAATTATCAATCTATTATTATTATTATTTGATTAATTAATTAGGCAGTAATAATTATACTAAGCATATTTTTTACATTGCCTTCTAGTGCTCTCTTTGTATTTATCTCACCTAATAGCCAGTTCATGTATAAGATCTCCTCATGTAAATTGTATAATGTTTTTTTTTAGCTACTTCATAATGTTAATATATCCCACACATTTTGTAAGAAAAAATAATAACGATGATAAACGTTTAATCAGTAGTAGTAATAATAGAGATTGCGTCTGAGTATGACGAGTAAGACTGACGATTCAATTCCCGTTTTATCCATTTTTTCCTTGCTTCCTCTCGATATTTATCGTACTTTCCTTCAACCACTTGTACTTTTGATAAGTCGTAAACATCTGAAAGTTCTAAATCATCTCCAAAGTCTCGAAGTTCCAATGGCTCTTGCTCTAGACTCTGGAAATTACATCAATTAAATTATTTAAGCAATGAGATTCATAAATAAGTATTGAGAATATTTTTATTATTACTAGACTTTTTCTTCGTTTATCAGACAATGAGCTTCTGCGTCGTTCCCATAATTCCTCTCTATCCAATTCATTTTCACCGTCGATTGGAACCAAAGTAATGTCATAGTTAGCGCGTTGATGTCCTAAAATTCCAACTTTAACTCTTAATTTCTGTATATTTTCTTCATCAGCAAGTAGTGCATTTTTCAAATAGTTTATTCTTGGATCTTTTGATTCTGAATTAATCAGTCCTGTAATTAACAAACGATAGTTAGAGATAGTCATATTTATCCAATAATAATTTTTTAAGATAATTTTTGAGTATTACCCAGAGAAACTAGTCTATAGTCATTGAATTCATTAAGTAATTGATAAGACAATGGTGAATTGATTAATAATTTTCTACGTGGTAACATTTCAGATCCATGAAGAATAAATTTTTCTTCTTCATCCATCCCTTTATTGGTTTCATATCCAGTTTTACGATCAGCTATATTATAAGCGTCAGTTCTCAGTAGTCTGTGAAGTTCAACTTCTAATAACAAAATTTAATATTGAATCAATTATCATTATCAGTGAATATTTTGAGAATTAGACAATTATTGATCCAGTCCAAAAATATTCTGTATAATAATTTCCTGCTTAATAATCTAATACTCGTGAAGTTTCGACTTTTTCAGGATATTATTAGATAGAATATTTCAAAATAGGGATCAACAGTCTCGAATATAAATAGCGATATTGATTTAAGTATATTACCAATTAAATTGTAATATTTTCTCTGCAACGCAATCCAAACTACACGATGAGCTACCTGAATAAACACTTCAAAAATTCTTAGATCTTTTTCTCCATGAGACTCAATAGACGAACCAGCCAGCATATGGTGATACTTGGCACTTTCTTCACATCCAACCAACAGTTCGCAGTACTCTCGAGCTACAATACTTCTTAGAGTACTCATTTCTTCAGCTTTTTTCAGTCTGCTACCTTTAGCCAGTTGATTGCGTGCTTTTTTAGTCACTGGAGTTCGCTTTTTTATTATTTCCTCTTCCCATATTTGAGTGTACGATTGGAAGTAAATTATTAGTGCTCGCAGTAGACGATCGACGATACGAAGGTGAAAAAAATTTATAAACTGAAGGCTCACCGGAGTTGTCAATAAGTACAAAACAAGATTTTTTATGTCTTGGAGAATTATAACGTCTGGTTCATTAGGACTTACTTTACGAAGATAATACCTGCGGTATCTTAACTTGAAATTAAATTTTAATAATTAGTATTTTATACAAATGTTTGAAAAATATGTAAAATTTAGTAATTTTATACTTTTTGATTAGAATTCAAAATATCTGAGAAACTCAAAATTAAATACGCATGAGGACAATAAATTTTTGATTTATCTATTATTTTCTTTCTCTGTCTTCGGTATTTTATTTTTTGATCCTCCTGCTCATGAGCTCTGAAATATCGCAAATAATTAATGAAAAAAACTTGTCATAAAAAAATAGAAAATAAATTTACCCAAATATTGCCAATTCTTTGCGAAAATCATCCCACACAAAATGTACATCATCTTCATAGTTTTCTTGCATTTAAAAAAAAAAATAAAATTTTAAAATTAAATGTTGTTTACACATCTATAGTTGTTCCAAATGAAGTTGCAGCTACCTATTGATTGTGCCGATACGTACCAACCGATTTACTGACACATTCAAGTCTTATTTTGAAATATATAATAATAATAATAATAATAATAATAATTTAAAGAACAAAACAATATTGAAAAATTTGAGAAATTTTACAAATAAGTTTTATTTTAACAAAAGTATAAATACATTTATTTTTTCTTATGAGTACTAAGGGTACTAGAATCCTGTTGTAATTTTTGCTTTAGTTGAGAATGAACGGGTATTGCGTCCAAAACAGCTTTAAATTCGGGGTAAATTGGCTCAGATCTTTTGAGAAGAGCATCAGGATCTGGCATTAATTTATTTGGATCATTACTACGGTATCTAATTCTGCATCTAACGTTAATCTTTTCCCTTTGATTAATCGTGACAGTCACATAGAATTCTTTATTTTCCATCTCAAGATTCGGACCATTTATCGGTCGCTCGGGCAACGTGACACTGTCTCTGCTCATATGAATTTTATTCTCACGAAAAGCAGACCATACGTGTTCAGTAGCCAATGTCCAAGGATTATCAGCTGACATGTTAACTTGAAGTAAAAATTCACCAAGAAGTCTTATAGTTTGTGGTACGAATGGCGAAGAGTATGCTTGCTGAGGAACACCAATGTCTTCTTGAAACTTTTTAATGTTTTCCGGCGTAGCGTACGCTGCCAGGCCAGGAAGAAGTAAATGCTTGTACGCATAATATGGAGACAATGATAGCTTATCTCCACGTACACCCATCCCTTCAACAAAAGTTTTCAGAATAACATCAATCTGTTCTCTCTTTCTATTATTTCGGTTTTCAACTAGTTGATAGATGAAGTATCGATTTTTCCAATTTTTTATTTGAGCCCCTTTTTCAAGAAGAGGAAGCTTATACTGTCGTTTCAGTACAAATGTATTCTATAATTTAAAAATCAGTATTTTTATTAATAAAAGTTCATGTAAACATATTCATGTGCATAAACTAAAAATAATAATTACCCTGGTTTGTTGAATTACAACTCCTGGCGTTTTGTTCAAAAGAGGACTGATTGATTTTGTTAAATTATTAAAAACACTTGCAAAATTCAGTTTTTTTTTTTTTTTTTTACTTATTTATTTATTTTTTACAAACTATTTACTTTAACTTGAGAGTGAATATAATTTCTTTAATTATAACCTCTTTTGCTGTCATGCATCGCGCATGCGCATCAGTTTTCTAAGTGAATTTTGAATTTTACCGCGCAAAAAGATTCAAGGGAGTTTTAACTTTTTAGTGAGAAAAATATAGTTACTAAAAACTAATCATTCCTATTGGTTGAAAATATGAGAATTACTTTTGAAGAGGAGTAAATATATGTAGTTACTATAGTATATATGTGTGTGTAATTATAGTAATTATACACCAAGGTGAGTCAGATCGATTATTCTCACTTCTCGAGGAAGGAGAAAGTCGATAACCAACTGGCTAATGCTACGACACAACGCTCACAACGCTATATACACTTTAAAGTTATAACAAACGAGAAATTCATGTTCGATATATCTCTGAATAATAAAGTTCGATCACGGTCGATTATCCGATATCGGCTGCAAATAGCGGCAAATTTGTTTGTTTGTGTTTTTTATTTTTTTTTGTTTTTCAACTATTAAGTATTATTGGTTTTAAATATTTACACAATATACAGGAAAACAAGTATTCTAAAAGTAAGTTTTTTACGTTTATTTTACGTCACCTCCATTTTGTTGACATATTATTTGCTTCCTCTGTCTTATAAGTAGAACAATTATAAATATAAAGATAAATATCCATGTATGGAAAAAATAAACAAATAAAATATTTAGTCAGTAAATGTTTAGATATTTTTATATTTTTCAGGCAATAAAAATAAATAATTTTAACTGAATATGGCCGGTGTTAAGCCAATAATATCATATGAGGTGATAGCAACTGACAACGAGCAAGAGGAAAATAATGAAGTACAGTTGGCTTACAGCATGGAAGAAAAACATACTTACACTTATAAAAAACTCGTTGTACCAATGTCGATGAGAAGTCAGTACTGGAGATATTTTGGTTTTCCAGCAACTAAAGAAGGTGAGATCTTGACTAAAATAAAAATAGTCTGTATATTATGTCGTACGCAAATTGCTTACAACCGTAACACCAGTAACCTGCGTATGCATTTACAAAATAAGCATTCATCGGAGCTAATGGAGTTGGAGGCTAACAGGCCTCCCAAACAGCAGTACATTCAGCAGAACATGAAAGAGAGAAGAGCGCAGAAAAAATTGTTAAAGTCGACGACGTATATTCATACAACTAACATTGATGGTACTGTACAGATTGATGGTGATTTGCAGTATGTTACTGACCCGAATGTTAGTTTTGCTAATTTAGAGGACGACCTCAGCCTTGAAACACCGCTCAGGATAGCAATGAAAAATGCGTCGACTAGTAAAGATCAACAGCAACAGCAGCAGCAGCATCAGCAGCAGCAGCAGCAGTTGTCTTATGTTATTTCAGATGACGGCGATATACAGCACGCTGAAAACAGAGATATGAATAATTTAATGACCGAGGTAGCTGTGATGGACATGCAGTTACCGAATTTTGTAGAGGGACCGGGATTTTCAAGGTTCATGACTATGCTTAGTTCAACGTATGACATTCCTAGTAAAAACAAACTCGAGGCGGAATTAATACCCAACATGTATAATAAGTATAAAAATTACTTGGTTAATGTTTTAAATAAAGTTTCGACAGACATAGGATTGACTATAGAAGAGTGGAAGTCAAGCAATGATGAGTATTTTATAACTATCTCGATGTTTTATCAGAATTCAGAAGAAGCTATAATGGAAACAAAAGTATTAACGACAGTACATGCCCCCAGAGAATGGGGTACTGGTCAGTGGGACAATTTTATTGAATTATTTTTGTACGAATGGAACTTGACGCAAGAAAAAATAACTGCTGTTGTTGTTGCGACGACTCTTCAAGATTTACTCAATGCTTTAACCAGTCGAGGGTTTATTTTGATACCCTGTTTGCTGTATACGTTACAAGAGTGTGCTCAAGAATGCTTTGAACACCCAAGAGTCAAAGAGATCTTGGTGGCTTGTCGAATAATCGTAGGAGTTATGACTGCAAAAACTGGTGGTGGTGAAAAAGAGAGTTTGGAAGAACAAGAAATGTATTATGAGGTAAATTTATAATTATGAGTTTATTAAAATTAATTTTTATTTGTTAAATTTATAAAAATTATAACGGTGATATATTTTTTTATAGCAAGTTGATGAAAATACATTGACGATGGATTACCCAGGAATTTGGACGTCAACACACAATATGCTGCAGCAAATAACAGCGAAGAGAAACTACATTGAGACATTGCTGGTGTCTAAAAGTGAATCGGAAGGCGGTGAACTTGATTGGACGGGCATAAAGCTTGCTCCTGAAGATTGGAGTACAATGGAAGATCTTGTAATGGCTCTTGAGCCATTAAAAGTTATAATACTGACACTAGTTGAAGAAAAAATTCCTATGATTTCACTTTTGAAACCTATTTTATGGCAACTTGAGTCAGTTCATTTGGGTACAAAGCCATCAGACAGTAGTCTAGTAAGAGGTTTTAAATATCAAATTAGTCAAAAGCTTAATGAACGCTATGAAATAAGTGAAATAATAAATATGCTGCAAATCTCCACTACTTTGGATCCAAGGTAAATAAAAAAGATAGCTTAGTAATTTTTATTTCACATGAGGAATAAATAGACCAGTAATTAAAACACTTATTTTTAGATTTAAACAGCTACCGTATGCTAGTGAAGAAGAAAAAGCTGAATCAATGAAAGAAATTAAAGAAATTATAAAAAAATATATTCATGATGATGAGAGAAAATCAGCGAGTAAAGAACCGGCTAATAAAAAGAGTAGATTATCTGGTAATAATGAATTAAATTGAATTGGTGGTTTGTCATATTATTTATATAATTTATTTCATTTATTGAATTTCAATTAAATAATTTCAGGCATGGAGAACCTTTTCAAAGATTTTAATTCAAAGAAAACGCGAACGACGATTTCGGATAAAGCAGAGTTGGAGATGGTACAATATCAAGGTGAATCCGGCGAACCATTAGGATCATGTCCAATTGAGTGGTGGACAAAATTATCAGCCAAGTGTCCATATCTCTATAAACTCGCAACACATTACAACTGTGTACCAGTTTGTTGTGCCCCGTCAACACGCATTCATCCAGACGCACAAATTGTTTATAATTTAAAACGCGCGGCTATACCTACTCATCTTATTGACAAGATGATTTTTCTTAATTGCAATCACACCGTTAGCCCAAGTGTTTGATTAATTTTATATACTCAAATATATTCTTGAGGAATCTTTTTATAAGTTAAATGATTGAGTTTCTTATTCAATGATTGATTTATAATTATTACTTTTTTTTTTTTTTTTTTTTTTTTTTTTTTTCTCAAATTTGAAAATGCTTATTCGTATTTAAGTTTTTGTTCCTATACGTATGTTTATGATGAATGTAATTTATGTTTATGTATTTGTTCGCATTTGATAAGTGAGAGCAACTATTTTATTTGTAAATACTAGTAAGTTCATAGATTAATCATGAATCGATACATTTTTTTTGCTTGTACACGAGATCTATTTAAATTTAAAGTCAATGTTTTCAATGATCGCCTTTATCTAATCTTATGACAAGATTAAATTATTAATACAACATTGTACAAATATTATAGTATTTAACACTTTAATTCTTGCTGTAATTTGACTTATGTCAAAATTATGACACATTCATTCAACACTATTATTATACAATATACCTAAGATATTTTTTAATATCTAGATTTAGTAAACTAGTATTTAAAAGAATATAAAATAATTTTCAAGTTAAAAATGTATTGACTGTACTAAAAATTATTTTGTTTTTTGATCCTATTTTAAGAAATAAAAGAATAAAAATTAAGATAATTTACTTACTTGTAGAGAAAATATAGGATAGAATTAATCGTTTGATTAAACAGAGATCAAAAGTATAAATTACTTTAATTATGACATACTTTAATTTATAAAAAATTTAATCTAATATTTAATCTTTGGTTTTTTTTTGTACGTAATTTTTCAAGTGAGATTGAGTTGTTTTTCCATCCAAGATGAGCCTTCATAAAATCTTGGATCACCAATTCTAAGAGACGCTCTTTTGTAAAAGTAATAGTATATTACTGCAACTGTTATAGAATAATTTTTAGTGAATTTATTCCAAGTGAGTTTTGAGTGAAAAATTGAATAATTATGTAAATGTGATAGTTATTTAAATTACCTGTTCTGTGTATTGAATAAAGGCAATGAAAACCTCTGGTCCAATAATGAGTTAGAGGGTAGTTCCAATGAATGGTCATATGCCATATGTGGAGAATAATACTCAATATTATGTAAAGAACACATAGTACTAAAGTTGTGCGAAATCTGACGTACAGCAGTTGAATAAGTCCTGTCTGAAAAAAAATTAATATTGATTAAGCTCTCTTGGAGTTTCTTAAAAGTAAAGTGAAATTGAATGTTATTTTACCTGGAAAATATACGTAGCGAAAAAATTGACCAACAATAATGTTAAAGCAACAATCAAACAAAAATCCTGAATTCTGAAAATGGATAAAGGTAAATAATTTAATTATCATTTATAAATTGTTGTTAAAATAATTCATAAAAAATTTTTTTTTTAATTTTATAAAAATATTTTTAAAGAATTTCTTACATGTAAAGAGATAAAAGTTCTACAGGATAAAATCGAGTAAAACTAGAAAATGAGTTAACACAAACATCGAATAGCAACAATAAATTTTGAATGATAACTATTGCGGAATACTGTTTAGAAGTTGAAATATTCATTTACTAAGTCAATGATGTCAATGACATTGATTTTCAGGTTTGTTTTGATTTTCGGCATCCATCTGCTAGTACACAACAAATGACACTGACATTTCGGTTTGTTATGATTTTTTTTTTTTATACATAGCAAACTTCATTACTGAAGATGGCGTATAGTAGTTATTCATTTTTCATTTATTCTTGCACTGGACATGAAATAAACAATGATATGAATTTTGAGATCACAATGAAACTTTTCAATATAAAAATTCATTAATTGTAATTTTTCATAAAACTAAAGATGTAAAAAGTGTAAAACAAAAAAAATGTAAATTTCTGTTGTATTTAAGATTAATTTTTTTAAATTATAACTCAATTTTTTTATCATACAAATTACTTGAAAGAAAATTTTTTTCATTAACTTTTCATTCGAATTTTTCACACCTGTGTAATTAGTCGTACCTGTAGGTAAGTTACCGTTTGATTACTTTGACGTTTTTACATTCCATTCCACGTAATATAAGAGTTAAAAAAAACCAGTCAACAAGTTGTCTAATCATGTACCGTTAGACTCAAATGAAAAAGTGTATACCAAGATGAATTTATGTGAAAGAAAACAGTACTTTTAAAATATTTTATGATAATTTATTTATTTATTATTTTTAATTATATAGTTCATAAGCATGACAAGCTCTAATAGTAATAGTAATGTTAATTCGAAAAAAGTACTTACTCCTGACCGTAAATTAAAATCGAAGAATAACACGGAAAAATCTCCTGACACGTACGTATATTATTTAAATTTAAAAACTGATAAAAAATTTATAATTAATTTTTTATCTTTTATTTACAGAGGATGGTGGTTGGTTTTTGGAGTGATTATTCTTCTTACTCTTGTAACTAGATTTTATAATGTCACTGAACCCCAACATGTTTGGTAAGTAAATAATATGTTTACTAGTAATAATAGTTATTTTATTATTCATATTACAAAATTTAATGCTATAATTATTTATTACAGCTGGGACGAGACACATTTTGGAAAAATGGGAAGCTGGTATATCAACAGAACGTTTTTCTTTGATGTTCATCCACCCCTTGGAAAAGTATTTTGTTTTATTTTTCTTTACTGATAAATTATTTAAATTAAATAATTAATTTCTTTATTTAAAACACAGATGTTAATTGCATTATCTGGATACTTAACCGGATATGATGGTACATTTCCATTTGAAAAACCTGGAGATAAATTCGGAGATGCTAAATACGCAGGAATGCGAGTGGTAAGTTATTTTATTCTTTTTATTACACAAATATAATTTTATAAGTAACTTAATAAATAAATAAAACTATTTTATAGTTCTGTACATTTTTGGGAGCAACTATTGTACCTTTAGCGTTTTTAACAATATGGGATTTAACAAAATCAACTGGTGCTGCTTCATTATCGGCAATGTTTATTTTATTTGGTAAGCATCTGAAATCACTTATTTTTAAATACAAAAGATTTTTATAAATAATTAACAATTATTTTTTAGATGTCGGCTTGGTAACTCTGAATAGATACATTTTATTGGATCCGTTGTTATTGTGTTTTATGATGTCAGCAACCTGGGGAATGGCGCGAGTCGGTGCTCTGAAGGATCAAGCATTCACAAAAACCTGGTGGGGTTGGTTGTCATTCACTGGAATATCTCTAGCTTGTACAATGGGAGTTAAATTTGTCGGATTATTTGTCGTACTATTAGTCGGGTTATTTACAATAAGCGAGCTCTGGAGAGAACTAGGTGATTTGTCACAACCTGTTACAAATGTAGGAAAACATTTATTAGCAAGGATTTTGTGCTTGATAATCTTACCAATTATTTTATACATGGTCTTTTTTTTCATCCATCTGATTGTTTTGAACAAGAGTGGAAGTGGTGATGGATTTTACAGCTCTGAGTTTCAGTCTCTATTACAAGGCAATTCACTTCACAACGCTTCCATGCCGAGAGAGCTCTCATACGGTGCTACGATTACACTAAAAAATCATCGTACGGGTGGTGGATACTTACATTCGCACTGGCATCTGTATCCAGAAGGTGTTGGTGCTAGACAACAACAAATCACAACCTACTCCCATAAAGACGACAATAATTTATGGCGTGTCAAGAAATTTGATACTGATAAACTACCGGCTGAACCTGAGTTAGTAAAGCATGGAGACCTCGTTCGTTTGGAGCACATTATCACAGGTCGCAATTTACACTCGCACAAAGAAATAGCTCCAGTTTCAAAAAAACACTATCAAGTAACAGGCTACGGTGAAAATGGTACAGGTGATGCTAATGATGTATGGAAAATTTTGATATCTAACGGCAAAGATGGTGATATTATTCAGACAGTTACCAGCAAACTCAAGTTCGTTCATTATCTCCATCACTGTGTACTAACGTGTAGTGGTAAAACTCTACCTAAATGGGCTTACAGTCAACAAGAAGTCTCATGTAATCCTAATATGCGAGACAAAAATGCCTTGTGGAATATTGAAGATAATAGGTATCCTAAATTACCTAACGTTAGTTTTCAAGTATACGCACCAGGGTTTCTTGCTAGATTTATCGAATCTCATGCGGTCATGCTTCAAGGGAATTCAGAATTAAAAGTTAGAGAGGGTGAAGTTACTTCTCGTCCTTGGCAGTGGCCTATTAATTACAGAGTAAGAAAATACTTTTAATTATGATAATGATAATATAATAATAATTATTGTTTTGTTATGATTATTAATAAATTTTCAAACTTTTTCTAGGGGCAATTTTTCTCAGCAAATAATCATCGAGTTTATTTGCTAGGGAATCCAATTATATGGTGGGGAAATATAGTTTTTCTATTTATATTTGCCCTCATATATTTATACACGGCAGTAAGAGAGCAAAGAGGCTGCGAAGATGACCCAAAAGTTGTTGCTGAAATAGAAAAATTAAAAACAGCAGGCAGCTGGTTATTCATCGGATGGCTTTTACATTACGTTCCTTTTTGGGCAATGGGACGAGTACTCTACTTTCATCATTACTTCCCGGCATTAATGTACAGCTCTATGCTCACCGGTATAACGATAAGTTTTATCATTGATACACTATTCTTTTTACTACCACAGAGAATCGCAAATACTATTTATCATCTTATTCTTGGAACAGTTACTTCCGTGACTATCTACAGGTTTTTATTTTTTTTTTTTTTCATATTCTTTTTTTATTCCGAAGCGTGTAATTTTTAATATTTAATCTATAAATTTATTCTTCAGCTTCTATTTATTCTCGCCGTTGGCTTACGGTATGGACGGATCAAATTCGGATTCTCTCGTTAATCCTATGCTTGGGCTACGCTGGCTCGACTCATGGGAATTCTGAATAAAAAAAATTATAAATTGAAAAAAAAAAAAAAAAATTTATGAGATTATTGAAGAGATAGGTACGAACTGATAAATCTAATTTATATTTTATACTTTTATAAAAAAAATAAAGTAACTTTTTATATAATTCTTCTCTCTAATTTAAGTCTATAGAATGTGAATAGACGTGAGTTGTTCTATCTTATTAAACAAATATAAATAAATGCATCAAAAAATCAATTGATCCATTGCGACAAATAATGTACGTCAAGTTCAACGAGAAGACGCGCAGGTGCAAAGTTGTATCAGCTGTAGATTGTTGTTGCTAGCTAGCTGGAGCTTCATCAGTAGCAGTGTCCACATTTTATCCGTCACAAGTTGAGTCTAGCGCTGATATAATAGTTAATGAAAAAAGGGTCATCGTGCGTTTAAAAAGTTTTAAATTGATACTCAACGCTGTGTACTGATTAAAAAAAAAAATACAAAAAAGAATGACAGCAGTAGCTAAATAGGCCAGTAAGAAGCTGAGAATCAACCAGTTAATACCACAACAAGCCAATGTGGTACTTGTTTTTTTTTTTTTTTTTTTTTTTTTTTTTTTTTTTAAGGTAAATATTCACAGTGACAGTCGCGTGTGATTTTGCGCGAATCAATACACTAAATTATTCAAAATCAATTGTCCACTTTTTTCTCACATTTTTATTTCTATTTCGTTCTATAATTTAAAATAACTAAATTTATTTACGTCACGTTTCAAATAATAGATTGATCAATTAAAAGCAATGAAAAACTACTTTGAAAGTTAAGTTTAATCAATAATAAAAAAAATTCTTGTCATTCAGTCAACTAAAATAAGTAATAGAATAAATATTGACGCTTTATAAATATTTAAAAAACATTATAAGGTAAGTGATGAATCTAGTATATTAGAGTAGTATATTGAGCTGATACAGTCAAAGTGACGCAACGGATGATCTCATAAAACTTTTAAAAAATTAATTCAATGAATAGACCGCTCGGAATTCTATTCTAACACTTAGTTCTATGACTTGCCTGGATTTAGAATAGAGTGAAAGAAATTTGAAACTGTTGAGATTAAAATTTATTTAAATTATTTATGCTTATATCAATTTAATTATTAAATTTTTATTTATTTTTTTTACGAGAATTAAGTCTGAAGTTCATGAAATTATCTTTTTATCCTAATTTTTATATCTAAATCTATACTTACATCGGTTTGACTTTATGCGTCAGTGATTGATAAGATATCTTATATTATGCCTCCAGGATTTATTAAATGACACTCCTATTTCTGTTGTGAACATAAATTTCTGTCGATGAAATGGATTTTAAAATGCATAGTTATGATTCCAAAACAAATAAACTGAGTGAATTCGTATTTTTCTTCACAACAATGCAGCTCACGATAAAAATTGAGGTAATTTATAAATTAAAAATAGTTTATTACTTGCTTGTATATTTGTATTTTTATCATATATTTATTTAACGTGCCTACAGGTAAACGTACTGCTTACCGTGCGTTTATAAATAAATACTCCTGGTAACGTGGAATTAGAGTGAATTAAACTGCTCTAATATGCTGAAGTGTAAAATAAATTTACTATTGATTATTTGGTCACTTATTAATATTATTTTATGCGGCGAGTTAACTAAAATTTCGCAACAACCATCCAACGTCCTTGAAGATTTCTTTGGGTATCGTCATATTTCTATTATTCACTTCACTATTCCGGAAAATGTTATCAAAGCTATCTTCAAGTAAGATTATAAATATTTAAATTAAATTTTTATCGCCTTGCGGTCAAGTGACTAGTATTATAAATATTTTTATCAAACAAATATTAAAAAAAAAATAAATAAACAATAATTTATTATTTTACAGGTTCACTGCTAAAGAAGCTAAGACTGGAGGATTGGGTAATTGTTCGCCGCGAGATGTTTCAATTTACTTAAAGTCCGGAAGTATTCCATTAGTTCATCCGGACGGCTCTAAAATTAGTGCAGAGTTGTTGAAAAACCGAAGATCATTTTATGAGCTTAATTTGACAAGCGCTGGCGATCAATATGAAATTTCTGCAACGTCCCCGGCTTCGGGTGACTGGTATGCTATTGCATTTAGATCGTGGACCGATCCTGACTCTGAAAAAATTACTCAGCAAGGTAAAACTCATCAGAACTCATCAGAATTATTAACTCTAATAAGTAGTCTATTAAACTAATTTTAATTTAACCAAGTTCTTTATACTTACTGAGAATCTTACAGTAAATTCATCTTGATAATTATTTTCAGGTATTGGAACAGCATGCGATACAGTTCTGGATGCTGAATTATTTGTAGAACGAGTTGAGCAGTCGTTATTTGCAAAGAAAAACGATGACGATACAGTAACATTAAATGATAATTCATTGGACACTGCTATTATTCAATTTTTTGTACCTGAAGATCAACAAATAGTAAATATTTCGTTGATTTCATCATGTGAAGAGTGTAAAGTCGCTGCTAATGTTATCACGAAGGAAACTTTAACCGGTGCATTGATTAATCAGTCTGAAACGACTCTAGTTTTTAAGCCTTATGTTAATTCTTTACATTACTTGACTCTTCGTCTTTTGTCGGGTAATGCAACTAACATTTCAATCGCATTACCACTGGACGACTTATCACTAAGCGACAATGCTTATGACATCAACGATGACGTTGTGGCTGTGAATAAAGTACCGCTGACAAGAAAATCTCTTCCAGATTTTTTTTTATTTGATTATGAGCATTTATTAGGTAATTCTAGTAAACCTTCACCCGTTAATATTACGGTTGACAAGCTAACAGTATTAAGTTACCAAGTAGCACCAGTTTATGATGTCGGTGGTACTGTTTCTATTGGTATTAAATTAGTTAAGAAAACCAACAATATTGTTGTAGTTGGATGCATTTCTCTAGGTATTTATTTTTCTTTTTTCAATTATGTTCAAGTTTATTGATTATAATTAGGGCTAAAATTTTTGTCTTAATTTTAAAATAATAACATAAATTTTTGATATTACGGCTACAGTATTAGTCGTATAAAAAATTTTTTTAAATAAAAATTATTTTAAATTTAATTTGAATTTAAAAAAAATGTCTCTTATGATTTTTTCTCAGGATCATTTAGAAAACCATAATTTTAAAATAAAGGTTTTCATAATTAGTAAAAATTTTAATCATTCGTTATCAATTTTAATTTTATTTTCAAATTACGGAGAAAATATCGGGTTTTTTAAAAAATCATAAGAAACACTTATTACACTCAATTGAATTTCCCATCATTTTTTTTTTTTTTTTTTTTTTTTTTTTAATTTTGATGCAACCAATATTTTCCCCGTACTATCAAAAATTTAAACCACTCATTTTTAAATTACTGCAAAAATCTTGACACTTATTATAATGATAAATGAATCTTTCATCTCTTCTCCGTATAATTAAATTTAAATAAATTTTTTTCAGGATATTATGCAGGAATCACGGCAGGCGGAGGATGTATAAGACAAAATTCAATAACAGCCGCCGATTTGTGGTCAAACAATATAAAACCAACAATTATTCACATTCCATACCCAGAACCCGGCACTTGGCATCTAAGTATGAAAGCTTTTTACGTAGAACCTAAGTGCAATTGTTCTGAAGAATGTCGTACAACTGGCTGTAAATTATGCAGCTGCATGAATGAAACGATGACGAAAGTAGAAACCAATATAGCTTCATCACCGTGCATCGAGGGACATTGCAATTCAAATGGTCGGTGTCTTCATTACATGAACGGTGGATCTGTATTCTCAGCATGTTATTGCAATGGTGGATACCGCGGATTCGATTGCGCGGATGACACTTACGTTTTAACTGGTGGAAGTATTCTTGTGCGCTTATTGCTTCTTACATTGAGTAATTTAGCATTTTTAGCATCAAGTTATGTAGCGTTTCGTCGAGAATACTACACGGAAGCTGTCGTCTACGTCTCGGTGATGTTCTTCTCAACATTTTATCACGCTTGCGAAGCCGGGGAAAATATTATGAGTTTCTGTATCGCGAAGCTCAGTGTACTGCAGTTTTGCGACTTTTACAACGCTCTTTTGTCAATTTGGGTGACTCTGGTAGCGATGGCGTCATTTGGACCGAGGCTCACGGCTTTCTGTCAAATTAGTGGAGCTATTATTCTTGCTCTGGGTGCTGAGTTAGATCGTACAGCTCTCTGGGTCTTTCTGCTGCCTGCTATCACTGGCTCCATTTTAATCGGAGTGTCTTGGGGCTTACGTTGTCGAAGACAACGAAACTTTGGATACCCCGTATCAAGATACCGCAATGTTTATCTTCCAACTGGACTTGGTCTCGTTTCTGTCGGCTTAATTTGCTACGCATTTCTTCAGACGCGTCGGAATTACCATATTATTCACAGTTTTTGGCATGTTTGCATCGCATTGAGTGTGGTTTTACTTCTTCCTAAGCGTAAACATATGAAATAGTATCGGAGATCGCTGGACAACGATTATGAGTCTTGCGACGAAGCTATTCGTGCATTCTCATCACCCGTTGTCAGCGATTTTGATCAAGAATGTGATCTGAGTGATTCGTTTTTGCAAGCATTGGATGAATAAGAGTGATGAATACTCTTATATAGATATAAATAATTGTGATTTGAAATGATAAATAAATTACACAAACTTTATTGTGATCTAATAAGTATATTTTACACTTTTGTGTGCTGATGTTAAATATCTATATATTTGTATAGAATTCACTTGATGCACAAAGTATATAAGATAAAAAATATTACATAGATATATATATATATTGTGACTATTATCTGCCATATGAATATTTATTTATTAAATATTTTTCTCAAACTGTGAGTTATTTTTATTTATTGTATTTAAAATTCTATCGACTATTAGACAAAGTTTATAATTAAAAAAAGTATATATTTATATATTCAATAAATACAAACTGATAATAATTGATAAGTAGATTTTTTTTTTTCATAATTATATTTATATTTATATATAACTATTTTATTTTTTATATTGAGTAATATGATTATTAAGTGGATTATATATTGATATTCGATGGCTTTCAATGGCATAGGGCACATTTAAGATTATTGTATCATATTATTTCAATTATTTATAATAATAATTAATAAATCATTGTTATGTTATATTATATTATTTGATTATATAGTGTGATAAAAATAATTAAGCAGCCGCCGATGGTGCAGTAGGTTGAGAATCTGGACTATTGACAGTAGTAAGAAGATTGGAAATTAGACGTGCTATTGATTCCATTGAAAAGCCACATTGTCGGTAAAGTCTCGAACAATTTTGTCCTTTTCTTCCTGCCTCGATAGCTTCTTGAATAGCTGTTCCACGCATTGCAGTGCGGAATACCTGGTTCGTCGTTACAGTATCTACTAATCGGTCAAATGATGACACTTTTTCTTCATCGTCAATGTCATTAGCTGACCGCGTTGTTTCGGCGGCTTTTTTCGAGTAAGTACAGACAGCTCGCTGCATACATGTTGTGGTGTCAATTCCGTGACGAGTTAGAACGTCATCAATTTTAGTCATTGAATTAACAAATCCTCCTTCGTCGCCTGAAAAATTCACCAATTATTTAGAATAATTATCTTATTTAAGAAGAAATAAATAAATATATTCTTTTGACTAGTTACTTCTTGCATATTGTCCATAGCTTCCACTGAGAAGAAGTAATAACTTTGGAATAATTAAAATAGTTCCCACTCCAATCACAGCGCCAAGTACTAATCCGCCTAGATCAACTTTTCCTGGTGCATAAGAAGATACTCCATAGCCCTGATAAGTATTAATTTATTTTTAGTAAATTATTGATATAAGAACAATTATATTGTTAATTTTTTAACTTACTGAGCTTGTGCCAACTCCGGTAAATCCAAATCTTGGTTCTTGATTACGATCAATTGGAACGTTTGATCCATCAGGTCCAGAAGAACTTCTGGATACTGAAGAAGCGTTTTCACTACGATGTTGCGAGGGTGATTGAGATTTCTGTTGTGATGCGACGGCCATTTGATCATGAGATTTTCCCATTTTATCGAGGTAGTCTATAGAACTTGGTACAAATCTAAAATATTTATTATTATTATTATTATTATTATTAATCTCCGGTAATTTTCATTGTTAAATTTTATATAAATAAAATAAATTAATCACCCTCCCATGTCGTATTTTGGCGAACAATAAGCACTATTAATTAAAAAAACAGCCATTAAGTTCAAAATCTTGAAGCTCGCAGTATTCATCTAAAAAAAGTTTAACAAAATATAAAATTTCTTCTGAAGAAATGGAAAGAAACAATATTTATAGTTTAAAGTACGTGACGTACCTTGATGTTTATTTATGAGGATCTCCAAAAAATGTAATGTCTATGTGAAAAACTTATTCCAACTGAAGTAAAAAGTACGTGTCGGGTAAATATATAGGTACTGAGGGTAATGACGACGACGGTCAAAGATAATTGCTCTCCTAGTTTCGCTTTCGTCGTTGTAGATTTCCATAGAACAAAGTCGCGGCCCGTGACATCCCCTCCGCACATGCCAAAAGACTTTTACTCTCATCTTCTAAAGAATGATTTTGAACAAATAAAAATTTGGTCCTGCGTGTCATGACGAAAGACTTTTTAGTAAGAAATTAGTTAAACTAAACAATTAAAATAAGTATTAAAATATTACAACAACTTATTTTTTTTTTTAAGAAAATCATTTTTTCTAATAGTTTTAATTAAAAATCGTAACCTATTTCTTCATTGTTCCCCTTCTGTGGGATTTTTTGTGACCTCCACATTATTTTTGATACGCGTACTTACTATTCAACGCTTCAGAGTAGACTAAATCCTCAAAGCTGAAAAATAAAGAGCGTAATTACTAAATATACTACTTTGTTCACATTAATCAAACTTGATAAACATAATTATTGTTTCTAGCAATCATCTTCATTTATATGAATTAATTATAAAAGTAAAAAAAAAAAAAAATGAAAGTGACATTTTTACTACACACTACTTAAGATAGATAATCTTGTAATTATAATATTTAAACACTTTTGTTAATGCACTAACATTTAAATTTATTTATTTTACATACGTGGAAACAATAAGCATAATAAAACTAAAAAACTTTCTTCTCTAAATTGAATCACCTCATTAGAATCTAAAGTAAACATTCAATTTAAAGCAATAAAAGGAAAATTTGATAATGAGCGTTGGAAAACAATCCCATCGTTAAAAGTCGAGTGTTCTAAGGAATTCGTTCTGCCGACTGATTAAGAAAAATGTCACGAAAGCCATAAGCACCGAGCACTTTTATTTTTTTTTTTTTTTTTTTTTTGCACAACGGAAATAAACCATCCACAAGATTATACTTCCATTACTTAATTAGCTAGGGGAGTTACTTTGCTATTATTAACAATAAATTTTTTACTTTTAAACAAGGTGAACATTACTGATAATGATTATCACCTTTCTCCACGGAAAAAAATGTCCTTATTTCCGAGGAAGTGTAGGAGGGTGTTATATACATAGTCGGAAATTTTTTGCAGAGCCCACACTGCATTCAACTTTTTCTTGTTCGCTATTCTCTAAAACTAATAAAATTTTGCTCTTCTTTGCCGAAGTAAACATACAGTAATCATGAGTTCATCAGTATTAACAATATTATCGTTAGTTTTTTTGAATAATTTCTTCATAATGTCATTGGCGAATCTTACTCCGGATTTACTGCGAAGAAAGCCGCGGTTTATTTCATTTAATTCTGATAAAGGGAAAATAGATGTAAGTACTAAGTTTCTTTAATAATTAATACCTAAATTAATGACATAATATTGTAGATCGATTTGGATTTATCAATTCCATTTTTATCAATACCTCTAAATCACGAAGAAGGAGCAGATGGTCCACAACCTCTGGTAAATGTCAATTTAAAATCTGTTGCTATTGCTGGAGTCTTAGCTGGGGTGTCGGCATTTATTTTGCCACTATTTTTCTACAAGCCTTCCGCTGAACATCGGTACCGTGAGTTTGACCTAATTTATACTTTGTAACTTCTAATTTAATACATTTTATTTTACTGCTCTAAATTAGTACAGGCCGGAACGATGAATTTGGATTTAAAGAAGTGGGCCAAGCATTCAATGAATTAATGTTGGGAAATAATTATGTGACACCGTGTCTTCAATACGCAGTTTGTAGTGCTGTTGCTAAAGTTAATCATGCTAGAGTTTTATCAAACAGTGATAAAATAATTGACGGAATAGCCAAGTAATTAAATCATCTTATTATAAACTCAGTTTCTTAATATGAAGTGATAATTGAATTCTCAAATTTTATTTATTTTTAACAGCCTCGGGTGGTTTAAAAACGCTACCCATGGTACAGCGATACAAGAAGCAATCGATATAGGCCGACGGTCTAATCCTGGATGTTCTTATTTGTTTAAAGGATGCAAAATGCCTGCAGATACTCTTGAGACAATGTTGAATGAATTAGGAGTTTATTGATAGTATTAACTATCACATTTAACTGCTAATTGAAATTAAAAATATATATGTACTTTAAATATTAGATTAGGATAATTAAGATTATAAACTTTGTTAAAAATAAATAAAATTATAAATTATTTAAATTTACTTGTTACATCAGTATTTTTTTAGTAATATTAACAAACTTCTGTAATAACCACCAACGACATGACAATTTACTAATTTCATTGTTCAGATGCGCACAGCGTAAAAAAAAATTTCTTATCATCGGAGTCTATAGAGACGTAAAGACACCAGACACGCATCGAGAAATTGTCAAGAAAATTTTTTACTTTCTCTTGTTATTAGATTATAATGTTAAAATCATCAGTAAAATTATGCTACGTCGTAATATTATTAGAATTATTTGTAAAACTGGTATTTGCTAGAATTTTAAGTACATTTTTTGCACCAACAATCCTTGCTAGCACAAATGGTGTATGACCTAACATATCTGTAGACTCAGGATCGCTTCCGTGCTCCATTAGAAAGCGTACGATCGAGGGTTTATTATGAAGCGCTGCATTATGAAGGGCCGTACGACCGGAAACATCTGGTTGCGATAAATCTGCACCAGCTATATTGTATGACTGGAGACGTTTAAGGCAACCAAAAGCAGCTGCGTTGCATAATTTTTGTCCTATTAATAGAGGACTCTCATGAAGATGTGCTCCACATTGGCGAAGTAATTTAATTATCTATAATGAGAAAGCGAATTTTATTAATAAATTTATTGATTTAATAAATGATAAAAAAAATTTACTTCATGATGGTCATTTTCTACAGCTTCAGTAAGTGGAGTGTGATCAAATCTATCTTTTATATGAACGTTAGCACCCATTTCTAATAGAGCTCGGACTAATTTGATGTCACCTTCACAACAAGCGATGTGTAAAACTGTCCGAGAGTCTCCGTTTGTTTGAGATACATCGATACCCTAGATATAAAAATAAAATTTTTATTTATAATAATTGCAATAATATTTTATAATAAGTCACTTATTGTAAGTACATTGTCTTTTAATGATGCGATTTTTTCTATATCTTGACTAATTACAGCATCAATCATCAACGCAGGAAATATTATCGGTCCGAGTTTATCAAGCTCAGCCTCCGAATTTAAACCAAGCATACGCATAATTACTTTGCGATCTTGTATTTTGACACTGTGATGAGTTGTGATTTCACCACGTAAATTCGTTTCCATCATTCGTCTCTTGGTGACAATATCCCATTCTGTTTTTGATAATACGTATGCTAGCTTCGTTAAAGCTGCTTCTGGTGTCATATCATAGCCCAAAGTTACACCTGAGTAAAATTTTTAATTAAAAAAATTTTTTTTTATTTGTAAATTGTAAAAAAACAAACAAATTATTAACCGGCGTCGAGTAATACTTTTCCAGCTTCATAGAGATCTGTAACCCCGTCTTTGTAACACTGAGTGATGTTAATAATAATAACACCGCGTTTTGTAGCATCTCGTAATACATTAAGTATATCTTCGCGATTTCCTGGAATATTTCCAGCCCCGTAAGTCTGAAGAACAACTCCTTCGATGGGTGGCTGAACGAATGCCCTTACTAAGTCAGTTGTAATACTCGGAAAAATTCTAAGTAACCCGACGTTACGGTTTAATGTCTTGTGCACATTAAATTTTTCCAAGGCGCAAGGTCGAAAGATTGACTGATAATTGACTGAAACATATCAATATGCATATATAATTTATTTATCAATAGTATATGATAATTACTGCGTCATAGAAAGATAATTTGTTATTTTCAATACGACAGATCATCAAATATTTACTTTCGATCTTAATACCAGCGACAGCGAGGGGCGTACAGTTTGGAGATGTAAATGCTTCGAATGATGCAGCAGCAGCTTTACTGGTGCGATTACCTCGCATAAGATGCGAGCCGAAAAATACACAAACCTCTGGTATACTGTAAGTACCAGCAATTACGAGAGAAGTCAAAAAATTGTGAAGGCCATCACTGCGCGTGTCAAAAATTGGTAGCTGGGAGCCAGTTATCACGACTATTTTTCCAAGCGCCTCGAGCATGAATGAAAGTGCTGACGCGGTGTAACTCAGTGTATCTGTGCCGTGTAGCACGACGAATCCATCGTAATTTTCATATGATTCCTGAGATAAAAATAAAAGAAAAATTAATAAAATGGCAAATTGTAGATTATTAAAACAATAAATAAGATAATTTTACTTTTATGTCAGTTGCTATTTTTATCCAATCATCCATCGTCATATTACTAGAGTCTAAAAGAGGAGAATATTCCACAATATTGTAAATCACTCGTCGACTATCTGTACCTTTCAATCTAGAGTAAAATTTAATTACAAATAAATTTGGTTTAAACGTTGATAATGGAAAAAAAAAAATTTGAACTTACGGCAGTACTAGAGAGTCTGAACATCCTATAAATTCTTCTGCATAAGTACGGTCATGCATATGAGGATAACTTTTGACCGTTTCAATAAACGCATTGGGTAATGGTGAGAGAACTTAAAAAAAACTTTAATTTTTAACAAAAAAATCAAATAATTACTTTAAATTTAATTCTGAAAAAAATCCTTACCTCCTTGTGCGTTTCTTATCATTCCAATAGTACCGCCTGTGTAGATGACTAACACTCTTCCATCAGGTTTTTGTTCTCCATTAATATGATTTAAGTGTCCATTAAGGGACTTTTGATTTATTTTTTCACTTTTATTCAATACTATTTTTGTTCCATTCATTTTGCTATTTCTTCTTCAATTACGAACAAATTTTATCAGCTTCCCTCAATCGCAATTTGAATACAAAATATTTTCTCTATTACAATGTACGCGATTCAAGCAACTGCGCTGAAATGAATTGTGAATAACTTTTAAATGAGACGTTGCGCATGGTTCAATAAGAAATAGAAAAATCGATCAAGAAGTTAGGGTCGAGGAAGTATATGATGCATTTCAAACTGTCTGAATGCGTCGTAATTTATGTTTATACTTAATAGAACATGTATGATATCTTTATTTATACAATAAATAATCAAGCATATTATTTCCTCAGGTGATAAACTTATTAAAGATAATGAAATAAATTAAAATTACTCAGAATGTGATATTTTAGATTGTTATTACTTATTATACTTACATTCAACTATTTTGTTACCAAATTTAATTAAAATATTAATTTTTTATAACTTTCCGCATTCCATTTTTAATAAAACTGAAAACTTTCTCTTTCTAATTGTACTTACGTGTCTGGTCTATCACTTTTCCTACTCAATTACAATTAATTTTTCCACAATACTTTAATTTAAAATTAAAAATTTTAAACAGGAAAAAAACCTGTTTATTTCTACAATTTTTTCAGAATAATTAATTTAAGTTTTTATTGCTAGATGATAAGTTATTTAAATTGTAAAAAAATAATTTACCGTACAATGAGCGATTTAATACTAGCCGGCTTCAGCTCAACTGACGCAATAATCAACAAGTATGTACGGTATTAGATTTTCGGTTTATTTTCAGAATTGCACTGTGAATAAATGCAACTCCACTAGACTAAAATACTGTGTACTCTAACATCATTTTGATTTCATTACCCATTAACAATAATTATTAATTAATAATCCTCTCGCAATCACTGAAAATAAAGAATAAAGTTCAAATAAATTAACTTATCAACGAAATTGACAATATTTATGCAGCTATTATTATTGTTTATAAATACGTGAGAAGTCACAAGTCGAAGGTGTCATACAGTTGATGAAGATTGACATTTAACCTCTTGCAATTTATCGGGATCAATACAAAGCTAAATTTCACAACTGACATTCAGTATTTTTATTAGTTATTCTCGATAACTACTGACATTTTTCTTCATTCCAACATTGTGAATACATATATTGAAAAATTCATGAAATATTAAATGCATTGATATTGCTTGAATGAATTAATCTAACTTATTAATTCTTTAATTAATTAAAGAAATATATTTGTGATAATTTTATTTCTTTATTACAACTATTTAGTTAGTTATAATAAATAATTTTTTGACTTCATGATATTTATAGCTAGTTTTTTTTTATAAATCCTCTAACATTCATCATCATTTAAAAAAAAAACAAAAAAAAATTAATATCCTACTTACTAAATTTTTTTAACTTTTATTAATTATCATTGGTGTAAAATTTATACTTCAATTTCTTCATTGAATTTGTTTTCTAATCCTTTGAATGTGTAATTAGTTGTAATTTGATCATTTTCATATTGGATCAATACCTTTTTTTTTTTTTTTTTTCAATACATGATTTACAATATTAATTTATTACTTGAATTAATTTTTAACTATTTACATCATCTGAATTTTCAATTGTTATTTATATTTGTTTTATTTTTTCATTATTAGATATAAATATTTTAGTTATTTTAGAGAAGAAGCACCAAGCACGATATCATCAATTGATAACAAGTTGATTTCATAAAAAAATTCTAGATGGCATTATATGCTTGAAATGACATTGTCATATGAAAAAATAAAAGAAACAGCTGTTGTAATGTTGCTACTAATAAAAGAATTGTAAATATGTCATGATTGAAAATTTTTGGAAATATTATAACAATAGCAATTATTAATAAAATATTCGATGGAGGCAAAGCTTGCGGCGTACAGATTACAAAAACGTCGTCAAGCAATGGTTGAGAATGCTAAAAAAACTTTTCATCAAACTCTCACATCCTGGGAAGATAAATCTCGTGCTTATTTAACACGTCGTGAGGTAAATAATCTATTTATAATCAATTGATTAATTAATTATTGATAAAATACAGTAAAAAAAGTGATGGCAAAATTAGATAATACATTTAAAATATACTTTAACATTAAGAATTAAAAGATTTCAGGACAAGGATGAAATTGAGAGTGTTACCTCTGAGGAGAGTATTGACATTTCACCTCAACAAAATCCTGTTATGACACGATTAATTTATCTTCTGTATTTTTTACTATGGGCAACATTGTATATGGTGGCAATACAATTTGAATTTGGTGCAGTTTACTTTATTCTATCAGCGTTATTTTTTATATGGAAAAACACACGATCAGGACCAAAGAAAAAGGGTGAAGTTAGCGCTTATTCTGTATTTAATCCAAACTGTGAAGCAATTCAAGGTACTATCAATATGGAACAGTTGGAAAGAGAAATGGGCTTTGGAGTACCAATTCATTCCAGATGAATATTAATTTTATTTATTATTTATTTTAATGAGTAATTAATTGTGATAAGTCAATTGAGGTGCCTTTTTGAAAAGTACCAATTAATTATTTTTATTAATTATTTAAATTAATTACTTTTTTCATCAAGTCATATCTTGTAATATTTTATCAGCGTCTTCGTAACATGCTAATATAGCTTGCAAATAGTCGTCAATTTTATTATTTGTAACTGTTGATTGTTGTTCTAATAATGCTATATCCGTTTTTGATTGATTATTTTTATCCGGGCACAGTAAAGCATGTTCTAAATCTTTTAGAAAATCATTCATCATTCTTATATCTAATGACCTACAAAAAATAATGTTATAGTAAATATAAATTGTTAAATTAATTTTTGTACAATATTATTCTTAATAATTTTTATACTTACTTTAACCTATCAAGATTGTCAATTTTTTTATTAAGGAGAATTCCACCGTTAATTATCCTTTTAATTGTGTTTTTGATGCGATCTATTTGAGTAAAAATAAATGAAACTACTTTGATAAATAAAAACATTAATTTATTTAAATAAAATCTACCTTTCAACACCTGTGAGTCTGGTGAATCAAATTTGTTTAGAGTTTTTATATTTGTATTAAGAATTAGTGGATCCCATTGGAAGATTGTCATCTCAGAAAGCCTCCACACACTTGTACTCAAAACTTGGGCTAAATTTTTACGATGTAAGTTGTTGATGTCATCATTGTCTTTTAAAGCTGAGGTATTATCAATTCGATGAAACGACAACAAAGTATGTGGAATTAAAAGTTTTAAACGTTGCAGGTTTTTAACATCATTTTTATTTTTAAATGTTAAATAATCCTGAGATGCTTCTAGAACTGTTGTAAGTACCATGTCAGATCCTGAAGTTTGAAAAAAACCGTCTCCTGCCATCAAAAAAATTACTTATACCTAGATGTTAATTTATAATTTGTATAAATACATAAAATTTATATAGTTAACAAACCATCAATAGGATTTTTATCGATCGCCAAGTAAGCAACAATCTTTGATTGATCATAATTCGACAATGAATTAAAGCAAGAGTCCATATAATCAGCAGAGATGAGAAATATTAAAGTTCTCCTTGGTATCCATTCGTGCTCATTATATATACGTTGAAATGCTTTAGCTATCGATATTCCAATACCAATGTTTTCACTGTCAGCCCCCAATACAACATATCTATCTGTTAATAGAATATAAATAATAATTAATGTATATAGGACATGTATACATGCACATAAATATTTTATCACATGTAATACCTGGCTCTTGAGATCCTCGTACTGTAGCAATAACACAACTATCATTTCCGGTGACTTTATTAAAAATATTCAACCCTGAGAGTGATTTTTCAACAGTCTCCAAGGCTTTATTATTCCTCAGGTGTCTATAAATAACAAATAAACAATAAAAATTATAATTTTGTTACAAAACATAAATGTAAACCTTCTATAAAAAATTAAACATACCTGACATCAAGTGAAGATTCAGTAAAGTTTGAATCTTTTAAATTTTGCACTAATTCATTTCTCAAGTAATCCCGACTTTCAAGGCCATTGCCAAACAGTTCAATCTTTTTTTTTTCAGCACGTATTTCAAGTACTTGTCCTGCGGCAAAACGTCCAATGAGAAAGCCACAAAGTAAACATAAAAATCCTATAGAAAATAATAAAGAGCAACACATGCGTTTTGTTATAAATTCAGTCGGTTCTCCAAAACCTCGTCCCATTTGAAAACTCAAAACACGGTGCATCTTGACTAATTCACTTTATCATAAATCATAAGTCTTGTTGATTAGTCATTTAATTATTTAATAAATTAATTTAACCAACCACTCACAATAAATATTGAAAATCAATCATTTAATAAATTAAATGCGATGACACAACTCAAATGTTTTTATTCCAAAGTCATATGTATATTAACTAAAACAGATCTACTAAGTGTGATGATTGCCACTTTTTCTTTCAAGATCCCCACTTATTTATGAAAGAATACAAATTTATAATAACATAAAAACTCGACACAAGTGTTGATAGATTTTATGGATGTCACGTAATTAAATAGTAAAATAAAATTATAATAAATTTTTTTTCTAGATGTTTACCTCGCTTTACTTATGTAGAAAAAAAAAAAAAGAAGAATAATTAATAATTATGACGCTGAAAAAAGTAACTGGAGTATGAGCGAAGATAGATACGTAATTCGTGATGTGAACACATTGCGAAGAAACGCTTGAAATAAAACTATAATATTTGTTTTTAAAAGACTCACTCTTTTAAACTCTTTGGTGCACTCAACGTCTACGTCTTTCCACTTTCTGGATATATTATAAAAGTATAAATTTATCTTTAAAGCCTCCAACGCTGTATTGGAGTTAAAATCTATTGGAATGTGTACTTTATTGACTTGCGTCAACAATCCGCGTGAATTTATGCCTTCTCGTTGTATTTCATTTTTATGTTTCTACCTAAAAAAAAAAATAAATTTATTAATAGTTATAATAATAATAATAATAATAATAATAATAATAAATAACAATTAAAATTGGTCAGTTTTTTTTTTTGTAATTTATTTTAAATAATTTTTACTTTTAAATCTGACCGGTTCATATTTCATGTGTTTTATTTTGAGATAATAAAACTAACGACGGACTCTGACAATTTATAAATAGTTTGCGCGTTTATTGCGTGTATACATGCAAGGTTATTTAACTATAGGCTTTGGAAGTTTTAAATATTAATAATTTTTAAATATTAATAGAGTATAGTTAAATAAAAAAAAATACATACTAGGACTTTCCTCTCAATTTTCTTTCATTCTACTATTCGTTTTGTTCTCTGTTTCAATTCTCATTTAAACAGACAATTTTTTTCCTTTCTATCCATTGTTTAAAACGCTGTAAAAATGTATTAAAATTAAATTATGCTTGTAAAATAAACAAGTAAAAGTTTTCATCAATAGATTCATTATTCCATGGATAATCTCAACAGCTGAAACGAAAGATTTATAGTTTAAATATTCGAAGATGAGATAAGCGTAGCAGGGTGTCAAATAACAATGCATCCACAGCATGACGACTATCATAATTTAATACTTGTATAAATATGTACTTATACTTACATACATGAGCAGTCCAAGGACATTTATTTGAAGTTTTTATTTGTAAACTAACCACTTGAAATGTACACAAAAGCCTTGAGTCAAAGAAATCTTCAAATACTTAGAAAATAAATTAAGCTGTAAAATGAAAACCAAAACAAAAACAGTGAGGATATTTCAGTAAATCAAACTTTTGTAAAAGTAGTTATATTTCGTTTACCTGCTTGTTGTAATTAGTAAGCATGACCAAATACCTATCAACCTACCGGTTACATTCATTCTAATGCCAGAGTTCAATAACTGCTAATTATGTGTAATAAATGAAATATAGAAACGCAATTAGTAAAAGCTGCAAAATAAAATTCCATTCAGTGATCACATCTTTTAATTTTTTATTTTTCAAAAATATTTTTTTAATAAAAATTAATTTTTTAAATAAATTCAAAGAATTGTTAGATGTATCTGTTAATATTTTAATATCATAATATAAATCTTGTTATTATTTTTAATTAAATGCAGACATTTTAATGTTGTTATTTAAAATTTTAACTATTTAAACATCTTATTATTAATTACACACTGAAGTTGACAGACATTGGAAATTTTTTTATAATTTTATAACAATGAAATTATTTATTATAAAAAAAATTCTAAATGTAAAAATTAAAAAATATTTTTTGTGAAAATTTTTTAAAACATTTTTTTTATTGTAATTGATTTGTTATAAACATTTTAAAAATTGACAGTTGTCAGCTAAAATAATTTATCTTGATATAAATTAAAAAATATCTATATTTCTTTTATATATGTACTTATTTACATTTTTTACATTAATATTAAAAAGTAATGATAAAATTTCATGTAAAGTCATAAATCATCTGACTCATTGTAATGTAATAATTAAGTCATATTAAATATTAAATTATTTGTTTGCATATATATATATATACGGTTTTCTTTTGTTCTTTTCTAATCATTGTTGTTATTATTACTTTATAGTGCTTCCATGATACACACATAGAAAGAAATAAATTCCGGAAGTATTGAAAGATTGTCTTTAAATTTTATTGGTCCAAAGTATTGAGACGAAACGCCGGTATTAAGTCACGTGATCAGCATACCCGTTCGTGTTTATTGTTGTGGGGAGACCGACCAACGTGCTAACGTGCTCTCACTTCTTCCGAACCGGCATCCATCTACGCATGGTATTCATATGTCTTAAGTCACCGGGAAAGTGTATATAGTTGCGCCGCAGCCATTTTATTACAATTTTCATTGTCTAAAACCTTTGCTATTACGTAGTGGTGTTATTAAATAATTATGAAAAATATATAAATTCTCAGTTGATAATTAAAAAAAAAATTTTGAACCGTGTTTAAAAGTTTAAAAACAGGATTACCTGTTTAAAAATATAAGAACAAAGGACCGTAGTATTTCTTCGTGAGGACAGCTATATACATTTTTAGAAGGTTTGTGGTGAATAATTAGACATAATGTACGATTAAATATTTTTACAATGCATAATTATAAATAAATAATTGTAATTTTTAAGAAATTGAAGCAAAATGGCAACTGGGTTCGAGGATCCGTACTTAACGTGCCCACTGGATGAAGTCCATCGTATTCGTAAAAGCCGTATGCAGTGTCATTTGACTAAATGTTTGAAGAATCACCAGCTGATGGATAAAATAAAATGTCCTTTCAATCCTTTGCATATCATTTACCCGAATGAAATGACGGTAAAGTTCCATTATTTTTCTTTTGTGTGATATTAAAGTTAGTGACCAACTGACAACTTAATGATGCGCAAATCAGCAGACATAGCAATTTTTTATTTTTTTTTAACTAATAAAATAGTACAAAGAAAATATTTTTAAACGATTGCCTTCAAAGTTTTTATAAAACTATGCATGTAGAATTTTTTAATAATTTTTTGATACAAATTCTATAAATTGTCAAATGTCAGCTGATTTCAATATCATAAATTTTTTTATATTTTATTTCTTGTAGAAAAAAAAATTGAATTTATAGATTTTTACAATTTTTTTATTTATTATATGTATTTTATTGTATTCCATTTTATATAATTATATATTTTCAATCTAGCCCAATTTTTTATATTTATTAGCATCACATGACTGTCTGCGAAAGTAACGCCAGTATTGCAGTCCAGAGATATGATCGAAATGACCAAAAATGTTTCTCAGGAGTTATTTCCGAAAAAGAAGCAATGAGACAACTCGAAGCAGCTTTTGGTTCCTTTAGTAATGAAGTTGAATACAAAGTACATTTTATTAACATTAATGATTGTGTGATAATTATTTTTATAATGATTTGATAATTTAACTAAAATATTACTTACAGCATACTATCGATACGCCAGCTTACGATCCGATTCAAGCTAATATAGACAATCCGCTCTTCCGTACTCTCAACTGCGAGTCTAAATCAAAGAGAAAAGAGTTTCGTTTCAGAGAGCGACAAAGAATTGCAGCAATTGAAGCTGAAAAAGGCAAAAAAATAGTTGAGGTAATTTATTTAAACGAAATTTTATTTTTTAGATTCAATATACAGTTGTTTATTTATTTAACATTGATTGTTTTCTTATATTCAAATTAGTCTACACCAGAACAACGGCCAGTGCGTGAGCTTAAACCGATTCGAAGCCATAGTGTCCTAGCCACTCTTGCAGACGATGATCATCCTACAGTTGATAACGATGTACGTTCTCAAGGAATCATGGGTGAAAATGAAGAGAAGAAACTGGAAGTGAGCAATGGTCATAATGAGATGAAGAATGGAACTGAAGATAAAACAATCGAAGAAAATTTGTTGAATCCTATTAAGAATTTCGATCAATTATCAGTTGAAAATGACTTTGATGATTTTGCAAAGCAGCTTGAACTTTTGTCTCAAAAAGAAAATGAAATTCAACGACAAAGACGAGCACTATTGGAGAAAATAGCAGAACAAGCTACTCAACAACGAATTACGAGCGAATTACTTTTAGAGAAAAAAAGTAATGAATCTGATAATAAAAATCCTTTCAAGAACAACAGCAATGATCCGATAATTACTAAACCAAGTTATTCACTGACATTGGAAAGATCTTTTGTTCCTGTTGAAAGAGAGATTGATGTAAAATCAGCTGATGCTGTAGCTAACAACCCTCCAAAAGCAGCGTTCGAATTATCGTCACATCTTCAATCATCTGCGTGGAATGTTGTAACTAAAAGTAAATTAAATTCATCAAATAGCTCAACCACTTCAAAGATCTCAACACCAAAACCACCGGAAGTTCCCCTGGCTCATCCAATAGTTCAACCTATAGCACAATTAGCGATTCAAACTCCTTCCATTGAAGAAAATTCATCAGTTACTCCTTCATCAGAGTGGACTACTGTCTCTCGGTCAAGAAAAGGATCAACTTTAGTAGATTCAACTCGAAAACTTCAAACATCACGAGAATCTTCGCCGATCCCTGAAGCTGTTTGGCGTAGAGCAACTGGATTAAAAAAGATGTGGAGCGCTGAACCTCAATCAATTTCATCATCAGTTCATGAAACTACATCCTGGCGTAAATTAGATGATTCAAAAGAGCCTTCATTAACAACTGAATCAGTACAATTGAATGTTGAAAAATTACATGAACCATCATCAGAACATCAAGATTTGACCTGGGCAAAAGTAGCTGCGCAAAAAGAGGCACCATCAACATTAAAATTAAAATCGTGGAATAATAGTATTTCTCGAGAAAATTCACCAGTACGTGAAGAAACACCATGGAATAAAGTCGCTACACTCAGAGAAACTTCAATAACGCCAGAGTCACCGCCATGGACGGTAATGACAAGATCTAAGAAAGTTTCTTCATCTCAGCAATGTACTCAGTGGAAGCTCGCACCTGAAACAGTTGAAACTGTAGAAATCACTGAATTATCACCGGCTGATATGATTGATTCATTGAAAAAGTCCAAATTTTTTCACTTGGTTTCGTCTGACAAAGATTCTAAATCAAATGAAACTTTGCCCGCATCTGCTTTGAATTTAATTGATACAAAGCCCAAGGTTAAACCCGTTTTGAAAGATTCTAGTGAAAAATCTACTTTGGTGTCAAGAACAATTACACCGTCAAGTGTATCATCAAGTTACAGCACTATGGCGAAAATAACTAAAGACAAGCCTTCAGAGAATCCACCAATGAAAACTATGTCTTCATCAAACGAATTTTTGCCGACACCTCGTCGTTCTAAAATTTCTTCATTGTTTAATTCGCAAAACCTCAACAGAGTTCCGGGTCCTGGAGCAGGACGCGGAATAATCCATATTGTGGATGAAATGAAACACAAGAAGAATGACATACTTTCACGCAGATTACGTCCAGGATCAGCAAGCAGTTTTTGCTCAAGCTTTGATCAAATTGATATCGAAGGTGTTTATGGATATGAAGAAACAGTTTAGTTATTCATACAGAGGTTTAACTATTTATTACTATTTTCTGAGTTTTTTTCTTATTACTGGAATTATCATTACTCTTATAGTTATCATTATATTTATTATTTTTTATTTTGTTCCAAGTCGTTAAGACTTGTCAAATTTCTCATTGTTCATTACATTCCGAGTTTTAAGAGCTTGAAAATAATTATTAATTTATATACTGCTTACAGTCGTTAAAATTAATAATCTATGTAAAATATAGTTATTGATCAATAAAGAATTGGTTTTTTTTTTTTTTTTTTTTTTTTTTTTTTTTTTCAAATAAATATTTTTTGTTTACCTTATATGTACTTATTCCCCGATGCACGTTCTGTATGTGCAATAAAACAATTAAGCTATTTTTTTATTACGATTCTCATTAGTTAAAATCATACTGATATAAAATGATTACAAAAAATATATTAATTCTTAAAAAATAATTAATAGAAGATTCGGGTGGTGTTTAAAAGTTTAAAAAAAAAGTAAAAATAGTTAAATTAAAAAAAAAATTGAGGCAAATAATTAGATATAATGTACTATTAAAGATTTTTATAATTTCTAATTATAGATATAAAATTATCGTTGTTGCATGACTTACGGTCAATTAATCTATAAAATTGAATTAATGAATTGATGAAATTTTTCGAATGACATTTGAAAGTGTTAAATCAATTAAAAAAAAAAAAAATTAAATCAAAGGAATTTAATTTTTACTCTAAATTATCATTGAACTTATAGGTCATGTACTTTAAGATTTATATTAATAATAAATAGTTTTTGGTACTTTACTGTGTTAATTTATTTTTATTTCAATTAATTTTAAGATAAAAATAGTTTGCGTACTAATATTTAGTTATAAATACACAAATAAATATAAAGATAATTTTAGTTTACATATAATAATAATAATAATAATAATTAATAATAAATAACAAAGTAGACATATTAACAATTTTTATTTGACATTAACATGCAATTTAATCATATTCTAACATTCTGCTGCTTATGCAGATTTATTAATTTTACTATCTAAACATTATTTTTTTTTAATTTCAAGCCATCTTCATTTTCAATTGGCACAATTAATAGATTAAATTGCATCTAACATTCTATAAGCAATGTGTACTTTCGTATAAATTTCCTCAAGAGTCAAAGCTAAAATTAAAAAGGTAATTATATAATTGAGACAATTAGTTAGAAAAACATAATGCGAAAATTTCTAACAATATTCTTAAATAATTAAATCAATCATATATATTAGAAGAAATGTCTACTCCACTCTAACGCACATATCAACTAATTAAAAATAATAAGTATAATGTATATAAATAATAATTGTACTGTTAAATCTCATCAATGATGGCGTTGCCCAAAATACTAATTAATCAAATTATATGTATGTAAGATCATTAAAAATGCAATTCACTATTTTTCGTATAAAATTATAAAAATATTATAGACATATCCTTAAAAATTTTACATTAAATAAAATTTTATAATTTACTATAATAAACTATTAAGCTAATTGTTTATTTATTGCGGAAATTAAATCCTACTACTTGATTGAGATTCTTTATTTTTATTCTAATAAAGTTAAGCAGTAAAACAAAAAAGTTTACAATCCCGTTTGTTGTATTTAGTAATTAACAATCAAAAAATGAAAAACATTACTGCAAAGCTCTACATAAATACCTATTTATATATTATTATACTAGTTATTGAATGATTTAATCTAAGCATATACTTAAATATTATGCAGTTATGAGGTATAAACTTTAGATTACATACTTTCATTTGAAAATGCACATGATTATAAGCTTTAACTATTAATTTTGTTTAAAAATTTGGTTCGTTTTCAAACTCTGGCACTAGTCAATTTAAATAATCAATATCGTAATTTTTTGCGTCAAAAATGACTTCAATTAATAAATTCCGACGCAAATTTATAATATGAAAAAATTTACCGTCCGAGAAAATCACTTTGATCATTTACCAAAAAATGATAAACAAACGCTGCTTTTTTACGATCAAATGTTGCTTGAGTAAGGCGATTTCTCTGGTTACGTTCTTCTCTACTGCGCGGTGGGTCACGTAAAAATATTGAGCCAAATAATGTCGCTAAAATTATAAAATAAAAGTGTTAATTAACAAAATTATAATAATTATAAACATTTTTATAAGAATATTATTTTTATACATACCAAGAGTTTTCGCATCTAATCCATTGTCCTGCGAATGGTTCAAAAGTTCTTGCAAAAAGGCCGAAATATATAGAAATACAGTCCTTCTTATTTCAGGTAATTGCATAACTAACTGTAATAAAATAAATTAATATTCAGAAATAAATATTAATAAAAAAATTTTTAATTAATTGTTTACTTGTTTGCACTGGAGATAATTCGTAGCTGCCGATAAGCAGACGCTGTGTAAATTGTATGGTACTAAAGGCTCAGCAGTTGATTCTAGAAGTAATAATAAAGCCTCTGCTGCAGAGTGTACAGTTCCAGCTAATTAAATAATGTTAAGAAATAAAATTTTAAACATATAAGGTACAATAACAAATTATTTATAATAAAGGATACGCATGGGATCTTGACTGCCGATATCCAACCAATCTCTAATTAAAATCAATTCACTGTGCAATCCTGGAGTTTCAAATAATCCAGGCGTTTTGATACCATGCCGATATAATCGATCAACAAGTAACCAGACTTCTTTGGGCACCGGGTATGGCTCTTGAGTTGGATTTTTATTATTCTCCTGAAATTATTATCGTTGAAATATTTTGAAAAAAATTAGTAATAAATACTAATAAAATACCAATTCCATTATACGGCCAATAGGAATTTCTCTGATAGGCACAGGTATGTGTACCAAAGCTTCCATAGAAGAACCAAAGCAACTTCGTTCATAAACACCAGTCACAGTGATAAAAATATCTTTACCACCTTCAAGGTGCAAAACTAAAATATCATAAAGCTTATCTTCACCGGAATTCAATTTACATGCTGATTTTTTGTCAACATAAACTTCTAACTTTATATCACATTTTTCACCTGAAAGAAATAAACATTTAAATTAAAATTTAAAAATAAAAATAATAACTCATTGCACAAAAATAGTGTATTGTGTAAATACCTGGCTTTATAAATCCAGTATAAGGCTCAATATGTAACCAATCTTTACAATAATTGGTATCATCTAATTTTTTAATAAATTCAAACTGTACGGGTACTTGTCCAGTGTTTGCAATTATAAGTTCTTTGCTGCTCGGCTCAAGAAATTTTAAAACGTCGAATATTATTTCCGTAGTATCGACCATAACTTGTGGCAAGAATTCATTTTCTAATTTATCTAATTTTTTCATAACTTCTTCGTGAATTTTTCGATATTTTGTCATATCAATAACACGTATCTACAGTTGAAAAAAAAATATTTTTTTATAAGATTATTTAATGAATTAATTAAATAAATAAAAATGAAAATTTATTTTACCTGAGCATCAAAAATAGCACTAACTGGCTTGTGATCCGAAATACGTAATTCTGGATGACTACGATATTCAATGGATGTAATGGCATCACCTTTCCAAAGTACACGATCGCACCATGCGGGCGCTCTACCTTTTTCGCTATTTAAATTTAAGTAATTCATGCGTCAATTAAAGATTACGTAAATTATTTGTCAACAATATTTATGATTTTAAGTAACTTTGTCACGAACCTCGAGTCCCAATTATCGGTACCAGGATCATACTTATAAGTAGGCTTAAACTTTATGTCAGCTTCTTTAAAGCCTTGAAGTACTTTCCCTAATTTACGCTGCTGTCCTAATTGATCTAACGCCAATACTGGCGCATAATTTCCAATGGTTATATATTGCTTAGCTGTTAAAACATCCATTTCTGTTATCCGGTAATTTAAATCACCCAACCAGTAAATTTGACTGTAACATTCATTTTACTTAGTAAATAATATTATTTCGGCCCTTACGCGGTAGATTATTTCTTACTCGTGATCTTTAAAGCTTTTCGCTGGAACGTGATTTGAAAAGGAAAGTCTGGTACAAATATCAGCATAATCTTGATTTCGCCGTTCATATTCTTCGCAATGAGCTGCTAAATGAGCATTTATGAAACAAACAGATGTATTATGAATCAAGCAACTCACTGCTACTCCACCTTTATTACCCTATTAATAAAAAAAAAAAAATAGACATCCATTATAGTTGAAGTAAATTTTTTTTTTTTTACAGAAATAATTAAATTATCTTAAAAAATAGTTACCAATTTTCCCATTATGCCTGTACCAACAGTGTCAACAGAAATACTTTTTATAAATGGTACTTGAGCTTCCTGAGCGAAAATAATTAGCAACATACCGACGAGACGTACTATTGCTATTTGTTTATAAACACCTTTAGAATGTAAAGATTTGGTAACAATTTGTCTGTTAAAAAAGTACATTTTATTTATTATATTTTTAAAATAATTATAGGTAAAACTATAATGAAAATAAAATACCTCCACTCTTCTTCACGAGGTGTGTCGTTAAATAAAAAAGCTTCTTTACTTAAATCTAATTCTTGAAAGCCAATAGCATAAATATCTGGTGGTACTTGATCGTTACTCAGCCATTCGTCTAATGCAACATCATTTGGTGATTGTCCATTTACATTCCATGTGCCAATAAAAATTCTATAAATTCAAAAATTAAAGTAAAAAATTCAAATTGTTTTTGTATTCTGATTATCAAATTAATAAATACCTCAAGGTTTCAGTGTACGTGTAATCATCTTCTTTGCATGCCATCTGATAACGCACCACCGATTCCCTCGCTGCTACTGGAGTTTTACCACTAGCAATGTTTCTTCTTGGAACTACCAAATCTGGACTCTCGAGTTCTACTAACTGTAAAAATAAATCATTTAGATATAACTTCATAAATACTCAACAAAATAAGCAAAATTACTTACTGGATCAGCCATTTCGCGTAAATCACCAGCACCGCTGTTTAAGCTTCGTGTACTACCGGTCAATTTTTGTATCCACAAGAAATCGACCGCCGAATTTTTATTTTTTTGATAAACTATAAAAAAAAAAAAAAAAATGAATGATTAATCATTATCAACGTGCTTTAAATTTTTTATCATTAGCCGCGTAATCATTTGTAGCGAGTGTTACAAAATTACTATAGTATACTATACTATAAGCTATTGACTGAGTCAGCTGTATAAATTATTAGGCTTATTAATTTCAAGTTACTATGTTAAATAAACAGTAAAATAAAAAATTAAAAACCTTCGATAGCACGAAATATTTCTGAAACCAATGCACTGGTTCCTACTCCTGGTTTCAATTCGAAGATTAATCTCTGTTTTCTTGATGACACGTTTAAAAATACATCCAGTCCTTCCTGCTGTTGGCTTCCAGTGTCTATTTTAAATTAACTAATTAGTACTTAAATTTTATATAGATATAAAATATGTGAATGATTAATATTATATTATAGTATGAAATTTTTTTTTACCAATATCACATTTAAATTCTTGATCAATTGGAAGCACTCGTTCAATAGTAAGATCACTGTAAACTTGCGGTGGATTCCTAGACGTAAGTAAAATAACTAAAGCGTGAGTAGGTCCTTTGTTGACTAGAGCCAGAAGTCTTGAAGCTTTAACCCATCCTTGCATTAATGACGCTTCCATCGTCTTTATTATTATTATTATTAAATATAAATTTGTGAATTAAGGACTCAAGGATATAAATAAATGGTTTAAAATTTTTTAACGTAAGCATATAAGTATATACATAAACAAAGGATACAATTACCACTGTTTCACCAGAGGTAAATTTTGATTGAACGATTGATATTTGTTCACGTGAAGCCATTGTTGGTATTATTATTTCTCAATAATCCACTATTCACTAATATTTAACTGATGTAATATTATTATAAATGGATAAATATAAATTCTTAAATTATATATTTTAATTATCTTCTTGTTATTATTCCTTTTCTTACCTGGACAGTAAAAATAATTTGACTAGGTGTGGTTCATGCTATGTTGAACAACAACATTTTAATCTGTAAATAATAAAAAAATATTAATTGTTATTTTAAATGAATGAAAATCAAATCTTATTTATGAGAGGATTTTTAATTAAAACAGTGAATACACGCAAATAGTTGAAATAAATATTACCTCAGTGTAAAATACTTTGACGTCTTACTGGTAAACGTCATTAGATTTTATCTAATTAAGTAATTAAGTAATAGTTTTTTGCAAATCAAATAAATTAATTATAAAATTGTGTAATAGTTTTTCTAACCAAAAATAACGTGGAGTTTAATACACAACTCTGACAGGAGCTGGAGTGCCATAATAAACACATTTAATTAGCGGGTGAAAATAGGAGTATTTTAAACCCTCACTGATTTTATGTCTGTACACTTTTTCTCGTCATTTTAATCCAATCATGTAATTATATATTATTTATATAATTTTTGTTTAGTTACACACTATGCAAGTAACAAAATTCGATTTATCTTCATAAACTCGGAGAATCTTCCGTAAGAAAAATATTTTTGGTTAAATGTGTGTAAAGTAATCATTGAGTATAAATTCTTTTTTTTTTTTTAAGAGGGCTTCACAGTTGTCATGTGCAACCTAGTGTTTTTTTGTTCAAAATTTTGATACTGAAATTAATGTCTGATAATTTTATTTTTTTCCAATTAATAAAGAATTAAAAAAAAAAAAAAGTTTTTTTATTTGGCACATTTACGTCTTTAAATTTTTTATCTGAATTTTTTAAATTGTTAGAAATAATTTATTTCTTTAGTAAAAATAAAATAAATAAATAATGACACTGAAGTTGACAGGCATTCGAAATTTTTTTAGAATTTTATAGCAATGAAATTATTGTAAAAAAAATTTAATAAAGAAAATCCACATGAGAAAATTAATAAAAATTATAAGTGAAAATTTTTAAAAGCATTTTTTATTCTAATTGATTTGTTATAAAAACTTTTAAAATTGACAGCTGACAGCTAACTTCAGTATCATAATAAAACTAGATATTTTTACACTGCTAACTTTATTACCAAATTTAATTAAACATTGTTAACTATCGATGATATTTAATGAAGAACTAAAAAAAAATAAGGTCACTTGCTCATCATAGACCTTATTTATGTGACAAGTTACCTCTAAATTTTCTATCAAACGTAGTATGTATAAATTTTATTAAAGAACGTGTTTGAATAATAATAAAATACTCACGAAATAGTGCTTACGAAGATAAGAATTTACAATATTAAAATGTATTTGAAAAAGTAGGAATGTCATGAATTACAAAATCATATCGAACAATACATATCAGACTAATGTATTGTAATGATAATATTATTTTCAAACACCAGATGTTGAAGTTTTCATTTGGTTCATATAATAAAGTATGTTAAAAAAAAAAAAAAAAAAAATGTTTGAACCATTATTAAAGAAGTTATGAGCAACAAATAAAAAAAAATAACACCGAAACTATTTATTAAATTTAATTTAAATAAAAAAATATTCAACACAGTCGAGTATCAAAAACTTTATTTATTAATCAAAAAAATCGATAAGTACAATGATTATGATAGATGGCATATGACATAAAATGATTAAATAAAAGAAAAAAAAAATATAAGTAATAAAAAAAAAAAAAAAATCATTGAACTTGAGATGAGATAAGTCGTTGAATTTGAATGAATATTTTAAATCTTAATCGAAACGTGAGAAAGTACTTAATCATGGTTAGTTTTACTCAACCGGAACAAAAAAAAAAAGAAATACAATGAATCAATCATTGCATTAAACTTTTATCCTTACTTAACTATTCGTATTTGTATTAATTAAAAATTACGATATAAACGTGTAAAATCGCGATCAACGTAAAATTTATATCCTAAACTTAATTTATGTAGCATTAATTTTATTTATTTAATACTAGCTCCTAATCAAAATTGAAAACCACCCTGTGGAGCACTTTCGGATACTTGGAAATTAAATTGATTGCCATTTTCTTGCGGTACAATCTGTTGGTTCTCATCATCCTGTAACAAATTACGATTATCAAGTACACGAATAATAAATAAATATAAAAAAGACAATAAATAAATTAGTTACCCCTTCAGAGAAGAAAGCATCAATCATAGCTACAGCCTTTTGATAAACTTTCTCATTCTCGTGGTTCTGAAGTGCTTCCAACTTATCAAGTCCACCATTTTCTTCAATCATAATCGCGATGCTCTCAATCTGGCCCATTTTGTCAGCAGCATTGAGGATGTTTGTTAATCCATCAAGCACAACCATAACAGTTTTATAATCTTTAGCATCTAATAAATTACAGAATGGTGTAAGCACGCCGTTTTGTACTAGTATAACTAATTGTTCTACGGTTCCACCGGATGTCAAATTAGTAACTGCCCAGGCAGCTTCTTTTTGAGATTTAAAATCTCCCTAAAATTATAATAATTCATATCATAAGCACACATCGATAAACAATAGATAAACTAAATTAGCATAATAATAATTAATTGAAAACATAAAAAAAAATTTAATTACATAAGCAAGAACGTGGACCAACGGTGTAATTATACCAGCATCAATGACGTGCTGAATTTGTTTAGAGTTTCCAGCAGTAATGTTACTGATTGTCCAGGCAGCTTCTTTAACGACGTTGGAGCGTTTGTGAGTCAACAGAGAACACAATTTCTCCAATCCACCAGCAAGAATAATAGCGTCTGTCTGTACATCATTGCCAGTGACAATGTTTCCTACAGCTCTCAGTGCCGGTGTCAGAACGGTAACTTCTTCTGAACCCAACAATCTAACGAGTTTTGGAACAACTCCGCTTTCCAATACAGTTTGGATGTTTTCATTGCTTCCATCGGTTAAGTATGACAATGCCCAGCAAGCGTCAGCAAGAACATCAATATCCCCAGTGTCCAAAAGTGCGCATAAAGTTGGCAAAGCAGTTTTAACAATCTCGAACGGTGGTGGTGGATTTTTGTTTCGGCACAAATTTGATAAAGTCCAGACAATATTTCTGATAAAGCTTAGCTGTAATTAAGTAATAGTAATAAATTAATTTTCTCATCAAGTTATAAAATTATTAAATAAATTATAAGTGTAATAATAAAAAAAACGCCATTCGGCCACACCCAACATGGAAGGTAGATTTTACAGAATGAAATTCTTGAAAAAAATAACATACATAAGTCGGTTATACTACAAATTGCCTGAAAATTGCTCAATTGCACTCTTAAATTTGATAAAATAACTAAAAATGGACAAAAAGTAAATGTTATAAACTTTAAATTAAAGGTGATTTCACGAGCTTTCACATGAATTTATCAAAAATTAGCTATCTCTTTTCAATTAAAAGTTATACATCAATAAAGTGACCGAAAACTTGATTTTCACTATTTTGAAAATTTTAAATGACCGCCATTTCTAAACTAATTGATCGATATTGCTTATCTTCGAACTCGTTCAAGGTAATTACCCAAAGAATATAAGTACCAAGTTTCACCTAAATTCGTTGAGAATTGTAGACGCTATTGTGTCCACAAGCCGCGTTATATTACATATATACATTAACTTTTGAACCAATGCTAATTTTGAGCCTTACTTGATTGACTACATAACAGATACAATAACAAAATTCCGATATAAGAGCCAATGCAATAGATAGATTTCTACGAAATCTACCTAAAATTGAAATTTATACGTACTCCAGATTCAGGTTTGAGCAGCGCAATAAGAATTGGCATACACCCGTTTTGCAAAACAAGATCACGAGTAGTTGGTCCATCTCCAGCGATGTTACCAAGGGCCCAGACAGCTTGTTCAGCGACATTCTGAGCTGGTGACTTAAGTAACTCGATAAGCTTTGGAATGGCGCCATTGTTAATTACAATGTGAGTTTGTTCAGATGTACCAGATGCTACGTTTGTTAATGCCCATGCTGCTTCGAATTGGAGCGCTGGACTGTGATTAAATAAACATAAAAAATAAATTTGCTGTCATAAAATGGATGAATTAATTAAATGTCAATAGACATACTTGTTGTTATGAGTCAAAAACTCAACACAACGTGGAACAACGCCCTGGTTGATCATAGTATCAATTGGCGGATGTTTCTCCCGACTGAGCATTTTTCTGCAGTTTTGGGTAGCTTGCAGCTGTAAGTGGGGGTCGCTGCTGTTCATACCATTGACAATCTCTTCAATTGTCATCAGTACTGGTGACTGTACTGATGATTCTGGAGACTTCGGAGATGACTCAATAGCCTCGATTGTGATGTTACGACGCTTGAGAAGCTGATCATCACGACGCGCTTTGCGGAGTTCAATTGACACTTCATTTCTCCTACGTCTGGCATCCTGAAAATTCATAATAAATTAATAATCAAGTCATGATACTGCTATTCATTTATTTAATCAATTTTTTATTAATTTGAATGTAAAAACTATAATTAATTATAGTTTAATATGTATTAATTCTTACTTCTGACTTGTTGTGATATTTGAATTTAGCCAGGCGGCTGGCATTCATGGCATCTTGATCTGCAGCTGGCATCGTGAAACTCAGGCAACAATACCTACGCAATTTCTATACTATTAAAATGTCTATATATATGTGTGTATGTATGGGTAATTATAAGTAAAATGTCTGCTTTGTAAGGTTATATTTTTCTATATTTATTTTAACAAAATAAATAATGATTATTTACAGTATGACATCAAATGATAAAAACTCAAGTAAAAAAAAAGTATTAATAAAATAATTTTCGGTGTACAAAATATTTATATTGATAATTTTTCTTCAATTTTCAAAACTTGTTTATAATTTTTAATTAATTGTTTTTATTAGTAATTAGTTGACTTTGAAATGTTTAAATGGATTTAAGTATAACAATAATGAAGAACAGTTTGTATTTTTTGTTAAAATTGAAAAAGAAAAATCTTTGAATTTTGTAACGGTCGACACGATGACCATGATTCAAAAAAAACGTTTCATTGTACGTTAATAAATGCAATTTTATAATAAGCAGTATGATGTAATAAAAAGATGATTAAGTAATATTTACCGTTAGTGAATAATTAAATAGTTGAGTGAATAATTATTTGTTGTAAATTGACAAAATAGCGTTATCTAAGACAATTTTTATGAGAAATAAAAATAAATGCCGTTTACGAAAGACTCTTTCTGCGTTATATATATCCAGTTCACTTTATTCTCTCGCTGTTGTAGCCGTTTTTTGCACAAACTCACAAACTATAGTATGAAGCAGCGCATCTGTCGCGTTTTCAGAATAACTTTCGTTTTCATAAACCAGATGGATAACTATCAGTCGCGCTGTGGCGGTACTGTCAGCGCGGTCACGCCTCTAGTGGTAGACTCGCAACAAAAAACGCCTCAACACCGCCAAGCGGCAACAACTGGGACCACTCAACGTACTGTAGATCTCACACGGATATACACAAATAAATCGCTGAAGATACCACCACAGCTGTGGCATCCAAATAATCTAATTAATCCAATTAAAGTTTACTAGAATTTGAATTTACGCGCGCAAGCGCGCGCTTTGACTATAGACTTTGCATATATTTTCATGCTTATGATATATTCAACCAATCACGTTACGAATAGTTTGATGCCACATACATTTCATCTCAATTTTATATTAGGATTAAATAATAATTAATCATTTAAATATATTTTGTTGACTAATAAATAATAATAATAATCGTATCACTTTGGTCTAGTAATTTTTAGTATAGTGTATTCCCTTTGAATCCACAGCGCGGTAAAGTTAATATGACACGAAAATTAGCAAACACTTGAAAATTTTTTGATTTTTCGTAAAAAAAAAAATATGTTTAGAAAAATATTTTTAAAAAATTATAGTATATAATTTATTAAATTATGATATAATTTTTTAAAGCTTCTAAAGATGGAATTTTTTAAAATAAAATTTTCTTGCTATAATTAATTTGTTAAATAAATTTTAAAAATTATCAGATGTCTTTTAATTTCAATATCATAAATAAATTCATATTTTATTAAATCATTCGAGATAAATTATGAAAATTAATTGCAGATATTTGACAATTTTTGTAACAAATAAATTATGTCAAAATAATGAAAAAAAAAAATGACATGTAGAAATTAAAAAAAAATTAAAAATGCAACTTTTCAGAACAAATTTGTTTGTTACAAAAATTAAAAACAAAAACAAAATTAAAAAATGATCAAATACTAATTTTAATGTCATTCATAAATTAATGACGATCACCAAGCTATGATTAATTTTTTCTTTTAATAATAAACTCATTAATCTGGAAAAATGAATACTTCAATTAATGTTTTTTTTTTTTTATTTAAAATAAAAACTAAGCAGACGAAAAGTTTTCAGGTAAATATTTTATTGGTATTTGTCAATCATTACAATTATTCTACACCTAATATAAAATAATTTTTAAATGAGTATTTAATGATTAAACAATAATTTTTTAAATATTAATCAACAATACAATTAGACATCCGATATTACATCAAATATCTTAAATTGGTAAATTATTTATAAATTAATAAGTACTGTACAATAGAAAAAGTTAATTAGGTAATTCAGAAGGATTTGTATTTAAAAATTACTTTAAATATTTAATACATTGATTTAAAGATTGGCAACTTAGTTTTGTATCAAAAAATAATTATTTATATTAAAAATAGATAAGTCAAATTTGATATAAAGCTGCGTTAACTTTATAATATTTTGAAAAATTAATTATATAGTTATTAATATTTGTAATTTTCTTACTAATATTATAGTAAATGCAAAGAAAATTATTGTATAACAAAATATAATATATATAAGGCACAGTAGTTGATATTTTTTTAGTTATTCGATCAAATTAAGTATACGTTATTAAAAATTTATAGTTTTGATAATTGTACTATAGTATATCCTATCAGTGTGCGTAAATCGAAGCAATATTAATGTAACATTTACATATAAATTTTAACTAAAAATTAAATAATAAGTATCTACGTCGTTATTTTGAATTTGCTCTATTAAACTAACAACTCAGAATTTAATTACTTTAAGAAATATAATTTATTTTTTTTTTGTGATGTAAAAGCAAAATATTTCTCAATTAATCATTAGCATTGTAGCTTAGTCAACTATAATTGATACGAAGAATTATATTTTTATGTTGTTCTTAAAGTTTTTAAGACTTACTATCGAATTTTTTTAACTATGAAATAATTATTGTCTCTATTCAGGTGAAATTTTTTAACATCTCGTATCCTATACCTATAATAGCTGTTATAATTAATCGTCGTATTAAGATAAATGAATATAATTAATTTTAAATTCACGTTATACAAGATTCGACGGTTTTTTTGACAGCATCTCGGGCATATGGGATGTACGATAATGAATACCATGTCATTGCTAATGACTGTATAATTATAAACAGAAGTGCTAATCCAGCCTTCTCAAGCTGTAAATTTAAAAAAGTAAAAATTGTTATATATTAAACAGTCTTTTATATATTATTTATGTTATGCATTGATATTAGATTATATTTTTATTTTAATTACCTTTAGAGCCGCATATAGTGTCATCGCTAAAGATATAAATACTATCAATGTAGCTATTATTCTTGTCGACGCAAACATTTTTTTCAATTGATTCATCGGACCCATCAAGAAACACGTACTGTAATAATTAAAAATATAAAAAAAAAAAAATGGAAAAAACATTCATTAATACAGTGAAATAAATATTAAAAATTATGAAGTAAAAATTTGTTTCTAATTTTAATTGCTTAACAAGGAAGTTCTAATAATTTTTTTTTTTTTTTTTTCTACTGGTAATATTGATAATGATACTAATTATAAATATTTAAATTACTATGATAATTAATTATTATATAATTTACCTCAACAGTGAAACAATATTTCCAAGTGTATAGAAAACAGCGAAAACAGTCAAGCCTTTGTGTAAAAATAAGGCAAATGAACCGAGGAATGTTAAGAGAATACCGATGATAAAACATATAGCGAATCCTTTTATTCGCGTAGACCAACTCAAAGTTGTACCATCTGATATCTAAAAAACAAATCCTTTATTATATTACAGTTCTTTTTTCAAATATATACAAGTGAATAATTTAAAAATTAAAAGTGAATAATTATTGGTTTTTGGAGAAAAAAAACTCACCAGATAGTCACTTTCATGCTAGTAGCATAAAATTTACAATATATAATATACAAATACACTTATGGAGTATAGTATTATTTAAAAATATAAAATATTCATACCTGAGTCATAATTCCACTCTCCTCGTCACATTGATCATGACCACTTAGTGCTCTCCTCAATTTATCCATTATTGTTTATATTATATTGCGGTATATTTTTTATTTTACAAACAGCTTACTTTCTCCGAGAACCTGTTGAATAGACACACAAAATTATTGAGTGAAACTACAAGTTTATCTTTGTTATATCAACTAACTCAAAAATAAATTATATACCAAGCTAATTGATAATGGTTATTATTAAAATTGTAATATTATAAGGTTATTATTACACAGATAAGAGTTCATACGTATTTTTAAATTAAATATAAAACGTAAATATGAATCATTGCTTGAAAATTAAAAAATAACAACATTAGAATTTTATTTCTTATCTATTCATTAAATAAAATCAGTTAAGAATTATTATAATTAATAAAAAAAATTTTTTTATAGTGTTTACCTTTTGGATGATAAATTTGACAGATGTTTTTTTTATGATAATAATTAACATGTACAAGTTCGCTCGTACTTATTGAACTTCAATGAGGAAAAATTCCTGAGACTGGAATAATTCCATCGCTTTGTTTGAGGTTAACAAAATAGCACCCTGAAGTTTGCTATTTGATCAAATTCAAATAGAAATAATTGTTCACTGATCAACCAAGTACATATTTTTATCATATAGAATAGTACTTAAAATAAGAGAAATAAAATTATTTATTTCTTAAAATTAAATAAAATAATGTGAAATTAATATAAATCAATCATTAAAATAATTTAAGATTTTTATTTAAAAAATATAATGAGGGTATCAATATTAAGATGTCACTTTTTTTTACTTTTCACATCAAAGTAGTTAACTTTAATTGTGTGATAAATTATTTATTATTTACTTATATTTAATTTATTACCCAATTTATAAAATATGTTTTTGATCAAGTAAATAAAATTTTTTAATTAATAAAATTTTTATGATTATTTTAATTTTTATTTTATAATATACTAATACTTTACAATGAAGATTTTTTAAACCTAGTCTCTAAAAATAAAAAATTTTTTCGTCTATCAGTGTGTAAAAACATGTTTTACATACTTTTAAATGAAGTTACTTAATTTTAACGTTTATATAAAATAAATTGTATGTTTCATTATTTTTAAACAATTAGGCAATTTTTTAAGTTGAAAAATTTTTCCTGACATTAAAGTTAGCAGTCACTTGACCATTTTAAAAATTTTTTAATTTTATTTAACAAATTTGTTCCAAAAAATTGTTTCTAAAAAATTGAATTTCAATTTTTTTTAATTTTTAGATTTCAATTTTTTTTGTCATTATTTATTTATTAAAAAAATTATCAAATACTTATTTGCTAAATCAATTGTCATATAAATTTTTGTTGTAAATTTTTCAACCGCGTGGTAATTTTCATTTTATTATTTCCTTGGGTTGGCCGTGCGCGTGTTCCGAAACTTAATCGTAACCAACTTCATAGCGCGTGTATTTTCAAAGTATGTGGTGTACGAGTATTACGAGTAGCGCCTACAGCGCCTACCTACATAATTACTAACCCATACATAACAGTTTGTACAAAGTGAATAAGTGGATTAAATCGGCTGTATATGTCTGTTTACTTTTAATAATAATTTTCTAATAAAATATAATTTGAAATAAATAAATTTAATATTATTTTTTTAAAAAACCATGGCTCATCATTACGTTGTGACTGCACACAAACCCACAGCAGTAAATGCTTGTGTTACCGGTAAAAAATTACCCATATAACCTTCAATTCAAATACCTATATATCTATATACAATTTACCTCCAACTATATTTAATGACAATAAATTACATTATTATTATTTCATTTCAGGCAATTTCACATCTCCAACAGATCTAAATTTGATTCTCGCAAAAAATATGCGACTGGAGATTTATCTAGTAACACCAGAAGGTTTACGACCGCTGAAGGAAGTCGGAATTTATGGCAAAATTGCAGAGATTAAATTTTTTCGTCCTCCTGTAATTTTATTTTATTATTTCAACTCAATCATCAAATCTAGATGACTAAAAACTATTTTCTTAAATTGTTTCACTAATTAAATATTTATTTTTATTATTTCCAGCATGAAAAGAAAGATTTATTGTTTTTGTTAACCTATCGCTACAATGCGATGATATTGGAATGCATTGGCACAGGCGAGGACATAGAAATAATAACAAAAGCACATGGAAACGTAGCTGACAGAATAGGACGTCCATCAGACACCGGAATAAAAGCTGTTATTGACCCGAAAGCAAGAGTAATCGGTTTAAGACTCTACGATGGGTTGTTTAAAATAATTCCCCTGGACAAAGATAATCCCGAGTTGAAAGCTTCGTCAATTAGAATGGATGAGCAGAGTGTACAAGACCTGGACTTTTTGCATGGCTGTGCCAATCCAACGCTTATTATAATCCATCAGGACATCAACGGGTGTCACGTTAAAACTCACGAAATATCATTGCGAGATAAAGAGTTCGTAAAGACTCCTTGGAAACAGGACAATGTTGAGCGTGAAGCAATGATGGTTATACCCGTACCATCACCAATTTGTGGGGCTATTGTTATAGGACAAGAAAGTATCTTATACCACGACGGGACCGCTTATGTAGCAGTTGTCCCTCCGATTATTAAATACAGCACAATAACTTGCTACGCACGAGTCGACGCACAAGGACTGAGATATTTACTTGGTGATTTAGCTGGTCACCTTTTCATGTTATTTTTAGAACAAGAGAAGCGACCAGACGGTACGTCTGTCATTAAAGATCTCAAGGTTGAGTTACTAGGTGAAGTTAGTATACCTGACTGCATAACTTATCTAGACAATGGAGTCATTTTTGTTGGCAGCAGAATGGGTGATTCCCAATTGATTAAATTAATCACCAAAGCCGATGAAAATGGTTCTTACTGTGTCGTTATGGAGACATTTACCAACTTGGCGCCGATTGTCGACATGGCTATCGTTGACTTGGAACGCCAAGGTCAAGGTCAAATGGTTACTTGCTCAGGAGCTTTCAAAGAAGGTTCATTGAGGATTATCAGAAATGGTATAGGTATTCAAGAGCATGCCAGCATTGATTTACCAGGTATAAAAGGGATGTGGGCGCTGAAAGTCGGTGGTGGTAATTTCGATAATACCCTTGTTCTTTCATTCGTCGGACAAACGAGAATATTGATGCTCAATGGAGAAGAAGTTGAAGAAACAGATATACCTGGTTTCGTAGCTGATGAACAGACATTCCACACGGGAAATGTTTCAAATGATTTATTTATCCAGATAACTCCATCTTCCGCGCGGCTGATCTCCAGTGAGTCCAAGTCGGTGGTGTCTGAGTGGGAGCCTACAAATAAACGTACAATAAGCGTTGTAGCTTGCAACGGCAGACAAGTACTCTGTGCGACTGGTAATGACTTATTTTATATGGAAATAGTTAACGATAAGATAATACCCAAGGGTTTCAGTACTTTGCAGCACGAGGTAGCTTGTCTGGATATTTCACCACTGGATGGCTGCAACGAAGCCACTATTGCTACTGTCGGCTTATGGACAGATATATCAATAAGAATTCTGACGCTGCCGGCTTTGGAAGAGATCAACAAGGAATTATTGGGCGGTGAGATAATTCCTCGGTCTGTTTTAATGACTTGCTTCGAAGGAAACACTTATTTACTTTGCGCTCTGGGTGATGGTAGTATGTACTACTTTACCTTGCAAAAGGACACAGGCTTGCTGTCAGACAAGAAGAAAGTAACATTAGGTACCCAGCCGACTGTACTGCGTACATTTAGATCACTTTCAACGACTAATGTCTTCGCGTGCTCTGATCGTCCTACAGTGATCTACTCGTCAAACCACAAATTGGTGTTCAGTAACGTCAATCTGAAAGAAGTCAATCATATGTGTTCACTAAATGCCGAGTCTTATCCAGACAGCTTGGCTCTGGCTACCGACAGTACTGTTACTATTGGTACCATCGATGAAATCCAAAAGTTACATATTAGAACAGTCCCATTAGGTGAGTCCCCCAGACGAATCACATATCAAGAGTCTTCCCAGACATTCGGTGTCGTGACAATGCGTGTTGACGTTCAAGAAAGCAACGGTGTGAGTATTGTACGTCCGTCAGCTTCCACTCAAGCTGCTTCGACGTCAAACAGCAACCACGTGGTGTCTCACAACAAACCCGGTCATACTTCAGCGAGTGAGATCGGTCAAGATGTGGAAATTCACAATCTTCTGATTATTGATCAACATACCTTCGAGGTTCTTCATGCTCATACTTTGATACCCAATGAATACGCGATGTCGCTGCTTTCAACAAAATTGGGCGAGGATCCTACATCGTACTTTATCGTAGGAACTGCTCTTGTAAATCCTGATGAAACAGAGCCTAAGATGGGCAGAATATTAATGTACCATTGGAATGATGGAAAATTACAACAGGTAGCTGAAAAAGAAATAAAAGGATCTTGCTACTCGTTGGTTGAATTCAATGGGAAATTACTTGCGAGTATCAACAGCACTGTCAGATTATTTGAGTGGACTGCGGAGAAAGAATTAAGACTTGAGTGCAGTCATTTTAATAATATTATCGCTCTGTTTTTGAAGACTAAAGGCGATTTTGTGTTAGTCGGGGATTTGATGAGATCTTTCACGTTATTGCAGTATAAAACAATGGAGGGCAGTTTTGAAGAGATTGCTAGGGATTATAATCCTAACTGGATGACTGCTATTGAAATTCTTGACGATGATACTTTCCTGGGTGCGGAAAACAGCTATAACTTATTTGTTTGCCAAAAAGACAGTGCTGCGGCTTCGGAGGAGGAACGACAGCAGATGCAGGAGGTCGGACAGTTTCATCTTGGAGATATGGTAAATGTTTTTCGTCATGGTTCGCTGGTGATGCAACATCTTGGGGAATCCAGCACACCCACTCAAGGCTGCGTTCTCTTTGGCACCGTTTGCGGGGCTATTGGATTGGTAACACAAATACCGCCGGGTTTTTACGAATTTCTACGCAATCTCGAGGACAAACTGACGACTGTTATCAAGAGTGTAGGAAAAATAGAACACAATTTTTGGCGGAGTTTCAATACTGAATTAAAAGTTGAAGCTTGCGAAGGTTTTGTTGACGGCGACTTGATTGAAAGTTTCTTAGATTTAAGTCAAGAAAAAATGGCTGAAGTAGCAATGGGTCTTACGGTAAATTTATAAATTAATTATTTATAACAATTATTCAGTATACTATTTTGATAATTTTTTTTTATTTCTATGTAAAATTTTTATTTTTAATTATTTAACTTATATTTATAATTTATAAATTGTTAAGTAACATAGTTATTTTGTTTATACATATTACGGGTTTATTACACATATTAATATATATTATTGTTAGTAATTGTTTTATCTTTTATTTTTTTACAGATTGATGATGGCAGTGGAATGAAGAAAGAAGCAACGGTAGACGATTTGGTAAAAATAGTCGAAGACTTGACAAGGATACATTGAAGACTCAATTAAATAATTTGATAAAGTTAATTAATAAAAATAAAATAAACTAAACTATTTAATTAAAAATGTGGATGCGCCTCTAATTACAACAAAAATCAATACTACATTTAATAACATTTTTTTTATAACAAAAAATATGAGAAAATAAACTGAAAAGACGTGTGTGATAAATGATTTTGTTGTTTTTGTGAGTAAAAAAGTCAGAAAAATTGAAAAAAAAAAAAAATTAAAAAAAAAAAAAAAGAAGACCGTTGTACAAAGTTGGTACAAAGGTATATTATTAGCTTTATACCTTTCTATAACTTATAGAAACTGTAAAAAAATAAAAAAAATTAATTACATAAAATTGAGCATATAATTCATTATTAAAAGGTGACAATTTCTTGTAATTATAAAATTATGTAGTACAATAATTATTTTTTAGTGGTAAAAATTACATTTGCAGCGGCAGCCGCAGCTGCAGCGTTACCAGTTGCTCCAACAGCTTTCAGTGTTTCTGGATCAAAAATCCAATTGCGTAAAAGCTCAATACCCTGACCAGTCATTCCACTAGCTTCGATTACCGTTATCTTCTGACTCACTTCACGTATTAAACGATTAAAATGTAGCATTAACAATGCCTCATTACGCATTTGTCGATATGATAAATCCATTTTGCCAAGTACAAAACAAATTTTAACGTGCTGAAGCTTTGGTTCCACTAACAGTGAATATAAAAGTACACCGGCTGCGCTTATTTGACATAAATTACTTGCATCTACTACATAAATAATTTTATGCACCTGTTGAATTTTATTCCTTAATTTATTTATATAAACCTAAAGTATTTTTCTACAGCACTAATTTTATTTTAAGCCCAAAAGTTTTTCTTTTAATTATTTAATAATTGAAAAAAATTTTAATTATTAATTTAGTGCCGTAGAAATTATAATTATTATTATAATTGAAATAATGTTTTAAATTAACAATTTACCCTGTCAAAATAATGATGCCAAATAGGCGCCATACTGCCTCCAATTTCTCTAACAATAATATCAAAATGTCCATCATCGCTTTTTATTGTAAAAAGATTAACTCCATTAGTGGGTACAGTATGAGATGCATCGTCTATTTTTTCATCACCTTGCAATCTTTTCATCAACAAAGTTTTTCCAGACTTAGCGGGACCAAGGCACAAACACATAACTGCATTTATTTTATCTTAAAATATTTTTTTTTTTAAGTGTTAAATATATAATTTAATTTCGCATAAGTAAATATACAGCAGCATCAAAGGTCTTACGAGGACATTGTTCTATCGATCAAACAATATTTGTACGTTATTTACGTATCAAATAGGTCATATTTAAGCGCATTTGTAGTAAGAAAAAGAATATAAACAATATTATAAAGAAATTTTACTATTGTTCTTATATATTTTTTTAAATTATCTAATTATTTATGTTTTTTGTAATCTACTCACTGCCAAAGAGAAAGTATATTACACTTTATAAAACAATTAAAACTGTTAAATATTTTATAGTAATAATAATAATTATAATAGTAATAATAGTCACAGTTACAATACAATCATTATCAATTACATTAATAATAATAATAATAATAATAATAAAAAATTCTACGACGAGAGTAATTCGGAATTAATAATAATAATAATAATAATTAGTTAATAACAATGTTGAAAACAAATACTGCATCAACTGATTGTTGATAAAATTGTCCTAGGGTCAAAGTAGTTTTCACTAGAAAACTTTTTATACACGTTTGTTTTCTTTTTTGTACAAAGATTAAAATGTCTTATGTGCATAAGGTTTTTATGTACAATATTACACTTTGTATTACTTAGTTTAGTTTTTCACTTATTTGCGGAATAGATCGTCTTGCACGATTATTTTAAGTAATAATGATTACAATATGAGAAAGAACAAGAGTGATCGTTTGTTGACTAGATGTTCCAGGCACTTTGATGGGAGCATTCGTTTGTAATTTTTTTTTTTTTTTTTTTCATTCAGTCATTTTAATTTTACGTACGCTCGCTAACGATTACTCGTATTTGATCCGGCATTTGCCATGCGTGTAATCGCCGGTCCTTACTGCCTGCTATTATCTGTTACAACACATAAAACAAATTTATAAGTATTTATTATCAAATTATTTGAGTAAAATTGAGATAAAAAAAAAATTTACCTCGTCATCTACAATTTCCATGCTTAAAAGCATATTACCGGGACCAGGAATGCTACATAATAATTTAGGCTCCTAAAATAAAAAATTTGTTAAAAATAAATTAAAATTTAATAAACTTATCAAATTAAATGATCAATAATCAAATTACCTTTGTATCGAAGACGTAAATATTTCCATCATAGCAACCAGCAAACAACAACTGTTTATAAAGACGCATACAAACGATGCCAACACCAGCAGTGAACTGCATTACTTGTTCTCCACTCTAAAAAATAAAAAAAAAAAATATTTTATAAATAAATTACAATAAATACTTTTTTATATTTATTTAAAAAAAAATAAAAATAAAAAATAAACTTACAATAAAATCAAAGACGGGTATGGATGTATTACTAGTCCCGCAATAAACAAGATTACGATCTCTCAGCAAACTATAAACTGTGTGGTTTCTTTGTCCAGATATTGTACGTAAAAATAAACCGTTTTGTGCATCTCTAATAGTAATTGGCTGGTTACGGGACGCAACAATCAGAACTTTTCTGACACCCTCAGTGGATGCACGAAGCGCCAGCACAGGTTTGTCAGAGAAGTCTAGTTTTTCTTCACGCAAACACCCAGATTTAATGTCATAGCGTGAAATATGTCCAGACTTTGTACCGATGAATATACTTCCCCATGCTTCATCCATACATTGTACCGGGCTTCCGACTTGAGCAACATTTCGGTCTAGTGTACCGCTCATAATATCATAACACCTGAGCGTTGCGTCAAGTGAACCAGAAAACAAATTCCATCGTTTATTGGTGGTGCCAGGGACTGGGACCTCGTAGACATAGAGACACGTCACTGCTGCTTCGTGACCTTTATAGATATTTAATATACCATTTGACCTTTGACTGTAACGATATATTGCTCCATCCTCACTTGCTGCCAAAAATGAATCACCGAATACCTAAAATAAAATTTTTCTCTTAAATTTACTGTTTAAAATTAATAAAACTAAATAAATTAATAATAATAGTAATGAGTTGTTAGTAATAAATATTATCAACTTTTTTTTTTTTTTTTTTTTTTTTTTTTTTTATGTATTTATGATTTAATTGCACAATATAATTACATAAAAAAAGTGTTAATCTTTTATTAATTATATGGTTAATATTAATTATTTAATTTTAGTTTTGAGATCTTGTTTTTTTTTGTATTTTTTTTTTTTTTGGTATTTTTTACCTTTATATCAAGAATAGGTCCCTTGTGAACGGTGTACTGTGTCCTACGAGGCTCTGAGCTACTTTCTTTTTCTTCGGGCACCGACGACGAAGACGAGGACGAGGGCTGGATGGTATTGCTAGGTACTGGAATTTCTTTTTCAAGAACTTCGATGTCTGAAGCTTCGTGGTCGTCATCGTCGTCATTGATGACCTCAAAGTCAGATGCCGGCAGCTCATCATTTTCATGCGGTGACGACACAAAATCATTCATCGACGAGAGACGAGACCCCCTGGAGTCTTGAATATTCGAGCACGACCCTAAAGTGTCTTCAGTCTCTTCAACTCTTATAAATTCCATAGAGTCATCATCACTGTGTGTTTTATCATCATCGCTCATTTTTTCATCATCAGTTAAATTTTTTTCTTCATCCACTAACACCGATTTATTGAGATTGTCAGCTTCGGCTGCTTTACTGTCATCATTGCTGCGAACTGTCTCTGGTAGCTCTTCAACAACTCGATCAACCTCTTCCCTCGACGACAACGCCGACGAAGAAGATGACGTTGATAATTTACGTATATTTATTTTGGTAACACCATACTGCTGTAGAAAATCTGAATGTGATTCAGGTCTCAGACAAATACGTTTACAATCAACAAGTGTCACTTTACACTTCATCATTTCCGTTGGATCATAATTTAATTTATTATTTCTTCTTTTTCGTCCACGACGGTTAAAACGACTATTATCTAATTGTTGTTGTATTTTTGGTGATGCAGCTGCTCCTCGCTTCCTACTGCTCACTGAACTAGAAGATCCACCAGATGTTGGACGTTTTTTATTTAACGCCGTGGTAGCTATCGTTGTCGCAGCAGTGTCAATTTCAGGAGGCGGAGAAACGTCACGAGAACTGGGTGATTTGCCAACACGCCTGGAACGAGATGATGTTGTTTTATTGCTGTCGTCAGACTGTCGAGAACCTCTGGGATTGGACGCCATTTTTCTGTTCTTAGCAAATCTACCACGTCGCTTGGTTACTGGCTCATCTTCGTTCTCAGCGCCAGCTGTAGAAGACTTTTCGTCGTTGATACCCTTAGCAGGAGTTTTAGGTCTCAGTAACTCTTTCACCGTCGACTTGGGTCTCTCTAACTCTCGTACGGTTGATTTAGGTCTCTCCACATTTTTATCCTTTTTCCTACGTTTCCTAGTCACTGGTTCAAAAATATTTTCTTCTTCATCATCTTCAAAAGAAGAGTTTTGGTCATCGAAGCTCGGCATTGGAGTTTTTGATCTGAATAAATCTTTTAACGTAAACTTTGGTCGTTCCAATTCTTTTACCGTTGATTTCGGTCTCTCGAGGTTCTTTTTCCGTTTTTTAGTTGATGTTTGAATGATCTCATCTTCTTCTTCATCTTCATTGTCAACTACAGATTTTAGAGCATCAAGACTTTTTATTGGGGTCTTAGATCTTTGCAATTCTTTAACTGTGGATTTTGGCCGTTCTAACTCTCTAACAGTTGACTTAGGTCTCTCTTCTATCTCTACTTTCTTTTGTTTTTTGGTCGAAGCTTGAACAATTTCTTCTTCTTCTTCTTCTTCATCCTCATCATCAACTGTAGACTTTTGAACATCAAAGCTCTTTATTGGCGTCTTAGATCTCAGCAATTCTTTCACCGTAGATTTTGGTCGTTCTAACTCTTTAACAGTTGACTTTGGTCTTTCTTCAATCTCTACTCTTTTTTGCTTTTGACCTAGATTTTCTATTTCACGTTCAACATCATCTTCATCGCTGTCATATGACATAGTCTTTTGATCCATACTTGGAATTGGAGTTTTAGATCTCAATAATTCTTTAACCGTCGATTTAGGTCGCTCCAATTCTTTGACAGTTGACCTGGGTCTCTCAATCTCAATTGACACTCTCTTGTGTATTTTATTTAACACAATTTCATCTTCAAGATCTTCATTGTCTTCTTCAAAATTGACGCTTGCCATTGGAGTTTTGGACCTCAATAATTCTTTAACCGTTGACTTTGGTCTCTCTACTTCAACTTCGACTACTTTTTGTATTCTACTTGCTGCAATTTCACGATCAATATCATCGTCATCGTCATCGTCATCATAATCTTCTTCTTTTTCTTCTCCTCTATTATCATCATTGAAGTCTTCATCATTGTCGGACAAAGATTTTTGATGAAGACTCGGAACCGGTGTTTTAGATCTCAAAAGTTCTGGCAAAGTAGATTTAGGGCGTTCTAGTTCTTTCACCGTAGACTTTGGCCTCTCTTCAATCTCTACTCTCTTGTACTTTCTACTTAATACGATTTCGTCTTCATTTGCATCATCATCATCATCATCATCATCATCATTATCATCATCTTCGTTATGCAATATAGATTTCTGATTGTTATTTGGCATTGGAGATTTAGACCTCAACGAATCTTTCACGATAGATTTAAGTTTTCCAAGTTCTTTAACTGTTGACTTCGGTCTTTCATTTATTTCAACAGTTTTAGATTTATCACTTATTATTTCACGTTCAACATCATCTTCATTGTCACTTATTAAAGAGCTTCGAGGCATCGGAGTTTTCGATCTCAGTTCTTTGACAGTAGACTTAGGTCTCTCTAATTCTTTCACTGTAGACTTGGGTCTCTCCAATTCTTTCACTGTAGACTTGGGTCTCTCCAATTCTTTCACTGTAGACTTAGGTCTCTCCAATTCTTTCACTGTAGACTTAAGTCTCTCCAATTCTTTCACTGTAGACTTAGGTCTCTCCAATTCTTTCACTGTAGACTTCGGTCTCTCCAATTCTTTAACTGTTGATTTAGGTCTCTCTTCAATTTCTACTCGCTTGTGTTTTTTACTGGATATTATTTCTTTTTCAATTTCATCTTCATCACTGGATGACAAAGGATTTCGCTGGACACTTTTAACCGTAGTTTTTGATTTCGGCGATTCTTTGACAATAGGTATAGTGATAGACCTTTGCAATCTAATTTCAACTGTCTTATATTTTTTATTCATTGTCTGTACTTTATCTTCTTCTTTTTCCGCAGGCATTAGAGCATTCTTATCAGATTCAACTTTATCTTCAACATTACTCTCGTCTTTTTCATTATCAACCAATGAAGACTCTTGACTGACAGTCGGAAGAGGAGTCTTAGATCTCAACAATTCTTGAACAGTAGATTTTGGTCTTTCAACTGTATCATCAAATCGCGTGGGTAGAGAATCATCATCAATTTTATTCGCCGCAGAGTCTTTATTACTCTCCTTCTGTTGCACTAAATCCTCCGTCGTCATGGATTGATCCTCATCTGAAATTTTCGTCGTCGTACTCTCGCCAGTCTTTTTATCGATGATTTCTTCAGACTCATCATCTTTTTTATTGATATCACAGTTATCATTATCAAAGTCTTTATCCGAAATAATTGATAATTCGTCCCAGTCTTGAAGTAACTTTTTCTGTTTAAAAAATAAAATACAACTCATTAATTTATTTTTACTTTTATTATAAATATTAACAACAAAAAAATTACTTACCTGTTGATTCTCTTTGTCATCATTGACCGCTGCTTCTTTCGTACTATATTCCTTTGCAGTATCTAAAGAGTCGCCATCACCTTTGTTATTTTTATCCTGCTCACTAACAACAGATCTAACATCTGAAGCAGTATGTTGGCTATCGTCGTCAACAAAGCCAATAGAATCAAGCGTTGTCCACTCAGCTTCCTCTGGAATACTTTCCTCAGCATCACAGTCATCATAATTTTCAGGCAATGGTCTCGGAGAGTCAACAGCTGGACCAGGATTAACAGTACATGTCGATTGTGGTTCAGCCTGCTCTATCTTATTGTTCTTTGGCGTAATAGCAACAGTTTTTCCTTCATCCGCTACAATCACATTATCTTCCATCTCAGAGTCTTTTTGTTTCAATTCTTTTTTAGATTTATTCAAGCTGTCAGATAGATCTTCAACACGGTTCTCCGCAACAGCATCAATAATTTCGAGTAGATGATCTTTTGGTAGTTTATCGCTATTGAAACTTTTACTTTGAGTAGTCGATATTTGGGCAGTAGAACTACTGCTAACTTTTGAAAATACTTCTTCATTACTAACATAATCATCACTACTCTTAGTAGACGTTTCAACCCCACTAATGCTGCTTGTTTTACTTGGAACATCATCTTTACTATTTTTTAAAGATGTTTCTTCGACTTTGCTGACACTTTTATTTGTATCCACAATATTTTCGTTCTTTAAAGATTCACTAGCCTTACTGACATTCTTTTTAACAGCCTGTTGTAATTTTTTGCGCTGCAACCTCTTCTTGGACATTAGCTCAGCAAGAGGAAGTTCTTCTTCATCTTCAGAAATCGCTGGAGCATCCAAAGTCTTCTTATTTAACTGTTTCTTCTTCTGTTCAATGTATTTATTCTTTCTAGCAGCTTTTTCACGTTTCATACTTTCTTCCAACAGCATCAAACCAGTTGGTCGTTCATGTTTCATCGCACTATCAAATGTATCCCAAGTACTGTCGTCAGAATAAATTAAGCTTTGATCTTTAAGCCCCGTAATAATATGAGACTTCAAGGGTGTTTCTTCAATATGACTCGGTATTATTTCTTCAGCGAGAGCACTTTTAGGATTATCATCAATCGGAGATTTTTCTCGATCAACTTTAGCTTTCAGATCTTTCTGTACATTCTTCTCAGCACTGACTGATCTTGATTTACGGCTTGAAGCTGGTTGTTCTTTTGGATGAGCTTCAACGGGACTCGGAGATCTGCGTTTGCTGGCTTTTGGCTTCACATCGCCTTTAAGTATTTGACTTAATTTAACATGTTTTCGTGGTGATTCTTCTCGCGGTTTATTAGCAGCAGTAGCTACCACATTAGCAGGCTCTGTTTTCTTTTGCTTGCGATGAGATGCATCAGAGTGATGACGTTTTTTGTTTGTCTCTGCAGTTCCTTCCAGCCGTGGTTCTTTACTCTTAGCTTGATCTTTATCTTCACGGTGCTTTCTTTTCTTTGCTGATTTAACAACCGAGCTTTCGTCAGCAGCTTTAGATTTTTTATCATCCATCTTTAATGTCTTGGAAGTCGTTGCAAGACTGGATGTCGTCGAAGTGGTCTCTGATTTAGAAGGAATAGTGTCCTGTTTAAGCGGTGAGATTTGTTTTATTTTACTATCCGTAAGTCTTGAAACTATTACTCTCGCACTCTTGGAAATTGCCTGTGCTCTTAATTTACTAGACTTAGGTCCTGGCTTTGATGGAGCTGCCGGCTGAGTAATGGGCCATTTGTCAGTTTGTAACATTTGATAAAGCCTCATTTTTTCGTTCATCAGTTCTTGGATAGTTATGTCAATCTCCTGCATTCTGGTCATCACTTCGTCTTTAGTTGTTGGTCTTGGTACTAATTTAACAATATTTTCAGTAATCGCTTCTTCTACTTTCTCTATAGTTATTTTAGGTTTTTTACGTTCATGATGGTGTTTTCTGTGTTTCTTGTGTTCACGTGGAGGCGTTGATGACTTACTACTGTTACTTTTTCGCGATGAATGCTTATCTTCGTCTTTGTCGGATTTTGTGGCTGGCAATTCTTTTGGTAATGAACTGGGAGTTGAAGTTTCAGGTAATGATTTTTTAAGATCTACATGTTCAACAGCTGGAGTTTCAACTAATTTAATACTTTCAGTCGTTTCAGCAGTTGCTTCGACAACAGTAGCAGTATCTTCTTTAGATGCAGCTGCATCATCTAGCTCAGAAGCTAAATTTTCTCTTACCGCACCAAAATCATCAGATACGGTTGCATCAGTTGCATCAGTGATAGAATTTTTAAGATTATTTAATGTTCTGAATGTTTCACTATCAATTTCGGTTAGATTGTCATCTAATGTAGGTTGATCGTTTGCTGTTTCAACGATTTTGCTCCCTTCATCACACACTTCTGGCACAGGAGCTTCCTCAATCGCAGGAGTGTCAGATTCATCTTCAACAAAAGATTGCCCTTGTAATATCGGCGACGGCAACCGTTCAGGAGACGTTCCTTCGATTACTTTTATCAGTTCTTTATCAGCAATCGAAGGACTTACGCTGCCTTCGATGCTTATTTGTGCGGTATTTTGGTCAGTAACAAAGTCCGTTTCCAGCACAGAAGACAGACAAGGATTGTCAAGCGCCGTCAGAGCGAGAGCACCTCCAACTTCTTCGTCTTCAACGAATGGTTGGTCAGACGGTACATCCTCTATAGCATCAATAGATGATGTATCCGCCAATTGATTCTCATAAATAGGCTCTACCATAACACCAGTGTCTTCAAGAACTTCAAACTCCAGTCCGTCTGAAGTAGGAAAGTCTTTAGTCGTTGAAAAGACCAACGGATCTTCCAAAAATGAACTTCTTGGATTATCTGCTGTCAACACTTGGTCATGAAGAACAACCGACTGCGACGAGTATTCTTTGAAACAGTTGTCAGTAGCCGGCGACGAAGGAGCGTCAAGTGGTAGATCTGAAATAAATGATTTATCAGTATCATCAATAGAATCAAGTCCTTCATTCAATTCATCCGCATTGTCCAGTATATTCCAAGTATCTGTTAATTTTTCACTCAATTTACCTTCTTTGAGATCTGCTAGAGAAACATTGTCTGATAAATTAGCAATACATAGACCACCGGGTTCTTTGGAGCTCAGAACGTCTATTTTGTCATACTTATTTGTGCATTCAGACAAAGGATCCACATCTGGTAATGAACCTTGCGAGTATGATTTTTCAAAATTTAATGAGTCCTCTGAGATTTCTGATAAAGTTGCGGCTGTTATGTCACCAATATTTCTCATTGGATCAACTACGGCAGCATTAGATCCCAATATGCATTCAGTTTCACCAGAGTTTAATGATTTTACAGGACTTTCTTCAGGGTGTAAAAGAATAGTGGTAAGATTATCAGTTGACAGAGATGAAGAACCTACCCCGATCAGCGTCAATGTACTACATACTGATGATACCGATGATGTAGCCTCTATTTTCTCTGTCTTTGATAAGTCGTTACTTAATTCACTGGTCACAAAATTAACAACATCTTCCTCTGGTTCCTGATTACTCAGTAAATTGTCACTAAAAAGGTCCTCAACTCGATCGGGATCGGTGTTTATTTCAACTGTACCTTGGCTTGCATCTCCGAGTTTATCGGTTTTTGTAAAGACTTCCTTCGTTTGATTAATTTCCTCTACAGGCGTTGAAATAACCTTGCTATCTATGTCACTTATTTGATCATTCATTGGAGGCACTTCTGCACTAGTAACACTGCAGGTTGCTTCTTCTTCTTCTTCTTTATCATCATCAAGAGCTAACTCTTTTTCTCTTAAAATTTTTTCTTTATTCAGCGTCTCCTTTACACCAGAAATTTCTATCTCTATCCGTTTATCTGACAAAGGCAATAAGTTAACCGTACTCTCAACAGGTTGTTGTGATTCAATGTTTATCGATTTACTTATACTTGGTACTTCTGACACATAAGTAACATCCGTTTTCACTGTTGAATTATTATCATCACTATTAGTAATTAATAATTGTGTTTCTGCGTTTACGGGCAATTTATCTTTTATTTCCATTCTTTCAACAGCAACTAAATTCGGTAAATCATCTCTCATTAGATTTTTTGATGGCTTGAAATAGTGTGAGAATGAGGCCATTGGATTTTTGTTTATTTTTAACTCACAGCTATCAACAGCGCTCACATTTAATGAATTAATTTTTCCTTCACCGCTTTTCTCTTGTTTTTGTTCAGCTTCTACTTTTTGTTTTGCGCTCGATACGTCTGTTTCAATATTTATCAACGACTTTTTACGTTTATTAGTTGTCTTTCCGTCTACGGAAACTTTTGTTGGCTGTAACGCATTTTTCTTTTCAATTGATTCACTATTATCAGATTTAGCAGATTCAATAGCATCGCTGTCAATTGGTTTAATGGCTTCTGGACCCGCCGATTGTGATGTTTTCCGAGGGGTCTCACTCAGATTATTTTTCATTAACTCATTTGTAGTCGTCTCGGGTATAACAGTAGCTAAATTCGTAGAACTCTTGCGCTTTTTACGTGCTGCTGGTGTTATTTTTTTAGGAACAACTTCTTGTGTATCAGCAGCTGCTGGTTTTGACGGACGATTTTTAACTTTTTCTCTCAATTTAAGTTCCTTTCCACCTTCAGATTTTATATTTACAAACTTATTAACTTCTCCCGACACTACGGGTTCTGCGTAAGGTGGATTGTCTGTTATCAATGGGGTCTTGCGTTTAAGTTTACGCGGAGTTGTCGATATAACAGGTTTGGAAGCATCAGCTGCCGGCTTTTCTGGAGTAACCGGTTGCTTTTTTGACTGTGGTATCAAAGTTTTAGCGTTTGTACTATCAGTCTCAGGATTAATTGATTCTTTAATCACAATATCCGTCGAACTGCTGACTTTAGTTGGTTGAGTAACATTTACTTCTGAAGTAATAGTAGGTTTTACCTGAGGAATTACTTGGTTTGAATTTTCTATGGCTACGGGCTTCTTCTTTTTAGTTGGCAAATTAAGTAAATTCTGCGTCAATTGACTCGGATTTTCAGCAACACGTCTCATTGTTTCTTGCTCCTTGATTTTACGCTGCAATGCCCGCTCTTTGTACGCTTTAATGTCTAATTTACGTGTTTTCAAACTACTTGTTGTTGTTGTTGTTGTTGTTGTTGTTGTTGTCATTGTCGTCGTGGTGTTACAGATCGATGACACTGAAGAAGTTGAAGAGGTTGGCGACGGTGTTTGTACATTTGTTGAATTTATTGAACTTGTTCCTGCATTGTCAGATGTCGAGTGTACAACAGGTTGCTCTATTGAAGCTAATGATGATGTTGATTTATTATTTTGCTGTACTATTTCGGGCATTTGCTTAAGCTGAGCTTTTGTTTTAGTGAATGTCACTGGAGATTTTGTTGAGCTAGTATTGGATGACGTACAAGATGTTGTGACTACTCTCAATGGAGATGTTGCCGTAGAAGTTGTCGTTGTCAATGGAGTTTTAATGAAACCTGAGGTTGTAGGTTTCGTAACCCCAGAATTTAAGTTTGTTGATGATGATGTGACAGGAGAGTCAGTAGATATTGATTTATGTGTTGTTAGTGATGGTGAAGGAGTTGGAGTTGAAACAGATTTAGCTGTCGAGGTAGCAATCGACGTAGATATTCGCATAGTCACAGCTGTGGATATTGATGGAGTATGTATATTTTTGCTTACAGCCGTCATGGAAGCAGGCGTAGATGCTGATGAGCTTTGTACATTTGCACCAGCAGATACAGACACTGGTGCTCGTATATTTTTATTTACATTCACTGGCGGAGCTGTTTTAGTTATTGCTGCTGTCATTGCTTGTTTGGGACAATTATCAGGACGTAGTGGTTCGGATTCTTTGGTGAAAATTTCATCTTCTTTAGGTTCTTTTTTAATTTCATCGTCTCGTAATAACCACAGCGGGCGTTCTTCTGGATTATCAGTGACTGGTGATGAGTGATAGCCCCTACGTCGCTTCTTTTTCTTAACCTTTTTTCTTTTACCTTTTTTGTCTTTCTTACGCTTATCTCGCTTCTTGGAACGCGACTTGTGTGATTTGTGTCTTGCATTTTTTTCTCGACGTTTCTTTTCAATTTCAGCATTAACTTCGTCCCTTATTTCATCATTTATTGATTTTATTTTAGCAATTTTTTCACGCTCTTTTATAAACCTTAAAACTTTTGAAACATCTAACTCAACATTGTCTTCATTACCGGAGCTTGAACTGCTCCAACTGCTTGATTCACTGCCCGCCAAACTGTGTTCTTCGTCTTCACTTTCATCTGGGTTGGATATATGTTGTGAATTACCGAATTGAGGTGAGAAGTTAAAGTAAGAATTATCGACCCCGTAACTCGGTGGTATAGACTCACGTCCGTTCATTGCAAGTCTGCGTGCCCGTACTGCTGCAAAATCTCTATACTCGTCTTCGTAGTAAGACGCATAAGGCGGCTCTCCGTGCCTAGCTTCATACTCTTCCTTAGTTAAATTGCGAAAGTTGTCGGGATCGTCGATAATAACTTTACGTTTCCACACACCACCAGAATTGCTGCTTGATTCACGTGAAGAATCACGTTGCGTTCTGTACTCCCTCATGTCGTGTAGATCATCAACCATATTTGCAAATGAAGCCGCGTTTTTTAAAGACGCAGCCTTAGCTTTAGCAATACCAGCAGTAAATATTTTATCCAATTCCACTGCTTGTCTTTCAACTCTTTCAACAATTGGCGTTTCAATCCGCCTCAGTATTGGTTTATTTTCCACAATTGGCATTAAACGTTCATTACTGGATTGAGGTACGGGTAGTTTTACATTCGACGCTTGTGCTGCTACTGCCGCTTGAGATTTAACTGTTTTAGCACGTGCTATACCAGCGCTGAATATATCATCTAGGTCATTCATATTGAAGTTTTCTGCATGGTGAGTCATTACTTTTGACGTTGATATTGGCGCTGTTGTTATTATCGTTGATATAGCTGATGGAGCTGCTGGAATTGAAGCTGTTGCTGTTACTGCTGGCTTAGATGCTGGCTTAGACGTTGATGTTGATACTGATTTAGAAATTGGAGCTAATTTAGAAGTCGATGTTGATGATGATGTTGACACTGGCTGTGACGGAGAAGAAGTATTGCTACAATGTTGTTGACCACTTGGTGTTGGATCAACATCAGTCCGTTTGGCACGAGTTCGAATAGTATATAGTGTGGGGTTAGTTGGGTTTACTGAGTTTTTAGTTGTGTCTTTACTCACCCTATTATCGATCTTACGTTGCTTCGCTGTAACATCATGTGTTGTATTAATATGAGCAACCTTAGCAGGTGTATTTGTTCCCGCAAATCGTGATGATTCACTGACACTGGTACTACCACTACTTACACCTGCTGCATTATAATCGATTTCACTATTTGACGTTGGCGGGTTATCTAGGTTCAATGCCAAACGTAAACTCGCCTTATCACAATTTAACTCATCATTATCAGGAGGCAGTGGGTCTAGATGAAGAACTTCACTTAGTTGATGAATAAATGTTGTTGGCAAGTTGGTAATGTCTATTGTTGCTGCTGGATCAAGTATTGCCTGCAATTGGCTCATAAAGTCTTCATTTTCATAATTTTCATAAGTACTATTCTTCATTTTTTCATCCTCGTTCAAACGCATTTCCAATGACAATGACGACTTTTTTTCTTTAACAAGACTCTGCATCGCAATGTCAAATTTACGCAAACTCGAATTGTTTATCATATTTTGTATGTCATTTTTACTCATACGTAAAAATCGAGTTATTACACGATTTTTCCATGTTGATAACGACGCGTGTGGTGTTTTCGAATCACTACTTTCGGTTTGTGTATTGTGATGATCATTATGACTGTGATCGTTTACTTTTTCAGGCTTTGACGTACTCGGTTGACCGGCACTACTGCTAGCAGTACAGCTGGTTTTGTAATTGTTATCATTACTAACTTTTCTCAACACATGTTTATTGTTTTTATCCGGCGAAATTTCACCTTTGTCACTAATTTTACGACTTTCACGCCTGTCTGATTTGCTACGTGTTTTATCTTTTGACTTTTTGTGGTCACGTTCATTAGATTCAGTTATTGATTTTTCGGATTCATTGTTTACCTTATCACTTTCATGATATGATTGTTTTGACTTAAAACTACCACCAGTTGAATCATTGACAGCAACAGTTGGAGTAGTGAGTGTTGTAGCCATGATATCAGCGTCTGATTCTTGTTGTAAAAGAATTTTTAGTCTTTTGAGCTTTGTTTTCGAATCTTCTTCTGGAGGTTCATTACCAAACCAATCGTCAGTTTTGTTACTTATCTTTTTAAATTTTGAATTTAAATTAAACATAACTTTTCGTCTTTTCAGATCATCTGTTGCATCTTCGTCTGTAGTTTTATTATCAGAAGATTTTGTTGATGACATTAAAGAGGTTTTCGTTGTTCCTGTTGTTGTTGTTGTTGTTGTTGTTGTTGTTGTTGTTGTTGTTGTAGCTGTTGTGTTGGTTGTTGTTCCTGGAATTTTTGTTGTTGTTTTTGGAGCTGTTATTGACGTCTTTGTTGTTGTTTCTGGAGCTTTTGTAGTTGTTATTGGCCCCTTTGTTGTTGTAATGGATGATTTTGATATTAAAGGTGCTTTAGATGTTATTGAGGTTTTAGATGTCGTCATAGATTCTTGAGATGTTGTCACCGGAGTTGTAACTGACGTAATTGCTGCTGCGGTAGTTATTGGCGTTGTTATCGCTTTTATCGGTTCTGTTGTAGCGGTGAAAACTTCCATTGGAATTTCTGTTGTTGTTACAGTTTCCTCGTTAGCGACAATTAAATTATTACCATCAAGATTGGGATTTTGAAGTGGTCCATAATTTTTAGGTGGTTCAAATTTATTTCTTTTCTTTTTCTTTTTCTTCTTTTTAGTTGTCGGCGCTTCTGTTTCCGGTAATGGTGGTAGTTCCGGCAGATTTGGTAGAGTAGGAAATTCAATAGCATCATTTGAGTTACTATGTAAACACTGCTCAGCAAATTCCATAGCTTTTTGCATATCACCGAGTAAATCATCAACACTGACATTAGAGTCTCCATTTACATCTGGCTTATTAGAAGCTTCATTATCGATTGATTTATCAGCCAGCGAAAGAGTTAAAGGTACTTGAGACAATGAAACTGCTGAATACTCAACTGGTGGAATTACAGGTGGATATGAGAGTGGTATTGGCGCAGCGTAAGGTACCATTGGCGTGTAGCTTGAATGTGGTGGTGGAAAACTAGCCATCGGAGCTTGCATGTTCATTGCAGGATTCATCATTGGCATTGATGGCATATGAGCGTTGTGAGTTAACATAGGTGGAGGTAATTGCGGATCAAATTCCGGTACTATCGTTGAAAGAGATAAATTACTGCTTCTCCTTGGATCAAATGCAGCTGGTAGATGGAATTCTTCAGCTCCAGTAGTTGGATACGTTCCACTACGTTGTGCTGGTTGTTTATTTGGTTGTCTTTCTCCAGGTTTATTGTTAATTGGCGAATTTGTTTGTTTATTTGAGTCATTTTTAACATCATTTATTGCAAAATTTGTTGACAAACTGGGTTCATCAACTTTGTCTTCTTTATGGCTTAAGTCGTCAGTCTGCTTAGGTGATTGTAATGGAGAGGATAGAGGCGCTTGAATAACATCCATCGGTTTTCTTTTTTTCTTAGTCTTGGACTTTGACTGACTTGACGATTCACTTTCAATCGTCTTAGATAATTTTCGAGATGTATTATCTGTTGAAAATTCATGATGCTCTGGTGATTGTGACTGTGTTGATGATGTTTGGACGGTATAGTGCATTGAGTCATTAAGTTCAGCCGTTACTTCACTCTTATCAGGTGTTGTTTCATTTTTATCACTTGTTACATCATTATCACCGAAATTATTTAATGAATCATTTCTGTTTAAAGTGTCAGTGACACTTGTTGGCTCCAGAACTGCAGCATCTGTTGTATAAGCTGCGTCTGATAAAGCAGTTGTTGTTGATTCGTCGAAAGTCAGAGGGTCACGAACTTTAAGAGTCGCTATCTCAAAATTATCCAAGTGAAAATCATCGAATGAATCAACAATGGTACCAGACAGTTCATCAATAGTTTCAGAAGCACCAATGCAGTCATCTTCAATTGCTGGTTGCTCATCAACATCAGCATGCGGATCTGCTGACAGATTATTCCATGAGCCTAATTCATCCACAATTTCAACTGGCGCTTCATCGTAATTATTATCGGACGCATTTGATAAGTTAACTGTATTATCAAAATCTACTCTACCGATGTCTTTTAATTCACTGACGGTTAAATCTAGTTCAGGTGGATCATGTTTAAGCTCAGGTTTTGCTTTTACGACATTTTCTTCATCCTCATCTTTATTTGGGGTATCTAAATTAAAATCATCATACCAATTTGGTTCAATCGGAGAATTTATACGATTGGACAATAATTTTCTTTTTAACTCGTCAGCAGCTTCTGTTATCTTTTGCTGACGTTCTTCTTCGGAACCCAGCAAAGGTACTGCTGGCTCCTCTGGCTCCTTTTCAAACTGCTGCTCATAATTTCTTTCTCTAAATGGAGCATTATAATAAGGAGAATAAAAATTTGAAGAGCCACGTGATCCGGAATAGCCGTAACTATCGTTACTTCCTCCTCCACCTCTGCCACGTCCATATGGACGATTATTTCTTTCCTGGTAGGACGAATTCTGTTGCTGATACGGATATCTTACAGAATTTTGAAAGTTATCACTTCGTCCATGTGAATTTGCCCATGGTTGAGGATGAGATCCCTGATCCCATCGCGAATATCTTTGCTGCTGTGACGATCGCTGCCAATTGTCATCTCGTCTCGATGAACTATTGAAGTTATTTCGCTGATAATTACCACGTCCTCGAGGCGTATTTCTCTGATCATCATGTCTACTACCAGACTGCTGAGGACTAGAGTAACGTGCCCCGTGTGGTCCAAATCCTCGTCCTCGAAAACCACCACCACTCATCGCATATCAATAAAACGTTTGCACATTTGTTGATAGGACTCGTATTTTGAGATCATTATACTTCTTCTTTATTGATTATTACTTCTCCTCAGTGATCTGAAAAGTAAAATAAAAATTACTAATCATTCAAGATAAATAATTAATCAAATTAATAGATAAATAAATAAATTAATTAATTAATAATTGACATTATCTGTAGATAAAAAAAAAAAAAAAAAAAAAAAAAAACATACTGAACAAATTATGAAAAAAAAAAATTTGAACATGTGTCGATTTAGCTGTGTGCGTGTTGATATTTATCATGTATTTATTGATTTTCTGTTGTTTGTTGGTTATATACTTTGTCATATCATATATTATTTGCTTTATATGTGGATAGTGTGCAAAAAATATGTTTATCGCAAAGTAACAAATTAAAATGTCCTGTCCGATTAAATTGTGCCCTGAAATAACAATTATTAAAATGTCTTTACTGTATGCGGTTTTTATGAGTACAAGTAGATATATATGTGTAGATGGATGACAATATATAGATGGTTAACACCTTGCAATACATACTTATAGATATTGCATATCGTGGGCTTCTGAAGACACGCAATGCCGAGAGTTAAATGACTTTAAAAAAAAGAAAATTCACTAATAAATAATAATGTCCACTTTCAACATGCACTTATTCAACTAATGTTGATAATGATGCTGTTTAATACTGATATTTATTTTTTAGTTATTATATCCATTTATGACATTGTTATTATACACTGAGTGAATTATCTCTGATGATATAGTTGTTGGCTTGTTGTTATTATTATTGTTGATAAACTATACTTTACTTTTATCTATATTTATATTTATATTTATATAAATAAAAAAATTACTCGCGATAGTTTTCAATGGTCGACGGAATAAAACTCATAAATGTCGCTCTACTAACCTAACAGACGATTGCACTATTTTATCATCACAAAACGTTGCAAGTTATTAAATTTAAAACCACACACTATTTTTTATTGCCGAATGATTGATTAGCACTTGATATTAATTGTTCACTTATTAAAATTGAAAACTGATAATGAGTATTATTAATACCAGTATGTTATACTGAAAAGGTTTTAAATGTATCCTCGTACACTTTTTTTAGTTATGATTCAATAGTATGTACATGAGTTTGTGTGTGTGTGTGTGTGTGTGTGTACATAACGCCTGTTTTTAACGATTAACTGAGTCTAGGACGTATAGGTGTTGCTGTTGCAGTGTAGATTGAGCACAATGTATATGATTTTTTTATTGATAGTACGGTAGATGTGTACGCATGTGTATGTACATACTCACACATACAACCATTAATAATGTATAATTCTGTAGAAGAGGATATTGTTTTTCAAATCAATCTTGCTCCGCTCTTATTATACACTTCTTTTTTGGGGATGTTTTTTTTTTATTTTTGGCAATTGCAAGGCTGTGGGAGAGAATTTTTTTTTCAGCGAATGAGATGAAGACGCTAGTGCAACGTGCTCAAAGGGTTTTATTCGAGAAGAGAAGTTTGTACTTTGCAAAGCGCAATCTGTCGGAGGTGAATTTTATTTTCTGTTTTATCGACATTTAAATTTTGAAAATAAAATTTCGAAGTATTAACTAAATATCTTTAATATTTTAACTATTTGGATTAATTTATTAATAAAATTATTTAAGATTACTTGAATTGCAAATCAAAATTATAAAATTGTTCTAACAATTCAAATTTTTCTTCGAGAATGATCTTAAAAATTACGCGCTAAAAAATTCAAGATGGCGTTCGGGAAAGTTCGGTTGTTCGCGCCTTGGAGCCCGCCAGAGCGTTACATCGACCGGCCGGCCATTAAATGATGACATTGGCTCCTTAGGTGAACATCAATTTCCGCGTCGTCCGTACTAATTTCAGTAAATTTTTATTTTTATCAATAAATATGCACAATTCCTATCGCTTAAAGTTATTCTATAACTCTTTCAATCTTCTTTAATCAAAAATCTATAATAATTATTACGTTAATGTGACGTAACAGTCCAGTAATAATATAATGACATGTAACTAAAAAATTTGCTCATGCAATTTCCATTATTATTACTTCGTGGTATTATTTCAGATTTAATAGTAAAAAAATAATAGCAAAATTGATTGTGTAAGTATAAATTCTTATAAATAATATCAGCGTTTAGCACTGACTTCGTAATTGCTCTAGTACTTATACATGAAAAAAATTTTCAGGGTGGAGATACAGATGTAAATATACGCAGTATGCTAAGAAAGAAATAAAAGCAGTAAATGTAAGTCAAGCATCAAATTATTTATATGCTGCATGGTTTATAAATCATTATCAATTTCGAGCATCATAAAAATATTTCAAATGTCAGTACAGTCCTGTAAGATTATTCCAGAATATATCTGTATTGTGTTGAGTCAACAACAAAGTTTTCTTTAACACGTATCTCGTCACACTCGTGTTACGTCCGTTAACTAGCGTCGGTGTGGTATCAAGCTTCGCCGGTTATTGTTAGGTGGCGCTACTTATCATGCGCAGTAGGTGCTGCCCTCGAGCGCCAATTTTGATTCATTCAAATTTAAATATACGAAGTTTCTAATAATTTTAATATTATAATTTTTTTCTTTTAATTTGATTCATTTGTGTTTTAAAAAATTAAAAAATTTTGCTTAAAAAAATTGGGATATTTTTATGATGTTAACATCTGCAGGTATCTGACTATTTATTGATTTTTCTTGATAAATAAATTAATTCTAAAAATTATTTTCATAAATAATGTGAAATTCTTATATTTAGATTTTTTTTTTTATTTAAAAAAAAATCTAATAAAAATTATGAGGTGGTTGCAATTTTCCGTACGATATATTTTGTAATTTTATTGAAAATTTTTTTCGGTACTATTAATTTCATAAAATAATTAAGATTGAAAGAAGTAATCAGCTAATAAGTCTTTAATAATGTAAACTGATGAGGCTATTTATCAATAAACGTAAATGAAACGTATCTTCGGAGCAATAGCGTATAAAAAGAGAGAAAGTAAATAGGACTACAGTCGGTCGCAAATCACCCGGATCTCCCACACATCCCTTTGTTTCCCGTATACTCTTTCTCTGAGAGAATCGTATATATAATAGTTCTCTGGTCTGGTGTGCATGCGGCTGAGTGAGCCTGTATATAGCCCGGGTGAGTGGTATAGAGCTGCGGTGGGCATCGCTAGACGTCCATTAGATGCAGAAACGAGGCTTCCAGGCGAGGCGTCCTGGAACAAGTTCAACCAGATTCAACTGCTGGGAGACTGGCGGCTCGACGAGTAGACGCGCTGCCGAGGGCGAGGCATCTCGCAACAGAATGATAGAACGAGAATACGATAAAGAGAGACACGGTACAATGTGAACGAGCTGAGAGGAAGAGAGAAGATGGAATAGCAGTAGGGTCAGAACAGGCCGCGCGTTTAGCCGAGGTCGCCCCCGGGCTCCAGACCATTAACAAGGAGCGCAGCAATTTATGGACGGGCTCTCCTCATTTCCACTTTATTATTATTTTCTCATCTCATAGATGGTCTTTTACGTTGTTGTTTTGGTCCCGTCTCATCTTCAAATTAATACCCCGAGCTCAAGCACTAAACAAAGACAGACATTTAAATAATCAAGATGAGATACATTTTCTCTCTTTTACTCCATTACTAATTTTACATTGAATCGATTATTAAAATTTTTTTTATTTTATCATTATCATAATCGGTTTCATGAATCCCTAATTCAAAAATTTATTTTTTTCATTAAAAATATACCGTTTTAATGAATTGAAATTATTGAGAATGAAAAGAGGACTCTAATTGCCATTTTACGCCAATCCTCGTTTTTACGATCTACCTATTCATTTTGAGAACTCTTTCTCTTCATTGGCCCTTAGCTCAAGCCGTTGTAGTTGTTGATTTTTTTTTACTCCTTTTCGTTCATTTTAAACCCGATCCTTCCCTCACATTTGCCGGGCTTTCGTGCACGAAACGAGGAAGCCCATTGGTGCAAGGGCTGTTGTTACGAAAATTAGCATGAGCGATCAGACGAACCCAAAGTAATCACTTGCGAGCCATCACCATTGGACGGTTCGCGATACTCGGTCTATCTTTTACCACCAATCCTAAAACACTAAACAACTCAAGTCGCTCATATTATCTGAATCGGATTTCATCTAATAATTGGCTAATTTAAAAAATTAAACCAAAAGTAAAAATTTGTTTAATTTGGAGATTTTTTTTTCTTTTCTTTTGAAATTACTTTTAGGTGTAAATTTAATTGACAACGTTGTGAGAAAGGAAAAGTAAAAAATGATGATCAGATTTTTAGCTAGTGGGTTGTTGGACGGTTGATAGAATACAAAGTGACAGTAAACTTGTTTGACACGGTTCGCGACGATAGACATGATGAGGCCCAACTTTAACTAAACGGGTTTCTCCATGCTCCCACTATTTCATTTTTGGCTTCGGCAGAATCAAATCGAGATTCATGAATTCTTGTCTTAAACTTAAATATCATAAATATAAGCATATACATGTATGAATGTATGACTGATGTTAATGTATATTATTATAATATATGTGATGAATTCGCATCAGATTGTAGGATTATCCATTCTCACTTCTCAGCGATATTCACTAATCGATTTTACTCTTATGTTAATTTTTATTCTGACAGTCTATTTATAAATATATACATACATGTATTATAGATAAGCATATTTATATTTATATTTATACTTATAAATTTGAATGAAGATAAAATTTTATTACTCATCATTAATAGCTTGTCGAAAATTATCATGTTACTTTCACTGATTGAGAAAGAAATTTAAATATAATGATAGTGCTTTTAAAGATATATAGAAATAACTATTGAGGAAAAAATTTAAGCGGCTAGTACAGTATTTATATTACCTATTATTAAGGTATTTAACTTAATAAAAGGAAATTTATTTTTGTATATA